GAGACCATGGACATCAAGAAAATGATGAAGGTACTGCCGGATGCAAGATGTATCGCCGTCTATCCCGTCTGGGACTTTCAGCGGGGCCGCTGGTTCACCGTCTGCGTGGTATGGACCAATGACCCGGGCAGAGTGTTGTCCGAACCCAAGGACCTGACGTACCTGGCGGCCTTTAGCAACACCGTCATGGCTGAGGTGTCCCGGCTGGACTTGGAGGCCGCCGACCGAGCCAAGAGCGACTTTATCTCGTCCATCTCGCACGAGCTGCGGTCGCCATTGCATGGGCTGCTGGGCACGGTGGAGTTGTTGCAGGAAATGGTCAATAGCTACGCGCAGAAGTCCCTTACTGAGACGGTCTACAGCTGCGGTCGCACATTGCTGGACACATTGAACCACCTCCTGGATTACGCCAAGATCAATACGCTCACTCGGCCGCGTCCATCAGAGAAGGCTACCGCGCAAGGGAGCGACGTGTCTAAGCCCCAGAGTGCCGTGCCGGGGTCTCTTCAGGACGAGGATCTGAGCGTGCTGGTGCAAGAGGTCGTGGAAGGTCTTCTTGCCGGCGCAGAGTACCAGCGACGCGGCGCCAGTGGGGATAGTGACGCGCTGGCCAAGAAGGAGGATCTCGGCCCGAAGAACCGTCTCATCACGATCGTCGATATCGAGTGGCAGGACAGCTGGCGGTTTAGTGTATATGCCGGGGCCTGGCGCCGAGTCGTCATGAATCTCTTCGGTAATGCTCTCAAATACACCCAGGCTGGCTACATCCGGCTGCGGATGAGACGTGACGCCTTGCTGGTGGATGGCAAGAAAACCCCTGCGATTCGCATGACGTTCAGTGACTCGGGCCGCGGCATGTCCAAGGACTTTCTCACAAATCATCTCTACAGCGCCTTTCTGCAGGAGGACACGACCTCCCCGGGCCTCGGAGTTGGTCTGCATCTGGTCCATCAGATCATCAAGTCACTCAAAGGACAGATCAAGTTCACCAGTGAAGTCGGTAAGGGAACGGACGTCGATGTCGTGCTGCCTATCGAACTGCCCGAGGTGTCCAGCCCTTCCTCCCCTCGCTCATTTGCCCCCTTGAAGGAGCAGCTGAGCGGTACGACGGTTTCCCTATTCACGCGGAGCTCCAAGTTGGGCGACCTGGGATTCGACCCTCGGGTTTTCGACCGCATCCGCAACAGCCTCGGGCGCATGGTGTCCGGCTGGTTCGGACTCCGCGTCCTAACCCCTGACGAGCTCGATTCGACCAAGCCGGATTTTGCCATCGTGACGGAACACGAGTACCGGAACTACTATATCGAAGGTTCGAACGAGCCCAAGCCAGATAGCGGGGAGATCCAGCCCGCACTCCCGTTGATCGTTCTGTCCGCCCGAACGAGTAGCTGGAAAACCTTGGGAGAGAGCGTTGAGGATTCGGTCATTTTCCTCACCCAACCGTAAGTGTTTCCACACAAATTTTGTGCATTGCTAATAGCAATAGGGTGAGCCCGAAAACACTGGCCACGGCGTTTGAGCATTGTATGGGCCAGCCAGAGCGATCGAGGAGTCCGTCGCCCCGGAAGCTGCCCTCGCCCGTGCAGCCTGTGGAGGACGCGCCCCCGAACACGGATAAAATGTTCGAGGGCATGGTCAACGGCGAGAAAGATCGGGTGCTAGAGCCTGTCCTTGGACGGACGGTCAACGGTGAAGCCGGGCAGCAGAACGGCGGTGGGGATGACCGGAAAGGAGCGAAAAATATCCTTCTCGTAGAGGATAACCAAGTCAACCTCAAGGTACGTACAGCTTGACCGCGATCCTTGCCACTTCTAACGCGAATAGATCATCGAAATGTGCGTCAAAACTGGCGGCTTCTCCTACGACACGGCAAAGAACGGGCTCGAGGCTTTGGAAAAGTTCAAGGCGGGTACATACGACGCAGTCGTCATGGGTTAGTTGACCTCATCATTCTCCATTCTCAATTTCTAACGTCTGCAGACATTTCCATGCCGGTTATGGACGGCCTCACGGCCACGCGGCAGATGCGCGCGTTCGAACGAAAGAATAAGCGTCCCGCGACCACTATTATTATCCTCACTGCCGTCCTCTCCGCGTCGATGCAGCACGAGGCCATGATGAGCGGGGTGAATCTGTTCCTGACGAAACCTACGCCGCTGAAGCAGCTCAAGGAGATTCTGCGGAAGCTGTCAGATGGGAAGGACGTGTCGCAGAATTAGTTATGAGTCATGAGTTACGTATGGCGTTGGGATGTATAATATGGGTACCGGATAGTATAGTTAGGTATAGAGCGGATGCATTAATCATCATTGAAGGGTCCTAAGCACGCTGTCTCAGTACTGTCGTCCATTTCAGAGTAAGTCTTCCCATCATATGAGTCTGGTACATCTGTGAGACTTGTTACTGTTAGTCATGTGTAGACTAAGTTCTTAGTTCCAAGGGGGTTTAATGTTCGATATGATATATTGATTGTTTCGTAGAGATCTAAACTGTTTTCTTTTCTGCTAGGAGGAGCTCCATATCGTCTGCGACAAGCTGCTGCACGATACCAGCTGCAACCATGCATCCTAGTACGCTGTCAGCAAAGTAAATGAAACAGGGGTGGAAAGCTTACCACTCCCCATCGCATTAGCAACAACCTCATCGGTTCGCCGCATCCCCCCCAAACAAAAACCCCCCTGACAGTCGTCGAAAACAGCTGATCGACCTTGACGCTCTGCCCCAGGATCGGGTCGTCTTCAATCTCCAGCCCAAGCTGGGTAATCATGTCCAATCCCGCCAGGATCGTCCGCGGCTTGTGCATTAGCAGCTGTTTACTTTGTCGTTCTCTTGGCGGGTTGCTTTTGTCTATACAGACTGATGGGATACTCTTGTATATACACTCTTTTTATGCAGTTTGCAATATACAGGCAAACTAGGATGTTGGAATGGCTGGAATAGTTGATTAGGCCAACTATAAGGTTTATCTCTCTATATTTGCTCGTTGAATGGCCTATGGGTCTGTAATTTTGTATCATAGAGGAATGTCCATTGAATATATATTGGAGACATATTCCCACTGCAAACACTTATAATCACAAACAATCAGTAAATCAGATCAAGGTCTTATATAGACCCCGGACAATATAGCTGTATCCAACGAGGTCAAATTACCCCTACAAAGCTCTTGGCGTACAAAGCAAAGAAATGCATAAACTAGAGACTCTCAGAACCAATTGACGAGAGTAACATTAGAGGACCTTTATACAGACATGAACATATTGCTATTTCTCGTAGGAATAGAGGATGACTATCAGTACCCATAATCCCACCCATCTCATGAAATACAGTTTACAAAATGCCTCGGTAATGCCCTCCCACATTTAGTATGATATGTACACCGCGGATACATTCCACTACATTATCTCTCCAGATACTAAAATACTGGACGTAGAATAAACAACCGGTATATAGCAGACATGATGATGCCGAGGTGAGGGGTCGACGCGGGACGATTCCGCACTGGCTCGGATGCCTTTCATATATTACAGTAGATGGAAGAGCATTGAGACAGTGCGGATATGTTTACGTCTACATCTACATCTACACAGCAATATGGACTCAAAAATCTACGACATCCCGACCCACTGCAAAGCCGGGGTGGTCGTCAATGAAGGCCCCGACTTTCAAGTCAAGGTGGAAATGGTCCCCGTGCCAGAACCAGGTGTGTCCCTCGTCCATACAGAAGACAAGACACTGACCGGCAGGCCCCGACGACATCCTCATCCGCCTCAACGTCACCGGCCTCTGCTCCTCCGACATCCACATGATGAAGAACGACCTCGGCACGCCGCCCATGTCGTTCTTTGGCGTCCGGTCACCCGGCCACGAAGGCGCCGGTATCGTCGTCAAGACGGGCGCCAACGTCCGGAACTTCAAGGTCGGTGATCGCGCGGGCATCAAGCCGCTGACAGATACATGCGGGTCGTGCGAGCTGTGCTGGGACGACAAGGAGACATACTGCCGGACGGCCGTGCATACGGGGTTGATGACCGCAGGCACATACCAGCAATACATCGTCTCGCCTGCCCGCTACGCCTCCCCCATCCCCGATGGCGTCCCCGACGAAATCGCCGCCCCGATCATGTGTAGTGCTTCGACCATCTATCGATCCTTGGTGGAGTCCGGGCTGCGACCGGGCCACTGGGCTGTTTTCCCTGGCGGGGGCGGCGGCGTCGGGATCCAGGGTGTGCAGCTGGCGAGGGCGATGGGGATGCGACCGATCGTGGTGGACACGGGGCCAGCGAAGCGCGCGCTGGCGTTGGAGATGGGCGCGGAGGCGTTTGTCGATTTCGCCGAGACGGAAGACACCACTGCTGCGGTGGTGGCTGCCGCGGATGGGATCGGCGCGCACGGGGTGTTTGTCACGGCGCCGGCGGCTTATCGGACTGCGCTGTCGTTTGTGGGAGACCGGGTCGGGGCGGTTGTGATGTGCATTGGACTGGCGCCGGCCAAGACGATGGTCGTTGGCGATGATCCCAACCGGTTCATTTTTAAGAACCTGACGATCAAGGGGACCCTGGTGGGGAGCCGCAAGGATACAGCGGCGGCACTGGACTTTGCGCGACGAGGGATGCTGAAGCAGATTTGTGAGGTGTATCCCATCGATCGGTTACCGGAGGCTGTTGAAAAGCTGCGAAGGGGAGAGGTTGCGGGCAGAATCGTGGTCGATTTTGACCAGTAGTAGTGATGAGGTTCAGTTCGGACAGATTGGGGATGGGATCTGCCAGTCATGTGACTCGCTTCTGGACATGCGCAATGTTCTACTTAGCGACGACCGATTAATGCAAGTTTGAATGCATGGCTCAACAGTTTCATTCGAGTATGTCGTTTAATTTCCCTAAGCCTGTCCTCAGCGAAGGCAGTAATGGTTTAATCACAGGCAGTGCTTACTCCCGGAGACCTTGTCAGACACATCTTCGCTCCTAGCTATCTGGCAGGGACTGTCCACGTCTGCCGCATTAGTTCAAATTGGGAGCATAACAGGGTCTGAACTCTTGGATGCAGACAGAGCCATCTAAACCGTTGTTTCCCAAGGCGGCTTCCCGTAGAAACTCCGGACAGAGACGACCAACTTGAAGCCGAAGATGTCGCAGACGAGGAAGAATCTGTCCCAGAGTCTTACAGAATTCGTCGGGACTGCGATTGTTTTGCTCCTCGGGCCCGCAGACGGCAATCTCAAGGTTAATGCATGTTTGTGGAAGATCCAACAACATACAGGTGAGAATACCTCTGGGGAACTGCAGGCTTGTCGTCCCATCGAACACGTTGTGGCGGATCGCAAAGGAGAACGTGGTCAGATTGGTCATACAGCGTATCAACCCCGAAAGAGCCCTCAGGCAACGTTTCATTCGACGTGTCTTTCGAGTGCCCCAGTAAGCATCTTTGTGCCAGCGGCCATCAGGGTTTTCGATGGGGTACTTCAAGGCGACGGTCAATGTTCGGACCAATCCGCCTTCTGATTCTGGGAATTGTAGACAAAAGTGCTCCAAGTTGGAGTTTTTAAGAGCTATATCATGGTACAGGATGGGCATGGTTGATTGATGCCATCTCTTGCAGCAAAGGAGGCATGGGATCAATGCAGATGAACCCAACATGAGCTTCAGTGATGTTAAGACCCGGATGAATATCTCTTCTGGAAAAGCATTTACTGATAGAGACATTATATCAATACTTAAAGAGAAGTGGTGATTCAAGTCAGCAGGGCAGACCTATGCCATATATCTACTAAGTAATGCTTTAGCTGCACTGCTTGACCCACAAATACGAACCCGAATGCATTTCCTTCTTTTAGACAGGTATAATGGGCCAATGAAAGCTCACTTCTGATATTTTGCAGGGCATTGCAATTTTGACTGAACTCGGACTAAATGTAACTCTAGCTCTATTGTTAAGGGTGGTCAAAAAGTGTTGCGGGACAATAAGCAAGAGCACAAAATGCAGATCAATGGGATGATTATATGCATTTCATCTCAGGGTCGAAGCCTCATTCCGGCCACCACAACACAAGGTTGACTCCGAGGACCGAGCCTTAATCCCAAGGCTCTAACATGCGACTATTTTGTAATATATATTGTATCATATCCATATCTGTAACATACATGGAACTCGCTGGAAGGCTCTGTCTCACTAGCTGTCCTGTTCGATTTGGCAAGCTGTTAACAGCGACTGTGCTCCTCTGCATTCCTCTCCTACATCTGTATTTTTGCTGTGGGAGGAAGCAGTCTCTAGGGGTTATGACTGGCCAAGTCTGACGACCAAGAGTTTATTGGTACTCTATTGGTACTCACTGCAACGACCTCACTCTGCTTCATCATGAACAGCCTATTGGACATGGACGAGTGTAGGTTAGTGAGCCGGGCTCTAGGTTTTCATACTAACTTCTCACATAGACTAGAAGGGCCTAACATCTTAGGCACTTTCTGGTTTAAAATTAAGCTGACAAATCAGAATGCCTAATCATGGTTTGCGGCCATCACCTTGTCGAATCCGACAACTTAGTTTCCGCTTTCGGACAATGGTCGCCATTTACTCCTATCACCCTCGCATTGACGTTACATAGTGCAGTGCAGACTTAAGCTATACACCACAATGACTTTTACCTTTCAGAAGTAATTATAGAGATGGTTGAGCTCTGAGATGACGCTCTATTGTTGTGCACGGGATGACTAGCTAGAGACCTCTAATTGTCCAAGCCGAATGTAACCCTCCTCCCGACCCGCGAAGTGTAGTAGAAGCATAAATCGTCCAGTGAGGAACTGCAGGCGCATATTACATATTATCTCTTGAAGTGCCGCAGACTAAGCAATATGGAAGACTACCGTGCGGCGTCGCTCTTCCAACCTTCCAACTTGGCAAAGGCCCTAGAGGACACTATGAACCCGTCATCTGGGAGACCTACGCATTTATTAGGCACCATTGTCTCTATTCCACACACCATCTCAGCGCGCACGCTGGCAGTCCTGGGTTATGACTTTGTCATGATTGATGCACAACATACGTTTGTCCCTCGCTGTACTTGACGGACCCCATTTCTGTTCAAGGTCTAACCAGTACAAACTGTAACGGTGGTGCAGACCCATTGACGCTGAAAACCTTGTTCGCCTAATCCAAACCGTTAGCCTGTCTAGCCAGGGAAGGACCATCCCGATCTGTCGAGTGCCGTCTGCTCAATCACATCTACTAACATATGCTCTTGACGCGGGTAAGTCTGGTTTGAGCTATCAGTTAAGAATTCTAAACGCTTACTCAACGGGTGTTTAAATAGGAGCCGGCGGCATAATCTTCCCACACATTGATACACCTGACCAAGCCGCCGAAGCCGTCAGCAAGTGCCGTTATGCATACTCTGGCGGTGACCGGTCCCTGGCTCCAGCAGTGCTAGTCCCTGGAGTTACAGATGTGGCACCACCAGGATCCTCCCACGAGCGTGTAGCGGACAAGAACATCGCAGTGATCATACAGATCGAGAGTCCTGTAAGTTCATTATTCTCAGGTTGGTGTGGTCTCCATATGGGCTGATGGCGGGATGTATGCAGCTTGCCCTTGAAAATGCGGACGCCATAGCTGCAGTCCCTGGTGTCAACGGCCTAATGCTAGGGGCTGGCGATCTCCGAGTTGCCTTGCGCTGCCCTCCGCGCCGGGTCGGCGATCCCGAAGACCAGCAGATATTGGACGCAATAGATCAATTGGTGAAGGTGTCGAGACGGCATCAGAAGCCTTTGGCTGTTGTCACGTGCAAGGTGTCTGGGACATCACGTACTTGGCTTAAAGACTTTCAGCTATTGATGCTAACATCGGATTACTTGAGCGTGGTGAAGGGGCACAAGGAGGAGTTAGCTCGTATGATTGAGACACTGGCGGAGGCGCAAGAGTTAAAAAACTGATGGAAACTGATGGGGAGTAGCATTGGCTGCTAAATACCAGTAATGCTTCGATTATCAATTCTGCCAGGCCATGGCAGCCCTGAAACTAAATGAAGCGTTATATAGCACTATTGTTTTAATTCACAACTGAAGCACATATAGCTGGAGTAGCGCACAGTCTATCAGCCAATGAAAGCCTGAGGCAACAGCCGCTTTCAGTTAGAGCATCTGTCTACCCCTCAGGTACTATGCATAAAATGCATAGTAGTTCACTACATTTTAAGTGTAGAGATCCCTGAGTTACTTGGTAGTTGCCTCTCAATAAAGAATCAGACCTCTGCTAATATGAAATACTAGATTACCAAACTTCTGATAATCACTACATGTCTGCTGGAAGATACGATATTGTGGGGTAATAGCTGCGCTACTTTACCCCACCAATACGAACTCAATGACTCCCTTCGCATCCTTCTCCTCCTCCTTCTCTTCTTCCTCTCCTCCTCTCCCAATCTCCTTCTCACTTCACCATCTTCAATCTATGAAATGGCCCTTTCAACACGCGCAAATGGCGTCCTCCGCGCCAACAGCAACAGTCTCATCTGGGAGGTCTTGGGCGACATGTATGACCCGGAAACCAACCCTGACGGCTACTACAGCGTCGGCGTAGCTGAGAACCTCCTAATGCACGAGTACCTCCTGGACCACATGCACCAGAACCTCCGCCTCACCTCCAAATCCCTCACCTACAACGACGGCGCATCCGGCTCCAAACGCCTCAAAGCGGCCATGGCGCGCTTCTTGAACCGACGCCTCCACCCGGCTACCCCGCTCGAACCGCACCATCTCATCCTCACCAACGGCGTCTCCGCGGCAGTCGAGCATCTCTCCTGGGCGTTTGCGGATAAAGGCGAGGGGATCCTCCTGGGAAGACCGTACTACGGCACCTTCATCGCGGATATCTCCATGCGGTTCGGGACGGAGGTTGTGACTGTTCCTTTTGGAGGGGCTGATCCGTTCGGCGCAGACTGCGTGGACGCATACCGACACGCGCTGACCAGCTTCGAGCAACGGACTGGAAAAAAGTGTCGTGCGCTACTGCTATGCCACCCGCATAATCCTCTCGGACGGTGTTACTCGCGGGACGTGCTGGTTGCGCTGATGCGGTTGTGCCAGGAGCACGGGATGCATTTTATCAGCGATGAGATATATGCGTTATCTGTATGGGGTGGGGAAGAGTTTGTCTCTGCGCTGAGTATCGACACCGACGGTATCATCGATGCGGACCGGGTACATGTGCTCTGGGGTATGAGCAAGGATTTCGGTGCGAATGGGTTGCGGTTGGGCGCACTGATCAGCCAGGGGAATAAGGATGTGCGTGCGGCGGTTGACAGTGTCGCTCTGTATTCGTATGTGTCCGGACCGGCGGACCATCTGGCGGCAAATATCCTCGAGGATGATGCGTATACGGATGAGTATATCCGGTTGAACTGCGAGAGGCTGAAAGAGGCGTATGCATACACTGTAGGATTACTGAAGCAGAATGAGATCCCGTACATGGCTGGAGCGAATGCGGGATTCTTCGTCTGGGTGGACCTGGGCACGCCGTACCTCAAGCGTCACCCCGAGGCGATCCACGAGGATGTCAGCGAGATTGTGATGCAGCGTCTGCTGAAGAACAAGGTGTTTCTGGCTTCGGGGGCGTTGTTTGGGTCAGAGACGCCGGGATGGTTCCGCATTGTCTTTGCGCATCCGCAGGCGTACCTGGACGAAGCGTTGCGACGGATTGTGGCCGGTCTTCAATAAATAACCATTGATTGATGTACACATCTACAGATACAAGCTATTCATAGAGGAGCCACCCTGTTGTTCCTATCATCAACACCCCCAACATCGCCGTCAGGAGCCCCGCCCCCGCGCGATCTGCCCCGGTGATAGTCATCGTCAGCACCTGTGGCCGTGGATCGTGCTGCTCCATTCCTCCACTCGGGTCGCCCACTGAGGTGCCCCCGGTGGCATCCGTGACCGGCGGATCTACCCGGTCAACCAAGAGATTCTGCATCACCTCCAGCGCACTCATCTGCAATCCCACATCCTCGCTGCCATCCCATACCCCCGTCGTCCATTTCAGTCCACACGCTGCGCCATCCGGACCGCCAGTGCATGTCCTTGCGGCGGCAGCTGCTGACGCCCGCAGCCGCGGCATGACCCAGTCATACGTGAAGGGTGCAACCTGCGTGGCTGCCGCCATCCATCGCGCGAGGAACCCCTTGAAAGCCCGCTGGTCGACCTGGCATGTATTCACGAGCTCGCACGCCCGCTCATACATCACCATGGCCGGGTCCTTGACGAAAAACACATCCGTCGCCTGGAGGATACGCTTTGTCCTCGCCTCCCATCGGGGGTCACCCTCCGTCTGTCTCGTTAGCCACGCCATCAAGAGAAGTAGACATAGACATAGACATACAAAATTGTACATGTTGGCCGCGCCCAGCAAATACACGCCAGAGTTGTACGTCCACTCGATACGGTTAAAATCCGAGCAGTTCAGCAGCACGTCCGCCCCATCGTAAAACAGCCAGTCGTCCGTGATGAAGCCCACGTCCACCGTCCAGTCCCAGACCCGCTCCGCCCACTCCGCGTACGTGCTGTTACCCGTGTACCGCGCCAGCCTGGCCGCCAGGTGGAAGAAACACCCGTTGGAAATGGTATTCTTGTAATTCCATCCATTGTTGAAGCTGAAGATCTGCCACCGCAGTCCCCCGCCGCAGGTGTCTTCGTCCCACCGGGCCGCCTGCGTGTTGAACACCGCCTGCGCCATCGCCAGCCACCCCGGCCCGTGGTCCGGGTCTGGGTCGGGGAAGTTTCGCTCCGCAGCGGACATGGCTGCGAAGGCCCAGAAGGCCTGGTCGTCGTTGCCCTCCGTTTTGGTTTGGTTGGTTGGCATAAAGGTCCCCGTGTGTCCGGCCTGCCAGGTCAGGGCTTGCGTGGTGATTGCGTTCCAGGTGCTGTCGCCCGTCAGGTACCAGTAGTCGATGAGGGCGTTGAACATCGCCCCGGCTTCCCACCAGTAGTATGGGGGTGGCAGGTTGCCCGGGTTGTCGCCGGGTTTCATCCCCGTGTAGTGGGAGAGCATGTTGGCGGCCACATCGTGGGCGGCTTGTTTGATGGAGGTGGGATCGTTGAGGTCTAGGGGGATGCTATACGCGGGGGAGATCAACAAGAGCCATAGTAATTGCATGCAGTGCATTGTAGTTGATTTTGGGGATCATGTTGAGGTTGAGAATCAGATCAAAGCCTGGAAGAAGGGATGGGATGATGTTGATGTCGCATTCTTTACCTGGAATGTATCCACAACACTGTTGATCAACGATGTCTCACTATCGATAACAGCATTCTTCTTTTATTCATAATGAGAAACGAGTAAAACTAATTGCTGCCAATGATCAAATCAGCTGCCCGCTCCGCAACCGCATACACCGTCGCCTGGATATTCCCCGCCGGCTCCAGAGGAAAGACACTGGCATCGACAACCCTCAGATTGCGAGTCCCATACACTTTCAGCTGATCATCCACCACACCCCCCATCTCCCGCGGCAACATGGCACACGTCCCCGAAGGGTGGAAGCACGTAAACAGCCGGTCCTTGACCACCTCCTTGGCTCGATTCAGATCGGCCAAGTCACTCGCGTTCTCCGGGATCCGCCGTTCCTTGAGAAGGGATTTGAAGGGCTCCGTGGCGACAATCCTGTCTAAGAATTGCGTGTGCCGAGCCAGGATCTCCAAATCCAGCGGGTGAGATAGAAAGTTCGGATCGTAGATCGGTTTGTCCTCCGCCTTGGAAGAGGAGATATGCACCGATCCGCGTGAGAAAGGATGGTTGTGCAGGATCATGATACTGATGTAGTTCTCCGGCAGGGGCTTAGCCAGGACGTCGGGCAAGCTTGTCGCGCAGGGTTTCATGTGTAGCTGCGCGGGGAGGAAGAGGTACTCCGAGGAAGGGGTATCGTTGTCTAGGATCGCTTTCCTGAGGTGCGCGTATTGCGCCTGCAGATTGGGTGGAAGGTTGGGGCTGTCGAGATACTTGGCCAGCAGGTCCTCGACTTCTTGTCGCGGGACTACGCCCCGTCCGTCAACGAAAGGAAGGTAGGCTACGCTGATGGGCATGCCTGCCAGCGGGCCGCTGCGTGTCTCCTCGTAGAGCTTGATGAGGGCCTGCACCACGTTTGGGTCGCGGAGAATGTCTCCTGAGACCTGGCCGTCGGCGATCTCGTAGCTGATGGAGCTGATGCAGTGGTCTTGGAGGTTCTCGCCGACACTGGGGTTGTTGATCACCACGGGGATACCGTGCTTTTGTAGAAGCTCTACATTTCCGATACCGGAGAGTTCGAGGATCTGAGGGGTGTTCAGACTGCCGGCGCAGATAATGACTTCTTTCTTTGCGTGAATTTCTCTCGCGCCATCCTTGTTCTTGACCTGCACGCCGGTGGCCACGACGTCTCCATCCTGCTTGGTCAACAGCACCCGCTCGACCATGGTCTCTGCCAGCAGGCGCAGGTTTGGCCGTGCGGCCACCTCAGGAGAGTAGTATGCCGCTGCATACCCCCGCTTCCCTGTCTTTGCGTCAACGGTCAGTGGCGGGGTAAACGCACCCAATTTGCGTCCTGCGATGGGATCCGCGTCCGTCCGCCAACCAAGTTTCTCAAATGTCTTATCCCACGCTTCGTTGAACGGCCCATATACGTCCGGCAGGGAAACAGGCACAGGGCCATCACACCCCTGGCTGCTGGCTTTCATGTAGCGATCAACGCCGAGAAGTTCAGCCGTGGTCTTGCTGGGCGGGGAGAACGTGTGAAACTTCCGCAGGTAGGGCGCCATATCTTCTGCGCCCCAGCCTTTGTTTCCCAACGCCTTCCATGCCTCAAAGTCTGATGCGGGAGGGTACATGACGACCGAGAAATTCAGGGCCGAGGAACCGCCGACGACACGGCCGCGGGGCTGCGCGATCTGTCGGTTGTTGACATGCGGCTATACGATCAGCATTATTGACGTGAACGAAGTAGTGGAAGGGAGGTGATACCTGAGGGACACTCATATAATCCCAGTCAAAGTCTGGGTTTCCGTACAACATGCCCAAAAACCCAGGGGTGTCGATACGAGGATCGCCCATGCGATTGGCCCCGGCTTCGATGAGGAGGACATTGACAGAAGCGTCTGCGCTCAGGCGGTTGGCCAGAACCAGGCCACCGATGCCTGCGCCAACAATGATATAGTCGTATTCGTCCATTGCACTGTTCAGTCTGAGGCAGCTGCTGTGGTTGCGACTTGCGAGTCGTGTTCTCTGTTCAGGTTGAGGGGTTAGACTGTCAGGACTCAGGGGTGGATCGACGAGCATCAAATCCCGCGTTCGCTTGGGGCCAAAATGACATGTCAAATACTCTATCCTCGTTCAACGTTATTTAGTCTACCCCTCTCCCTCCCATAAAGCTAATGATGGCCCCATTCGTGTCTCTTCCAATCGCTCTTCGCCGGGATCCCCACAATCCGCGCCGGCTGATCCTTCGTGCGCCGCCGTTATACTAAAGCAGTAGCGTGAGACCTCGCCCGTTCTGATCGGCAGGAGGCCAGCGGCTCGTTGTCTGGGCGCAGACGAAGATTGGTCTCGACGACGCGGTGGCTGCCCGAAGCAGGGCAATGGCTGTCCATTTACCGGAACAGGAATCCGGCACGATTCCTAGAATAAGACGGAAATGATGCATCATGTATGGCGCTAGTCTAGCACATGTGAGAAGCTTGACCTGTGATAAATTGTCCGTAGCCTCGACTTGAGGGTTTCAGACTTTCAGGGATTTTTATAAAGGATGTCCTCGAGAATTTCGCACTTGTCCACCACGGCGCTGGTGAACCAAAATGGTGGCCCTGTACGATGCCTTTGCCTTCCCCATTGTGCGCGACCAGCTCATCGCCAACACGGTGCTGGTCGCCTTTGCCACTCTTGCTCTGATTCTCCGGTTCATCTCGCGACATATCCGGCAGAGTAAGATCTGGTGGGACGATGGCTGCTGTGTAGGTTCCATGCTGCACACATACGGCATGCTGGCAATGCACTACCACTACGCTCGCGTCGGGATGCGTTACCACGTCAGAGAGATCCCCGGCGAGAATGTAGTGGCCATCCCGCCATGGTCCTCGCCAAACTGAGCTATCTCTTCTTCTACCTCCGCATCTTCGTCACCAAGGGCTTCCGTATCGCCGCCTGGGTCTGCATGGGCTGTGCCTGTGCCTACTGGGCCGGCAGCATGCTCCAGATCTTCTTCATCTGCCAGCCCTTCCGGAAGAACTGGAACCCCACGCTACCTGGCCACTGCGCAAGCCAGAACGTGGCCTTCTCGACCATCGGTGCCTTCAATCTCATCACGGACGTCATGATCATGGTGTTGCCCCTGCACTTTATCTGGAAGCTGCAGATGAGCACTGCGACCAAGCTGGCGCTCTACGGTATCTTTGGATTGGGTCTTTTGTACGTCCTTCCTTTCAACTAAGTATCTAAACGCATGGCTGCTAATTGTGGCAGTATCTCCGCGATAACCATCATCCGCATCCGCGTCCTCACAACAGTCGACTTCCTCGATCTACCCTACTCGATGATCTGGGCTGCCTTTTGGAGCGTCACCGAGCCGGCCCTGGCGAACTTGAACGCCTGCGTGCCAATGCTCCGACCCGTCTTCAAGGCAGCTTTCCCAACACTGTTTGCCAGCCGCAAAATCTACTCGACGCAGCCGGGGTCTGGAGTCTCAGGAAACAAGAACAAAGTTTTCAAGCGGATTAATGAAGTCGAGAGTGACATTCAGCTTACGAATCTTACGCAGTTGGAGGAGCCGGTTAGAACAAGTCGGGAGGGGAGATCAGAACATGGAGACGACGGGTCGCAGGATGATCGATCACAGGATGGCCGTTCGCAGGATGAGTCGGCCCATGTCCCCAGGAGCGTGATTGTGACCAAGCCTTGGGCTTAGTATGTAACAATATGTGTCTTATTACTTGGTGGCGGAACTGTTGATTAAGGCACCGTATCCCCCCTTCATCAACGGACTGGTCATTATCTCCTCCCAGTGATGATAGGCGTACATCTGCTCTACCGACAAGTTTATGTCCTGCTTGCCACGAGTATAAGCCGACTCATCGTAGGCATCCATCTCTGTCTGGAGATCCGCACCGTCGTATACCACCTTGACAATGGCATCCAGGAAGCGTTTCACGTCTTCTAGCGCGGTGTTCAGTCCCTGCGCGGTGACTGTCATCGTCAGTAACCTCTCCTCAACTGTAGGAAACAGTAAGACCAACAGGGGACCATGGGATGCGCCGCATCACCCGCTAGGGAAATTCTTCCGCCGAAATTACTCCACCGTGTTATGTTTTTCCAGTAATGGAACTGCACTACGCATTAGCGTCCGCCAATAAAATCGTCTAGACTCTAGACGTACCTTTTCGGCTCGTATTGGTGTGGCCTGACTCAACCATTCCCCGGCCGACCTGTACGGCTCGCAGTATTGGCTCATGTGATGTTTGAATAGGGCGCGGCGCGCCTCGGCATTTTCTGGGGGGTCCTCGGCTGTCCAGATTGACAGGCAATAGTGAAATACCCAGGTTTCCGGCCGAACGGGGTCGACCACGTTGGCCACTAGCTTGTCAGTTGCGTTGTGCTCTTGACCAGGGAGGTTATCACGGCGTACCGTTGGAGAAAATACTTGTCTTCTGGTGCGGATGGGGAGCCAGCTGCACGATCGGGTGGGACTTGCCGTGTATGAAAAGCGCCTGCTCTCGAGTGAACGAGGGGAAGGCATTCTTCTCTACTCCTTAGCACAATCCCAGGGAATGAAAGTCAAAGAACCAACCAAGACCATGATATTCGGCTTCTGCAACGCGGCAACCTTCTCGTCGACGAGTTTCCCTCGCACCACGCTCCGCACTTGACACCGTCAGCACCAATTCACTAAAAGGAAGAATACCTACCTCCATCCGCTCCAACAAGCACACTCCCCCTAACCACCTCCCTATCGAACACAGCAACCACCCCATCATCGTCCACCCGGATGTCAGTCAACCTCCTCCCAAATCTAACCTCCACTCCTGTCCGCAAAAGATCACGCAACTTCCCCCGGATAACCCGCTTCGGACTCGGCATAGGAATCTTAGCCATCAGCTCGCCAGTAGCACCATTCACAAACGGGATAGCAGCCGCAATGGCAGGATCTGGCTCGGACCAGGGATTCGTCGTTGTGGAGTTCAGTTTCGCACGGAGATCAGAGGGGAGGATGGACTCGAGATACGGCAGGGCAGAATGCAGGGCCATGGTCCATTGTCCTGCCCGGCGGGCGTAGGTCTCTTCATCGTGCTGTTCGTAGATGGTGTATGCGATGCCGGCCTGCCTTGTCAGCTGCAACTTGGGCTGAGATATGGGAGGAGTACCTGTTTTAGGCCTTGTGCGAGGAGGAGGCCGGTTGCGCCTAATAGTGCGTTTAGTATCAGGATAGGTACTGGATGAGGGAACGCACCGGCGCCGATGATGATGACGTGGAAGTCTGGGACCGGGACTGTCATTGTGCTGGTGCTATTCCGAGATTAACTGCTGGCGCCAGATGGCATCTCTGGGTAGATTGATGTAGCCTTAATAACAGAATGCCTCACAGTCTGCCATGGACAGGTCCCCACTGAGCTAGCGGTGTAAAACTCGATGGAATATTTGCAAAATATATATCCAAAATGTTCTGTTTTCTCTACAGAGAGCTGGGGATCTAGGAGTTATGGTAGTAACACTATCTGTTTATCGAGTGGGAGGTGCGTAGGGGACTCTGCCTCCCTTGCGTCGCTATGTCTCAGTATGGAGGGCCAAAATCATATCTGCATGTTCGCCCTCTGACCGTATCTCACTGATCTCTTCGGAATTTGATTAGATATTGGTGCGACCATATATTCTATCGCAACCTCTCATTTTGGATATGTTATCTAGTTCTAGCAGAATTCTGATAAGTAGCAGTTTGTCCTTGATCAGAAGAGTACCGTAGGCGCGTTCTCCGGAGCGTACAGGTCTCTAGAAGTGTCTCACCGACTCTTGCTGTGCATGTCTTGTGCAGCAGTTGAGCTATCATTGGTAGGAAACGCGAGTACCATGGTATCCTAGCAGTGATTCATACGTGGACTATAAACTAGACTGATCTGCTGCTGGGATCTGACCATATACACCAAAGGTATGGATGAATGGCTCAAGTGGCCCTGATCCCACTGGGTTAACAACCGGTTCTACGAACCAAGGTAAAACCAACTCTGCTTGAATTCTGATCGAATGATTTCTATCCTCTCCCGGAGCAAGGCTAGCCTGAGCCCAGCGCAAGTCACTGATAGCAATGCCGAGCTGCATCAAGCCAGCTGCTGGCCGACAGGTTGATATTGGCATTTCTGAAGTAAGAAACATGTTTCTCATGCATTATTAAAGCCTTTCTGTCGGGACATTGTTCGAGGATATACGAGTCGCCAGGCTTCCGGGAGACCGCTCATCGGGTCGGCAGACATACTGTCAATTGGCAACCCCTGAGGAGTTGTGATCTACATTGGCTCGTGCTTCATGATAGAATGACTCCTCGACCTCGCTTGGAGCTCCCATTCCTTTTGGCGCAGAAGCTTTATCCAAGTCGACGACGACATCGCTGCATTTACGATCAGACGACGATCTTCATTGAGTCCTTCGTTGTCTGGGGAAGCAGACGGTCATTCTCTGTTACCAGTGCTGCGCAGTCACAATGTGGCATTGGTATGCAGATCAGGGGCTGTGAGGATCATTGCTAACCTGTTAGTATCTATTCAGAATCAGACACAGCGAGGAAAATAGTCTCCTTCTCCATCACCTCCCTGGTATACCTAGGGGTAGATTGTCCAAAGTTGCACTAATGCTTGTGTCGCATCCAGGGTGGTCACGATTGAGAGGTTTAGGAGCCTGGTATCAGTATCTGATGATGAAGCTCTATAATCGCAGCATCCTCGTTTGCTTCTGCTGACACGACACAACATTGAAGTGGACGCCCCAGACTCAGGTGTAACTCTCCTGTCCCATGCTGGGAATGAAGGCAATAGTCAAGTGATCAGGCCCTCTTGGCCCGTGTCGACGTCGATCCAGGTGGTTGATCAAAGGGGAGGTCGTCTGCCGGAGCTTTGCAAGCCTCAGTTCGTAGAAGAAGACCCATTAAGACGAGGCGTCGAATAGAAACCAAGATCACGAAAAAGCAATAGTTATGTGGCTGACGTCAGCTCCCCAGGAGCATATAGTTAAGTTAACCACGACTTGCCGATCACCGTCCATCATTGACAGAGTCGGTTCCAAATGAGCACTGGCGAGATGCTTACCCCGGCTATCCTGGTGCCATGACTCCTGACAATCGTCCCCGCAACATCAGCTAGTAGTCTCCTTCGGTACGATGCGGCACTCGCCAAGGGACGGACCGAATGCGTCTACCCCATCAGCGGCCAATATGCCCTTCTGCAACGAGTCCGCTATTACGGCCTCCTTCTCATCTCCATAGTCAGTCGCAAGACTCCGTGGTTGGTGGCTGGTGCGTTGGGTGCGGCCATGACCTATGCCGGATCAGTGGCTGTCCACGCAACCATCCTCGCTGGCATATCGCGTGATTCTCTACTTGATCTGAATTGCTTGGGATCTTTGCCATCGTCAGCGTGGGAAGTTTGGTCGTGACGGTATTCTTCCATGGTTCTGGACTTCTGAGCGAATCCCCTGCCCGCCCGATACTCCAATACTGGGGTTACTGATGGTTGTTGGAACTATCTGTGCCATTGTAAGGGACTATCCGAGAAGAGAAATGTATATCTATACCGAGTGATGCGGCCAACAGCACAGAACCGATACTGCTGACGAGCACGGCACAATTGGGTCTGATGCCGTTCAATTGCACGTATACCTGCTTCAACACACGACAAGCCTTTCGAGACCCGCGACATTCGAGTGGTACCAGCTGGCACAGTACCAAGTCAGAGATTCAGACTATTAGAAGCCTCAATCTGCCTCTCGCTATTCCTCGGAGCCGTGGCCTCACTTTACCGTCTCCTCGTGACTCCCCGCTACTACACAAAGGACGAGCTGGAAGGAATACGTCGCTCAGCAAACAAGACCCTTAGCAGGGACAATCAGCTGCCAAAAAGCGCCGCTACGCAGAACAAAGTCCATGAATGGCCCAGAAGAAGTTGTCTCGCGGTCAGAAGCGCGGCCGGGGTTGATGACTGATCTGTCGTCAATCGCCTGTGTGGTCGTCATCGTCTTGAACGAGGTGTCCATACATCTCGGCAATGACATTCCCGCACTGTCGTATGCCGTGGGGCAATGGGGTCATGGGTAGATGTCACCAGGGCGTTGGCTGGATCTGCCATCGTGGAGTATCACCGGCCAGCCTGGGAGGAACGGCAGCGGATATTGAGGGAGGAGGGTGTACTTGTGGAAGGAGAGAAGGACCCATCACTGTTTCCTCAGTGTGAATGCGCTTGAGAAACCTGGCTGGAAATCACCAGCTACTGGAGTGGACCCTGGGGCTGATATCTTGCAGTGGCCAGAAGCAGCCTGGCCAAGGGGATTGCCTAGTTAACAGAATAGACACTACCAATTTGGGATAGAGCTTTGGTATGTCCGAACTCGTGCACACAATCTTTATTCGATCCATTCAATTGACTCCCTATTTCACTGACCACTACTCGTATAGACACCAATCACCGATCACACCGTAGATACACCGCTAGAAACCCTCCTCATCAACCGTAATCCGATTATACACATCCAAACTATACCTCGCAAACCGACTCTTTGCACGAATCCTTTCCCCAAACCGCGCAAATAAAGGCGGCACAAGACAAAACACCGTGGCAATTGCCGCCAGCACACTAACCGCCACATTCGCACCCAGCGAACCAAACATTGCCGGTGCAAACAGCGGAAACGCCGCGCTCATACTCGTCCGCAGGATCGTCTGCGCTGCGAACCCGCTGGCCGCGTAGCTGAGGTAGCTATCTGCGAGATAGCCAGTCAGGACGGAACCAAACTCGGTTGCTGCGTAGCCGATTGCCACGAGGGCGACGGTCGAGACCATCCAGTGGACGGATGTGATTGCGGGGGGAATGGTCCAGGCGAAGAGCCACAGGCCGAGGGCGAAGACGGGGGCGCCGATCATGAAGCCGAGGAGCTTGTCTTCGGGACGCAGAGGGAGGCGCTGGCGGTGGTGGGAGATGATGAGTTTGTAGTCGTGGATGCGGGTGAGCATGCCGAGCATGCAGCCGAGGCCGAGGCCGAGGAAGGGGAGACATGAGTGGGTGGGGGTCATGCCAAAGGATTGGTAGATTGGGGGGAGGGCCTCGGTGAACATGTAGATGAGGGTGAAGGGGATGGCGCTGATGATGGATACCAGGAAGATAATGGGTTCGGTGAAGAAGAGGTAGATGGGGCGAAAGAGGGCCATGGTGAAGAATGTGCGCAGGTCAGGGATACGGTCTGGGTTAAGGCTTTGCACCACGATCTGGGTCTCCTTGCCGAGGGCCTGGCACAGATGGCGGACTTCTTGGTCGAGGAGGAGGGGAGGTCGAGATTCACGGATGCCGAGCAGGAGACACGCGATAAAGCCGGTGACGATGGCTGCTACGTAGAACACCCATCTCCTGGACGCAGTCAGTACTGCCTTGGGTCAGTGCTGGGAACATACCAATTCAATGCGTAAATGATGTATGTGCTGTAGATCGGTCCCAATGCCAGACCCCATGGAGCCAGCATCATCCACAGCGACAGGAACCATATCCGGTCTTTTGCGTTGAACATGTCTTCAATGCTTCCAGCCACTACATTGGTGGGAATCGCCGACAGGAACCCGCTGAGTAGACGACCAACGACTACTCCAGTGACAGACGGAACAATAGCGATTATGATGCACGACAAGCTGTACATCGCCGTACTGACAATATACAGTTTCTTGCGTCCAAACGCTTCCGAGTACGGAGGAAAGACGATGCTGCCGATTCCTTGCCCGATGAGGTACCTACACTGTCAGCTAGGCCTGAGTTAAGGACAGGTCACATACATCGGCACAAAGAGAAAAATCGACACTGTCTTGCTGATGTTGAATTCCTCATGGGAGGCATTGGCCGCGGCAGACTACCAGGTCAGCGTGGCTCGCACCATCAATTGAGTGACATACTCCTGCTGCACTGACCAACGTCCTGCAATTGTCAGCTTCGTCCAAGGCATAGGATGAGCAACATACGTAAACATCTCCAGCAACAAAATGACTGATACATCGTGGGCCTTGCGCAGCTTCGACCAGTTGCGTGGGTGTCGTTTATTGCCCGGTTTCCAATGCACGAATCCATCCGGGGTAAGCTTGAGACCTTGGAGGTCTAGCTGCTGTTGAAAAAGACCCTCGTCAATGGGCGAGGGCGCCACGCAAAGTTCTTTGGATTCCACGATCTGAGACATGGTGTCACTGAGAGATGGAGGAGGAAGGAAGGCCATGAGGAGCAGACATTTATTCAATCATTGCTTCAGCGAAACCTTCGTCATAGCAGGTGAGCTCTTTCTAAGCTCCTCCCTTGATTGGTGTCCCTGCCAATGGAGGCTCGCCCTCTGGATTCCTGAGATAACCTTTGCTATATTTGGACTCGTCCAGAGTCACACCATTTGGTATAATGTGAGGTCATAGGCCCTACATGATGGAGCTTTCGTCTTGTCTTCCTGCAATACTCTTGAATCCCCAAAGATGCGGTTACGCGTCGTGGCTCTTGGTTGATATTAAACATGGAACAGACGAACATGCTGAAAAGCAAAGCAGTCGGAGATTTGACTGCATCGTCTCCCTTGCCTGACTGTCGTCAGCCAGGAATGTGGGGAGATGTGATCAACTATCCCTCAAGCAGGTTGGAATATTCCGAGCAGACGTGATCATCCCTTGTTTGTCGCGACTAGCACAGGAATTACCCCCATGCTCTGTCTAGGGCATCGCTGTTGATGCTTTGTCGCAAAGCAATGAATATAAAGGCACGGCAATGGAAGTGTAGTGAGCAACCAATCTACATTGATAATAAACCTGTAATATACAAATTCTCTAGACTGGCAGCTTCATCAACTCATCAACACGTACAACGTGTCCTCGGCGCATCGACTCATTCGCAGCGATGCCCGTAGCAATCGACCATGCGCCGTCGACATGCGTCGCAGCCCGTTTCAGCGGATCCTGTATAGCCTCACCACCAAACAAGTCCTTCAGCAGCTGAGGATCTCCCCCACCATGCCCCCCCTCACTCGTCGGAACTTCAATCTCCACAGGCTTCCCGAACATAGGCCGCAGGAGAATCGTCATACTCTCCAATGCGCCTTCCATCGCCTGCTCCCCACCCGAATTGACATACGACTGCTCCACCACTTCCACCTCCAGCCGACCCTTGCTCCCATTGAACATCACCCGGAACCCTTCCCAGGGCGCATACGCCGTCAGGCTGTACGTCAGGACCGCGCCACTCTCATACCGCACCATCACCCCCATCGTATCCTCGATACTGATCCCATCGCCAAAGACGCTCTGGTCGCGGTAATACCCATCCTCATGCTCCGCGTCCGCATACAGCGCCTTCAGCTGCGCATTACCTTCCAGATCGAGCGCAAACGGGTCCGAGCTAGCAACCTCGCTGCCTCTCGCCCGGGCATAGAACCGCGTCTCGCCCCGGCGCTCCGCGTTCTCCTTCCCGTAGAAGCGCAGATCCCCCATCGCGACAACGCTCTGCGGCCTTGTCCGCAGCCAGAAATTCACCAGGTCGAAGTGATGCGTCGACTTGTGCACGAGTAGTCCTCCGCTGTTGCGCTTATCGCGATGCCATCGCCGGAAATAGTCAGCGCCATGCGACGTGTTGAGCATCCACTCAAAGTGCACTGAGTGGACATCCCCGATTGCGTCCGAGGCCAGCAGCGCCGCGATCTTGCTGTTGTGCGGCGCGTACCGGTAGTTGAAGGTCACTCGGACCTGGCGCTGTGTGCGCTCCACGGCGTCGATGATGGCCAGGCAGCGGGGCGCGTCGATCGTCATGGGCTTCTCGGTGATGACGTTGCAGCCGAGCTCCAGCGCGCGGATGATGTACTGGTGGTGCGTGCGGTCGATCGTCGTCACGATGATCTCGTCGGGTTTGGTGTCTGCGATCATCTTGTCGAAGTCGCTGGCGAGGTAGGTTGGGACTGGCGCGTGGCCGAGTGCCTCCAGCCGACTGTTGGCGTATGCCATCCGGGTGGTGTTGGTATCGCAAAAGGCGACCAGTTGCGCGGTGGTGGGAAAGTCGCGCACAATGGCCGTGTAGAAGAACATGGCGCGGCCGCCGGTGCCGATGAGAGCATATTTCTTCATATCTTCGTTTTATCTGCTTCAAATCGTTTGTTTGTTCTGATAAGTTCGTGTGATGGTTCAAAATGAAAAGGGAACAAGATGTATATAACGTCGGGAAGAAATACCCCGAGATCAACACCCCGCATCACACAACCAACAGACAATGTTCAGGCTGAATGGATTTTCCATGAATCAGAACACATTAAACTGCGGGGAATCCTACAGTCTGGGGTAAATGTAGATCGCCAAGAAGTATACAGACAGGAATGGCTCTTGGCACCCCCAATATAAGGCGGAAAGAATACTGGAATGCAACATGGGCAACCAACCATCCAAGAACAACAAATGGCGCAGGAAGACCATATCACTCCGGTTCAGCCCACTCGCAATGATCCCATCAAGGAGAAAGCGGCTCAGTTCCTGGCTACCGTAAACGAAGACCGAACCTTTACAGCAGAGGAGGAAAAAGCCGTCCTGAGACGGATCGACCGGCGCATCCTCCCTTTGCTGTTGGGAGCATACTTCTTCCAGCAGCTCGACAAATCGTCCCTCTCGTATGTTTCCATTTTCGGCATCGTAGAAGATGCAAACCTCCACGGCAAGCAGTACTCCTGGCTGGGGTCGATTTTGTACCTGGCGCAGCTGGTGATGCAGCCGATTGCCGCCTTGCTGCTGGTCAAATTGCCTACAGGAAAGCTGATCGGGTCGGCGGTGTTTCTCTGGGGAAGCTCACTTGCTATTATGGCGGCCTGCACGGATTTTCCCAGTCTGCTAGGATTACGATTTACTCTGGGCGCGTTTGAAGCTATGATCGGTATGTCCTCCGCCCAATTCCGGTGCCATGTTAACGTTGTTTAGCCCCTTCCTGCGTGGCCGTGACACAAATGTGGTGGAGACGAGGCGAGCAGACACTTCGGACAGCCTTTTGGAACGGGATGAACGGCGTGACCTTTATCATTGGCAGCTTGTTCACCTACGGACTGGGCCATATCCATAGCGACAGTCTATTCTCATACCAGGTACCGCCCTTCCTCCCTAGTCTAGCGACCGAGGCTAATGAGTAGATCATCTTCATGTTCTGCGGTCTCCTGACGGTCGCCTACTCCTTCCTCATATTCATCTTCATGCCCGACTCCCCCATGGAAGCGAAATGTCTCAGCGACCGCGAGAAAGTGATTGCCGTCGAGCGGCTGCGCGCCAACCAGATGGGGATCATTTCGCGGGAATGGCGATGGGACCACGTCTGGGAGACATTCTACGATCTGAAAACGTGGTGCTGGTTTTTCCTCGTCGTCTCGATATCGTACGTCGTCCATGCCAGGGTGAACTCGCGACTCGTGCTAACGTATGCAGGATCCCAAGCGGAGGCATCAGTACATTCGGCAACCTTATCATCAAGTCCTTTGGGTATAACAGCTTCGAAACCATTCTCTTCAACATCCCCTTTGGGGTCATTCAGATTATTGCCATTATCGGCGGGGGCTGGCTCGCCACTCGATTCCAGCGCAAGGGTCTGGTTATCGTGGGGTTTGCGTTCATCGCTGCCGTTGGAACCTTGCTCATGATTGTTGTCCCGAGGGAACAGAAGGGGGTGCTCTTGTTTGGATACTACCTGGTTGGTTATCCTCTAGCCATCGAGATGCAAAGCTGACGAGGTAGGTATCGTGCCTGGCGGCTATCACGCCATTGATATATGCCTGGGAGGCACAGAATACCGCAGGCGATACGAAGAGGAAATGCACGTCGGCAGTGGTCTTGGTGGGAATGTGTGCGGGAAACGTATGTCTGCTCCTGATCAGTCTGCACGAGTTGCTAATCGTCATAGGTCATTGGTCCCCAACTGTATTCCACATCGCAAGCACCGCTTTATCGACCTGGGTTGATTTCCAATCTGATAATGTTTGTTATCGTAGCAGGGTTTTCTATGTACGTGGCCATCCAACCTTCAGGAACTGCTGCTGACTGGACAGAATGACGAATGTCTACCTGGTGTACCTGAACAGGAAACAGGCAAAGAGGAGACGTGAACTCGGCAAGTCTGCTCACATTGTAGACGAGTCCATGCTCAGCAAGAAGCATCTGGAGGGTAAGGCGCTGGAACTGGAGGAGGTCGCTCCTGCGCCACCGGCTCCGACGGAGGACAAGGGATTCTCAGACACCACGGATCTGAAGAATGAGGATTTCATCTATGTGTACTAGACAGCTAGTGTTGGAGCCTACTAGTGATCGCTCACCGGAGATCAGATCATCGGGCTATTGATGCTATATTCCTAATCTGGCTTAGTCTCCGCCCAGAATGCCAAGCCTTCATCGGACTTCCTGTTTGGGCCTCGTCCCCTCAGAGTACTCTGTAAGACGCATTATATAGGAGCAGAGAAGATAAATAAATGGTATTCTCAAGCGGAAGATAGCCCTCTTCAATTAAAAGAAAGTAATAATGGCCTGTCCATAGGAAAAGCTCCTCCTTAAGATTATGTTAGTTCAACATGCGGAAGAACGGCACATCCCTAGAATGCCACGAATATATATTCCCACAAGTACTACTGGTCTCAAAACAGAACTATATAATTACTATACTTAAAGCACAAACATTCTACCTAGATATATAAGAGATGCCGGACTTTTCAGCAGAACCTCAGATGTGGAAACCCGCGACTCCAAAAAAGAAAGCCACAATACCCCAGTGAGATGGCACTGTCTGGGGACTTGCCGCGCCTGTAAAAAGTGATGCAGATGCAGACGGACTTGCTCCGGAATTTGTACTCGTCGGTCCGTGAGATGTTGAACTAGCCGCGCTTTTACCAGGGTCGTTGCTCATGGAAGAACTTTGTGCAGTCTCTCTCGAAGAGGCACCTGTCGTTGACCATGATGATGAACAAGTACCAGTAGTGGCCTCACTCGCGGTTACGGGCTTCGATTCTGTCGTCGGGTCCGGTGCGGTTGCCTGCTGGGTTGGCGAGGGTATTGTTGTCTGTTCAACAGAGGTTGTAGACGCCGTCGTGCTTGATGTATCGCTACTCTTGGTGGCCTTGCTTGTAGTGTCTGAAGTAGTCGACGCTGTTGATGGACTTGTCTGTGACATATTACCGCCTTTCTCCGTGGATGTCGTCCCTGTCATTGTAGATGTCTGACTACTCTTAGTAGTCGAACTGACTGTATCCGCAGCAGCAGTGGTAGCCGACTCCTCCTCCAATCCCTCACAAAAGTTCAAAAACTGCTGAAAGTTCGGCAGAACCTTTTGCTCAAAGCTGGCAGAAGTAGCTGTCTTGTGGGTACTACAGCACTTCTCGCATTGGCCCAGGGAGACATTGAAAGCCGACCCAGCGTTGCAGATCTCCGGTGTCTTGCCGGTAGATTCAACTTCCAATGCTGCGTCATTGCATTCGTCATAGCAAGTGCCAGGTACGGTGGATACTCCAATCGACTGCCGGGTAAGTAGCTTGCTCCACGATCGGTGAGAGGACCGGATGTAGTAGTGGTCGTCGCCTGGTTTGAGATCGGGAATCCGGAAGATGGAGTAGTTCAGACCAAAGATCTCAGGGTCGAGGTTGAAGTAATCCTTTGAGATGTTGTAGGCTGAGCGGATCTCATTGGATTCGACCGGCGTGCCCCAGTACTGGTCGTGGATGAATGGCGGGCTCTTGATACACTCGTCTGGACTGCAGACATAGGACTCTGCCGGCAGACTGGCTTCGATGTTGCAGCCTGCGTCGGCGCCTGTGTGTTTGGGTTTGCAAAGGTAAGCTGGTGGACAACCCCATGTGTAGTTCCTTGGGAGAGGAGCGGCCGGAGTGTAAGTGGGGTTGATGCTGAGGGTCGGACAGATGGATAGCGTTGTGGTGGTTGCAGGAACTGTTACAGTGTTGCCGGTTTGAGTTGTAGATGCAGCTGGATCCGTGATTGTTACAGTTTTATCAAAGCCTACCTTGTCAGCAAACTATCCAGTACGTATAACAAGGCGTTGGAAGAGATACTAACCAGTCAACGTTACTGTATCGAAAATAGTAGTACTCTGGATGACTGTCACTGACACAGTCTCGACTAATCGCGAGCCAGGGAGAGTTGTGCTCTGTACGATAGTCGACCCTAGTACGGTAGTAATGGTTCCTGATACCGTCATTGTACTTGCTGGCCGCTTAACAGTGGTCAAAATCGTTGCTCCAGGCAGTGTTGTGGGAATTGTCTGCTTATCCGTTGTGGTGACGCCAGGAAGAGTAGTGGTTTGAATGATAGTTGATCCTGGCAACGTGGTTACAGATCCGGACATGGTAATCGTCTGTCCTGGCTCAGTGATAGTCGTGACTATAGTTGACCCGGGAAGAGTAGTTGGAACTGTCTCTATCGTCGTGACTATAGAACCAGGAAGGGTGACTACCTCAGAGGTAGTCATCGTTGTCCCGGATTCAGTGATTGTCCTCATATTTGTCACGGTTGTTCCAGGGACCGTGAGGGTCACAGTTTGCGAGTTGACTATTGTCGTTCCAGGTAGGGTAATAGTCTTCGAATCTACCACGGTTGTCCCAGGCAAGACCACGGTCTCGGTGGCCGTCGTCGTTAGAATCTGGCTGATGGTCTGGGTAGAACCCTCCGTTACAGTGGTTGTATCCGTCACTGTCGCTCCTGGGCTCGTGAGTGTCGAGGTCGAGATCTCAGTCAATGTGGTTGTGTCTGTAACAGTTGATCCAGGACTAGTGATTGTTGACGTTGAGGTCTGAGTTACTGTCGTGATATCTGTTACTGTGCCCCCAGAAACGGTGACGGTTTGTGTGGTCATCTCGGTTGATGTAGTTGTCTCGGTTACTGTTGAACCAGGGACTGTTACAGTAGACCCTGGCATTGTTACCGATGTAGTTTCTGTAAACGTAGCTGTGTCGGTCACTGTCGTCGCGGGCAAAGTTACTGTTTGAGTCGAGGTCATGGTTGTTCCACCTTCAGAAGTAACGGTAACTGTGGTGGCTGTGATAGTAATGGTCGAGATTGAACTCTGAGTGGCTGTCACTGTGGTACCTGGTAAGCTAATGGTTGTAGTGACAGTATCTGTTCCTGTAGTTCCCGGAATAGTGACCGTGCTAGTGAGGGTGTCTGTCTCCGTGGTGCCTGGCAAGCTGACAGTGGTTGTCACAGTCACAGTCACAGTAGATCCTGGTGCTGCTGTCGGCGTGGTGACAGGATTACTGGTTGTTGTGGATGTGGTTGGTGTAGTTTCAGGAGGCGGTATTGTTGGCGTATTGGTAGGAGTAGTAGTTGATGTACTTGTGCATACAGGACAGGTTGTGATTGTTGATGTTGAAGTCACTGTGATCGTAGCAGGGGCTCCTGCGATTATAGCCGGAGACTCTGGTGGATTTGCCCTCTTCCTCAAATAATATCCCGGGTGTGTTGTGATAGTCGAAGTACTTGTCTCTGCGCCTAAGATCGGTGATGGTCCTGGAATCGACCAGTATGCCGAGGAGCTCGTTGGCAATAACACCGTTGGGGTGTCTGACAGCGATTCAGCAGGTGATGCTGAGGGCTCAGGAACTGCTGAGTATGGCGCAGCACTCGTCGGTAGGCTGGTTGCTGCCTACTGCATCTTAGAAGTTATATCCAACAATAGACGTTCAACTGACCTCCCAAGGTTCAGAAACAGTGACCGTTTCAAGAACTGTCTCTGTCACTGTCACATCTTCTGCTGAAACAGTACTCAATACTGGCGAATAGGCCGCTATTAGGGCCAGAGAAATTGCGCGCGAAAGCTTCATGATGTTCACTGCCCTAGTCCGTCGCGACGCGATAGAAAGTTGTTCTAGAAGGCAGTTAGAATGTAGAAACTGAGAAGGGCTTTTAGAAATGTTATGCCGAACTCTTCGGCATAGACTGCCAATAATTTCTGCAATCCATAACGAACCAACTGTTGTTGCTTGTGCCCGGGCAGGATGTGATGGTGGCTGAAGCAACAGACAAAGAAATAAACTCAGTTCCTGGTCGATGTCACCCTGCGGTCCTCGGTCGATCACTGAAATAACAAAGAAAACTCCAGTCCACATGGCAGTGTATGTGGATATATCTACATTTCGCAGCCAGTAGGTCGCCTACGTGCTGGGTAAGATCAGGCTGAGGCTAGACAGTCAACGCCTAGGCCTTGAGATACGTGCCTCATCATGTTTATGATATGCGTTGCTTTAGATGACTGAGCATGAGGACTTGTCCATAGACGCGACGCCGGATTAGGTACAGAGAAGGGTAGCCGGGAGGGTTGACGACTGGTTGCATGGCTCGACAGTCTAGTCCACCAGGTGATGATAGCAATTATAGTTGCATTATTAGCGACATATCCCTCGGAAATACAAGCAGATCAATGCAGAAACCCGCTTTCTTCCGTTTCTATCAAGATTATCCTGGAAAGGGCGAATCCTCTGGTGACTCCCGTCAAAGGGTCTATCCCAACCTGCTGCTCACGTCTTCCTCTTTTTGGTATATGCAATACAATGTCAAAATTACTTACTGGATATGGCTTGATGAAGCTATTCTATTTCCCTCTTTCTTTGTTCCACCTCCAGTACCGAACGTGGTCCCAGGGCGCTGTCGAGGACAAAGAAAACAAGAACTAACTGAAAAGGGAAACGAGCAACAAATAGGGATCTGGTTGTTGCACAATCACTGCTCTTAGTTTGATTGCTTCCTCTCGAATCTCGTCCCTATAGCAAATATGTCCACTCGAAGCGTTGCTGTCTCCGCCAAAGCACAGACTTCAACATCTTCAACATACTCGTGCATGACTCGTATTGTATATGACAGACTGTGGGTTCTCGTCTTTTTCTCCACCGACTGCAGTTTAATCTTCAAGTCTCATAATAGCAATGCTAGCGTGGCTGCTGATAGTCTATCTGACTTCTTTCGCCAGACGATCTTTTCAATTTCTGGTCGCACTCGTGGCTCAGGCTTTCTTTGTTCGCCTTTCTGAGCATGCTTATTTGGGCCAAGGTCAGTCTTTACTACTTGCGAATGCTGTTAGCTGCGTCCTTGTCTATTCGACGTACTGTGGTCAGCCTCGTATGGTATTGTGATCTATGAAAAACAACCACAGCACGAGAAGGACCGAGCTGTTCGTTCTGATTCTGTCGTAACCATCCCTGCTCAGAGAATGCGATTCGACTGGCAAAGGTTAGCTGGCATATCTGCCCTCTTGGTTGGCTGTTCGTCAGCGCAAGGATGGAATGTCAATGTGTCGATATGTAACTGGGATCAAGTTCGAGGTATACTCCGTCTAATGTGTCCAAGTGCTGCCAACGCTCATATGTCTCAGTTAATACGATTCGTGACACTGTCTACCTTGACGGAGGATCACTGTGGTGGAAGCGGTATGTTTCCTTGTCACTGTACCAACTCATACTGACAACTTGACAGAGACTTGGTTGATGGCACGTCTAGTTTGGCAAACGATGGCAAGTATTATCAGCCTCATGGATGATCGTGGCTAACAATGCGCAGGGAACAGTGACGGGCTCCTCTACTACTTCAATCTCGGCACATCGTTCGATACAACAACCTCAAACCTGACTGCATTGTTCGGCAACATATCGAAAGCAGGAGGAATCGCAAACAATATTGCCCCGACCTACCGCGATGGAGTGATGTTCACGAACGACAACGAGCTATATCTTTATGGGTACTTTGACCCTCTCTTCACCAATTCCCGGCTGACCATACGTAGTGGCCTTCTCCGTCTCACAGACAGTCAAGACCCCCCAGCTGGCAACACCGTTCTCGGCTACGAACGATACCAGTATGGCCCTGATCGAGAATCCTGGCAACCCGGCTTCATCATCGACAATCTCGACACCGGCGTGACCCGATACGTGACGAATGGCGCCGGAGTCACTGCACCGAGCGAAAACCTCGGGTTCTATTTCAGCGGTATGCGGGGGAAGGACTGGGGGCCTATCTACGCTGATGACAAATCGGCCAACGTTACGTCCGACCACATGATCAAGGTGGATATGTCCAGTATGCGCGAGAACAAGTGGTCTAATCTGTCGTTACCGACGTATGTACCTGCGCGCGCTAATGGTGAGCTCGTTTGGGTTCCTGTCGCTGAGTCCGGTGTCTTGGTGGCGATTGGGGGAGTGATTAATCCAGCCACGATCTTTTCGTCGGACGGATTGACGAGGGCCCAGCAGAATGCGAGCGAGAGTGTAAGCCCGGGGTTCATGGAGACAGTGTCTGTTTACGATGTCAGCGGCGATAAATGGTGAGTTCTTGGACCAGTAAAACAGTCGAATACTCATTGAGAATAGGTATCTGCAAGACACCACCGGGGATATCCCTCCTCAGTTGACGCAGTTCTGCTCGGTTTATGCGAGTGCACAAGACGGATCCTCACATAACATCTATATCTATGGCGGCTACGACGGGCTAAGCATGGAGAACACACCGTCCGACGATGTCTACGTCCTTTCTTTGCCCTCCTTCAGCTGGATCAAGCTTTACAGCGGGAATAATACCCATGGCCGGAGTGGTCACCATTGTGTCAAACCATATCCGGACCAAATGCTTGTTCTCGGAGGAGTGCATCTTGACCCTACGCATTGCCTTGATGGTGGAGTGATCCAAGTGTTCAACCTGAATACCGGCAGGTTCCAAAACACCTATAGCCCGAACATCTGGAGCGAGTACAGAATACCAGACTTGGTCACTGCCGTCATCGGGGGAGAGTACGTATCCAAGTTCCTTAAACACTGACTTGCTAACGAGCCGCAGCTCCAAAGGCGGCGCCACAAAAGTATCACCTACTTCCTGGACCAATTCCTCTCTGGCAGATGTGTTCAAAACCAAGTACAACAAGACCATTAGTACCTGGTATCCCTACAACAGCACTATCAGCAGCTCACCCACCATTGCCCCCGTCCCAGACAAAGGGTCCAACTTCCCCAAGTGGGCCGGCGCCATCATCGGCGTTATTCTAGGGCTCCTTCTCATTACAGCAGCAGTTATATTCTGGTGTCTCCGTCGCCGTCGCAAGCTCCGAGAGTCACAATCCACAAGCGAGCAATCAGCCCGATCCTGGATTCTGCGGTGGATGCACAGCGGCGGGTCGACGACTGGCGTGCCGAAATCCGGCGACACGACGGCCTCGACAGGGTACAGTGCATTTGCGAATGACTCAACTATCACGCCGGCAACAGCTGTGTCACCGCGGAGCGTGGAGGCAGGTGGCGATCCCGTTTATGAGATGCTAGGTCGGTATTTCAATCCTTTTCATTTACTCTGCTAACCATTTCAAAGGTCATACTACGGCACTCCCCGTGGAACTTCCCACACCGTACAACAATAATCCTCTCCCCAGTCCGGTTTCGACCTCAGGCGTCTCGGGGACGGACTATGTATCCCCTGTCACAGTTAGCACGCCCAGTACAGAGGGTGAACCGAGCCCGGTTAGACCGCCTCATCATCGCCATATGTCTAGTTTGACTAGTGTGCCGACTATAGCGAATGTGATGCGCGAGGAGAGTAGCCAACGGCAGACATATAGGTCGGATATATCGGAAGGAAGCGTTGAGCTTGGGTGTCCAAGGGCTGTGGAGCTGAGTGGTAGCACTCCTCAGGAAGGGAGATTGGCGACAACAAGAGAGGTTGATGAGCTTGAGGGCTTGGGAATAAAGGAATTGCCGTAGATGTAGTGAGATAGATGGGAAGGGTAATAGTTGGAACGTGACCATATAATGTTAGCTACAAAGCGTGCCTCGCTTTCTGAAATCCCAAACTGGTTGGTCATTACTGACGAACTTGCTATATGTTCTCGCCCAGTGGATTTTAGTCGCGCACAGCTGCCGCAGATCGAGCGTGAGGCATTTGGTCCTTGATAACATCCACAGTGTGATTTGACACATAGCGCTCAGAATTCACATTGAGCGCAGCCAGCGGATTTGTGTAGCAGTTAGTTGGTGCTCTTCATGCAAATACTCTCTTTAGACTTATGGAGGGAAGGGCCACAGATAGGGATCTATAGGCCGGCTTAAGTCCGGATCCCAAGCCTTCATAGGATCCACATTGTTTCAGTTCAGCTGGACTACATTCAGGCATTCATGCATCCGAGATCAACATCTGACTTATTATTCCCTGCTCTACTTGCGCAGAGACTGGTAGATGTGCTGTTTGCTTTCTTTTTAGGGCATGATGTGTAGGGAAAGAAGAGAATCTTAAGACCTGTGTCCTGGTAGCAAGTCTCAAATCAACCACAATTGACAATCTATGAAGATCGTTCCCGCGGAAATGTGGTATCCCATCTCAACGGTAGATAAAGTGACGATTCTGCAGTTGCTTCAAAGCTATGATGCCGCCTCTGAGCGAAATCCAATCAAGTCCTTGACTTGCGGAAACCCAAGCCGGCATGCAAGTTGGCAATGATTTGCAACTTGGCGATGTTCATCAAACCCTGTCAGGTAGCTTCAGCGGCGGGGTCCGCATGATTTGGAGGAGTAGGAATGCACATCTGTTACTATTTCAAGCATAGTAGGTCTGGTCTGTGTGTGCTCTGGTTCAGCGGAGCATCCGTCGATGGTGTCGACGCTGCCTCTTTTACCAAAGGCGCCTTTTATGCTTTCTGTAACGCAATTAAGCGAATAGTCCTGTCTACTGAGATCTCTGGGGCACTGAAGGAACAGTCCATTCTGTTGGCACGATCGACAAATCAACAAGCGATCGTGCAACACACTAATTGGACCGGAGAGGGCGGAGGTCGATGAAATTATACTTAATCCCAGCCCGTGAGACTGACGAGGCTGTGATGCTGTTAAGTATTGAATATCAAGAAGATCTTTTGGATATAATAATGCGATGATGCCAATGCTCACTGTTATAGTGTAAATGATATGATGTTTGATAAGAATTATTACATATTTTAGAGGGCATAACCATATAAGACACTACTACAACCTATCGTGGCTGCTGCCACCTATCTCCAGACACATACCATTAGCTTCGGGGGGTCCGGGAGGGAGGATGGAGGATGCAAACAGACATAGGTAAAGATATCATGATAATGAGCCAATGGGGCGGTGATTATTGGGGGCAAATATGAACTCAACTCTCTTACTTTGCTGTGGCTAGGGTTCATTTCCTGGGGAACCACAGAAAGTCAAAGACTATCACGTTCTAGATCAACTCAATATGTGAACGATATCAGGAGATCACTTATGTCATAATTTATTGCCGGGAGCTCAAGGGTTAGCAATCGATTTCTAATCATAGTATTAAAAATCACATATTTCTTTTCACATATAACATATAGTGCTTGTACTGCCAAAATCGCCATTCCGTATGATCGTTCCGAAGGACTGACATCACTTGGAACCAGCAAGGTTGATTGCTAAGGATCCTTCTTTATGTAAGTTCTCCCGGAGTTCTCCTGACTTCCAGCAGCTTTATGAGACAGGAATCGTTAACGAATCTGAAACGGCATTGCAGGACGACTCTCAGCGATATCCTATCCCACTCGAGTGACCATCCCTATACGTTCGAGGCTTTTGTGGATTTCCTCGCTAGGAACCATTGCCTCGAAACGCTCGAGTTCATCTCCGAGGTGAAGCACTACCGTGAGAGCTATAACCTGTCCCTAGCTCGTTTCAGCGTGTCAGGTGAAGACCCCTATGAAAAAGAGGATTCGTATGTCTTCAGGGAATGGCAACATTTAAAAGACGCATATATTGTTCGTAATGCTCCGCGTGAGATTAATATACCAGGGTGGATGCGAGACGCTTTGATGGAAATCACACCTGAAGTTTCTTACCCACCACCAATCTTACTGGAACCGGTCCTTCATTATGCATACGAAATGCTTGCAGAAGATGCAGTACTACCCTTCATTCGATCGTTAGCGGACATAGCCGACACAAACGGTGCTGGACACCCACAACACCGACGGAATTCATACGAACCGCCACATGTTATAAGGCCGTTGGATGAAACAATGACACTTTCGTCGTATGTGGCATCCGAATCAGGGAACACGGATGATAAAGTAGTAACAGTATATGAAGCCGCAGATCAACCAATCATTCTCTGACCCGTGACACAGACCGTGCTTCGCTTAAATCCCCAGTGGATGAAAAGGAGAATCCAGACCATACTTATTTGAGGCATTCATTCTCGAAGCCGGTCAGGTATCTCAAAGAAAAGATTATCTTACTATGCAGAAGGACTCCGAATTGAACAGCGTTAGGTCAATTAGAGATGGATAATGGCATCAGGACACACCGTTTCACAACAAAATATGGGCATCATCTTGTACAGACCCTGTCTCCCGGTATCTCGAGATGTTTCAACTACTTTGCCAACATGGCCGGCCGTGTCCAACCTTGCCAGTGGTAATGCGACGATAAGTACGGTGGTATGCAGGGAAAAGCATTCAACGTCTCAACCCTGCATTTGCCGAGGACTATTGTTATCAAACAGATCACTTCATTGCTGACAGACCCTATACTGACGCCTGAAAGAACCTCACACGTCCAGCCTGGTATGGTGGTAGCACTGGTTGCAGCTCAGCCTTTCTACCTACTAAACCAGCCATACTCCTACTGCAAGAGTCTGCGAAGGTTCTTCGAGATTACCAGTCGACGTGAATGCTTATTTGTCCCATTAACCTTTGACTCTGTCCGCTCATTGAAAGCTCGGCCTGTTATGTCACCCTTCTTACATGCAATTTCGCCTATATATGTACGTATTCGTTCTGTCCATGGATTTTCTTTCTCTCTTTGCTTAGTCCTCCTGATAAGTACCACCATCCTACTCTTCTTGGGTGCTTGAGGCTCATAAATCTTTCCGGAAACTGCGTACGCACGACATAAACAGCCTTCTAGAGCGACAATTTATATCTAGTATCTATCAATACTTGTGATTATAATAAGTGCAGAGAGATTCAATGTATTGCCACCTTGTAATCTTATAGAGACAGCTAAGCAGCTTGCAACATTGAATATCCATTTGCAAATGCTGAATTCTCTACTATTACTTCTATTTCTATTTCTATCAGTGAGAACTCACATATACAGTACATAGTTTGGTTTCTTCCTCAGGTGAGTGATGTTGCAAATCGACTTTTCTTCCGGATCCGACTGCCGTAGCGGAAGAATACATATCTGTAGATCGTATCGGAGGTATTCTGTCAGCCACAGCTTGACAAGAGGGCCCATGTCAAATATGCATTGTGAAATACAATGTCACGCATACAAGGCTACTTACGGGAAGGGCGCCATTATGAGCGTCAGAAAGGCTAGCAGCGACGTCGCCCAGTGATAGCCGAGTCTGTCGTACACTACACGCCAATGGTTAGTAACCTCTTTGAGGGATCAGAAAACGTCAAATTACGGAGACACTGACTTTGCACGCCAAACAGGGGAAAGACACCTGCAAACGTTGAACGTGCGAAACTGTTGGCAGCCAAAGCGCTCGCAGCATATGTCGGATACGCGTCCACTAGAAATGTAAATACACCAGAGTAGACTAGAACAGTGCTGTATATGCGAAGAATTAGTTAATGACTCAATCATCTGTGTGGGTTCAAGTATCGTAAGTATCATACCCTGCTCCAAATATCGCGCTTCCGATAATCGGCACCACCCAGTGGACATGTGGATAGATTGTCCATGCGAAAATGAAGAGTCCAATTGTTACAAGCGGAGCTCCACCAATTGCTTCATACCCGCTTCGTTAATACACCATGCCAATGATGGTGTGCTCGGGACACTTACCAGGAGGTAGTCGCCATTCTGGCATGAATTCGTTCTTCTCCCCAACGGCTTCTTGATGTTTGCGTTCGAGACGGGCATAATTCCTGCGCCACAGGGGATCCGTCAGGATTGCTGCTACCATTCCGACAAGGATCCCCAGAAACGAACAGCCGATTTGCCAGAGATTGAAGCCATAGACATGGGAGAAGACCAGCTGAAAGGCACCAAAGAAGAGATATAGAATGCCTAGCAATATGGCAGAGAATATGCACAGATTCATGCACATTGGTTCAAATGCCAACAGCTGCATCGGTCTGTATACGGAAGAGCGGATCATGTGCAGGACGGAGGTGTAGGACTTCTCAGTAGGGGCCTTCCACCGATTATCTCCGGTTTCGTTGCGAAGGTTGACTGCCATGCGCTTCAAGAGCCTGCCTACTCTTTAGTAACCCAATTGCGTAGAAGGAGATTCTGGGACGAGCGACTTACAGCGGTTGGTAGGTTTCCGGCACACAAACACAGATAAGCACCAGAATCAAAGCAGTCCATATTATGAGGACGTAAAATATCCAGCGCCTACGTAAGTCAGTGACTGGGACTCAGTCTTCCAGAGTCGCGGGCGGGATACCATGTGGTGAATGTATTGATGAAGCCTCCAACACTAGATGAATTAGTTATGATACATATGACGAAAAGCACGAGGGCGCCTTACAGAGGACCAATCTCAGGACCAATAAACGGGCTCGCAGTGTAGAACATCATCGGCGCCGCGAGCTCCTGCCGGTTGAAGAGGTCACCAACTGTGCCGCCGGCGACACTCAGAAACGCGCTCCCGGACAGGCCATTAAAGAACCGCGCTATGATCATAGTCTGGATGTTGCGGGCTACTGCGCAGGGAACAAGCCACATGAGGAAGAGAGTAAATGATACAATGTAGATGTTTCGTCGACCGTACAACTGTAGATTGTGAGTATCGTCTCCTGCCTGCTAGAGCAGCAGGGCTGCGACTAACCTCCGAGAGGGGCGCCAGAAACAGTGGACCGATTCCTAAGAATAGAGTCAGTAATCTCACGTAGACACAACGCCGAGGCAGGTATTCAATCAGTCCTCACCAAGTCCGAAAATATAAGTAGCAAGCCCTAGAGTGGCTATCAAAGACGAACAGCCAAACTCTTCTGTCAGTTGGCGGTACGTCATTGTGTACATAGATGACGTGCAAGTCCTAGAGCGCATTAACTAAAGGCTCACAATGAAGTCAATAGGGAATATGCTTACACGCAGAGAGATCCGAGAGAAACAATCACAACAATGACCCATTTCCTTCCGTAGCCTATGTTTCGAGGATCCATGGAGGGATCCATGTCAAAACTGACCATATACTCCCTCTCCAACGTCACCGACAAGTTGTGACCAATTGGACCGGTCTCATCGATAGACCGGCTGCGGTCGAGTCCTGCATTGATCTTCGGCAAAGTTCCGCTTGGCTGCATGCTCTATAATTTCAGCGGTACGAAAGTTCTGTCAATGGAAATGGAATGCTTCTGGCGTGTATGGCGCTGCTCTGCCATCAGACTTGAGCAACAAGCAGTGGCCATGGCTGCTGATCCGAGTCTTAAATACATGATTGCTCATCATCGGGAAATGCCTCTATTTCCTCGTGTACACCAGATGCGGCAGCGATAGTCGGCCCGCGCGGGCCCTGCGGAACGATATCACGCCTAGAATATGGGCAGTTGCCACTTCCGTCAGTGTACTTCTGGACTTCTGTACTCCGGAGTTCCTCCCCCATCAGTAATCATCTGTATCTAGAAGCTAGAACAGATCAAAAGGGGCCAAGCTGCATGGAAGATCCGCGAATTTCCTTTCCGGATCTCTGTAAGCGCTGACAAATTTTTTGACACCCTGCTGTGCATCCACAGTGTGCTTAGCAACACAAGTACTTCTAGACTTGATTTGAGGACCAAGACTCATCCCAACTAGAAGCGCCAAGTCAAGGTCAGTCATGTAGATAAGGAGGGTTGGTGTTCCTATCCCTAGCGATGACGGCTCTGCGATAGTCACCACCGGATGTATATGTGCATGGTAAATGTTTTCGAACAAGATGTCGAATAAACTTCTTTTATGCCTTCAGTTATTCCTGTACGCTAGCACTTGCCTAGCCGAAGCATCGATTCTCTTCCAAGACGCAGCTGCGGTCATTTCCTTCAACAGAACCAGTGAAACTTTACGAGTGATCTACAATGCCTCAGTGCTTGTCACAGGAAAAACCATTGCAGCAATCGACACTCATCGACATGCGTGGCAGACGGCCTTTAAAACATTGGGTTCGAACACTAGTCTGGCGGAATACTTTGTGCGATATGGCGAGTTCTCACCGGCCAAGAAGATCTTCACTCCAGAGGACGTGTATATAGGTCAGTTAACTGGGCTGTACGAGTCTCTTAACAGCGGAGTAACTTCCATCCTGGACCATGCGCATCATACTTGGTCTAGTGAGACCGCACTGGCTGGCCTTCAAGCCTCGGTGGACAGCGGAGCCAGGACCTGGTGGTGCTATGCCTTTCATAACCTCAGCGACGCGACCTGGGTTTCCAATTATACCCGGGAGGACCAAATGGCAGATTTCCTCCATATTGCAAAGGATGGCCCATGGCGAAAGAGCGACACTGTTTCTCTAAGAATTGCTTATGATAACTTCGCTATGGAAGATGTTGCCGAGATTGAGCAGATTATCTCCTTGGCTTTGTAAGAGGCTGCCTCCATTGAGGTATGCAGAGCTGACTTTGTTTCAGGTCACAAAACGTTTCTGCATTCACAATGCACTACCTTGGCGGTCCTTGGAGTTGTATGAACCCAACCACCTCAAGCTTCTCTGCAATCATAACGCTGATATAAACAGACGCAAACAGCCCTCAACTGGTCGATCAATACAACTTCCTCAACACACCTATTCCAATTGTCTTTTCCCACGCCTCTTACCTGACAGTGAAGGACGCCGAACTGCTTCGTTCAGCAAACCAATATATCTCCATCACTGGGGAATCAGAGCGACACTATGGACACGGACACCCACGCAGCCAGTACATTATGGACCAAAGCTCCCTAGGAATCGACACCCACTTCACCTACAGCGCCGATATCGTCGGCCAAGCGCGCATGTGGCTGCAGGAGGTGAGGCTTCGCCTGTACGCCCAGGTCCTTGACCATTGGGACATTCCTCCCAATAACCCCATGTCTGTCGAACAAGCCTTTTTATTGGCAACGCGTGCGGGCGGGCTTGCCCTACGCCGCCCAGACATTGGTGTACTGGTCAAAGGCGCAAAGGCTGATCTCGTCGTCTTTGACGGTACCTCACCGAATATGCTGGGTTGGGATGACCCGGTGACAGCGGTGATTCTGCACTCTAACCCCGGAGATGTTGAGCACGTCCTTGTAATTGGGGAGCTTCGGAAACGGGACTTCAAACTCGTCGTCCCTGGTAACCTCGCTCTAATCCAGCAGAGATTTCTTGCCTCTGCTAGGCGCATCAAAGAGGTATGGAAGCAAATGCCGCCTCCTGTATTGGAGGGCTCGTTTCCGTACACACCAGGTGTTAATTACTCCGAAGCTGTGACCGCCGATGTGGTGCGTGGGTGGGAAAATGGGTATCTGTCATCTTGACAAGGCCTCTTCTGTAACTGATTGACTATGGGCTGATTCCATGGACAGTAGCTCAACCTCCAGTTATTGTCATCCGAGCATTTTTCTTGTGTATTATTAAATTATATAAGTTGTATTATCAACGATCATTTGACTTGAGTCTCAACTCTGGAGCCATGGTATCCGGACTGGGGAGGTATTCCCGTGTAGGCCGAATATCGCAACACCGGCAAGGATTGCTAGCTATTATGCGGGCTAGCCTGCTGCATGCCGATTTTTCATATTCAACTTTGTGATTCCCGGCAAGATGGAATAGGACCCGTTCCAATGCGGTCTACCATGTTAGGGAATGCTAAACATGCGCGCAATGCACTACTCTTTCTAGTTGCTACATAGTTATCCTTAAAAACTTTTAGCTGAGTGCTCTTAGTGTACTCAACGAGGCCGTTACTCACGTAGCATCCTGATCCTCCGGACTCTCCCCATTCTTATACTTGTAGAGCCTAGACAATTCCCTGATTCGCATGGAGACAGTCTTCCCCGGCCCATCCCCAGGCCGCACATCGACCGTACTCTCCATAAAAGCACTATCCTCCCCGAACATCGGGTCCAAATAATGCATATTAAATAAATGGCCAGACCCCTCTCGGACAAAGACAGTCCCAGAAAACACACTCGCATTTGAATACGCGCCTGCAGGCGCCGTGAACTGCAACACCCCGATATTCGCCACAAAGTCCTTGATGTTTGCGTAGTGTTCGATATTCCGGATTGCTCGCTCCCCTTGAATCTGTCTCCGGGGTGTCGTTCCAGCCGGATCGTTGTCCTGCGGCTCGTGCAGCGGCGGATTGCGGAACTGCCTCGCTGCGTTGCCGAAGGTATATATCTCTAGTTTCTGTATCTGGGATTCGCTCAGCTCGCCATATAGCCAGTCGATAATCGAAGACGCGACAATCCCGCCTTGCGAATGGACGATGAGCACGACTTTCTTCGTAGTGGATGCGGCGAGCGCGGCGCGAAGTTGCGCGCGTCCTTGTCGGATGTCAGCTGTTTTGTAGTCGAGATCACGCTGGATGAGGCATTCGACGAGATCGAGGATAACGCCCTTGCTGTAGAAGCTGTTTAGTAATGCACGCTACTAGGTGGGTGTCCGTACGTTGGGTTGTGGATGCCCACGATTTGCCGGCCGAACGTGTCTGCCAGGGCGGTTAGGTTCGACTGGTGCCAGTGCTTCCTGTATCGATCAGTAGGGTTCTTTGCTGGCTGGATAATGATATACCCGGTGGCTATTCCGTTGATAAAAAACCAAGGCTCGGTTTCGTCGTTGACTGGATCCCTTGTTCGCGGAATGCCGATTAGGGACTTACCTGTTGGCGGCCCATTCAGGAGCCTGACGATCACCATCATGAAGAAGGTAAATGCTGTAATAAATACTATATGTACACCAGTGGGGAATATCCAACAGATCGCCAGAACAACTGGTAGGGATATAAGTAGGAGCACCTGGCTGAGAATGAGGATAATATGCAAAGAAACATCACATAGATTGCGGCAATTCGGGTAGAGCTCATCCAGAGGTCCAGATCCTAAAGGTAGAACAGGTAAAAAGATTGACGGTAGCAGTCTGGCTAGATAGGAAACGGAGCAGATATCCTCCCATACTAAACGGAAAGGGTGAGCGTCTATATCGGAGGGGATGTCGAGGAAGGGATTGCCCCGGACAGGTATATTCGGGTTGAAGGACGCCATTACCAACTGACGTTCTTAATAGTGGATGGCTACAACACCTTTGTTTTGCATGTGGGTGCAGCTAGGAAGAGGGATCTTCATGAGGTCTGCTTGATCAGACTACTAACAGCTGTCTTGTAATAGTTACATCATTGTGACAAGCACAATTTCCTCAACCGTCTAAACCTACTTAAACGAGTCAAATATTACTTTCATATCTATCACAATTAGCGTATGCCCACGTAGAACAAGCAAATAACTTACTCTGAGGAAACGGCGTCCAGGAGGATCCATTTTCGCGCAAGTACAACTTAAACGCGTTGTTCACCATCTTGCTCTTCATCTCTCCGGCAGGTCCAGGAGCTCGACGGATATTTTCGAGCCGGCCAAGGACACGCAAGAGGGCGGCACCGGCTGTAGTGACAATTGCCCTTCCAAGACACGCGTGTGGACCCCAGCCATGGTGGATGTAACTATCTGCCGGACGGTCGAGCCGGATCTCGTCAGGGTCGGGAAACTTGACAGGATCGCGGCCAGCAGTAATAAAGTCGACAAAAATGGTATCTCCTTCGTGGACAGTTGTAGTGGCTTCTCCATCCTTGATTGTGGCTTCCTCGACTGCTGTCCGGAGGACACCGAAAGCCGGAGTAGACAGGCGGAAACTGTAAAGATCAGCACAGTTCCAGAAACCGAATTAAGTGACCGTACCCCTCGAGAGCGTATTTTTTCAACTTTTCGAACGCTGCAGGATCAGCGGAGCGTGCCAGCTTTTGGATCGCGGGCCAGTGCGAGGCGTACTTGTCCGACAAATAGAGGTCGAGCATTTGTGCCCACTGCATTGTCAGTATGCCACAACTTAACTTAGCTGGTCAAGACTTACACCCTGAGCTTGAGTCGCGCACGCTGCCGCTGCGGTTGGAATAATGGTCCACACGACTTCATCAACACTCTTGCCCTCTCTCAGTAACCGGTTAGCAAGCTGCTGACCATAGCTCCCTGGTCCGGCCTCGCTCCTCCCAAGCGCCTGCATGAAACGTCTTACGACGCTATGTCTAGCGCTGGAGACTGACTTGGCCATGATAGCGCCCATTCGCTGCTCCTCCGCTGCTGCTGCGATCCTATTCCTGAGAGAATCGGTCGGTTCAAGATCCAAGAACACATAGCCGAACAACAGGGAAAGGGCATCGGAGAGCTCTCTAGGTGTATACGCATCAGGTGACGGGTCCTTGTCGTCCTTGAGGGGGATATTGAAGAACTGCGAGCAGAAATGTGCGTGTGCTAGGTTTCCAACACTACATTGGTTAGCGTCTTCTGTGAGATGACGATTGCATATGATGGACTTACTCCCCGACAATGTCAACGTGATAATAGTCCCTTAGCTTGAAGGCTTTCTCATGAAGCAGGGCTGTCGTGATGGATTCGTAGAGCTTTCGCACAACCTCCAGTACAGTTTTTGGTTCGTAGAGACACTCGTTGACGAATCGCCTTTGTTCTGCATTCGCCGCGGAATCCCCGCTGAGCATGTAATCATGCCCCGTAATCTGGAATGTATGTGTTCCCCCTATCGTATATTAGTCAATCACAGCAGAACTGAGTGCGTAGACATACAAGGAACATGGAACCGCTTCTGGTTCTCCAAAACCGTTGTCGCACCTTCCCAAGTTGTGACCGGCACAGGTGGCGGAGTATATGACGGTCGATCGAAATTCAGGTCCTTGAATTTCATATATTTGTCCATAATCTCCCGGCTCTTCTCTGGTGTCACGAATGGATATAGTGCATAGACGCTGTTTGGCCGGTACCATCCAGGGAAGGCTCTCATCAGCAGTTTGTACATGACGCCCCCGCCAGCGACGTCAAAGTCGGAGCTCACGGCATTGAAGCTGGCAAGCTATCAGCCAAGCGACCTTAAACGAGGTTCACAACTCACCCAAAATTGGTCAGGTTGGCTGGACTATAGTCGACTGTGTAGAATCGATCTCCGCGAACGAGGGCAACTGCATCAGACAAGATAGCAGTAGAGATGGTGAATCCAGGACATAACCCTGAGCCTGGGTAGAAGGGCTTCTTAGCTTCTTCTGCCTGTATGCCGACGTACAGCTCTATGTTATCAGGGTGGCCGTATAGTGCTTCCACTATGATAGTTTAGCTCTAGCTTGATGGGCGTTTGGCCATGACTTACAGGCTTCCGCGATGGCTGGATTCGAGTTGACCTCCACTATGACAGATTAGCTAGAATACAGCTAAGGATGCAAACACTGTACTTACGGAAACTTGAATATGGCTTCAGTTTGAAAAATGCTCTGAGCTCATTCAGAGTAGCCAGCTGCCATTGCCGTCCCTGTTCAATCCCGAGCATCTCAATGGCTTTCATTACTTTGGGAATGTTCCTGGCGCCGAATGCCCCTGGCAACGTCAATGGTACGCTAAACCAACGATAGCTGCACTTACCAGCGACGTTCTCGCACCCGTCTGATATAAGACGAACAAGGTCACTGTCAGCGAAGCGTCCATCCTGCTGCCGTTCCAGCCCTCCAAAAGTCCACGTTGGAGGTTCGCCTGGTACATTGTCCTCGAAGTATTTTCGCAAACCGTCGAGGAATTGATTCACCGATAATGTGCCTAGATATCCCTGTCAACCAGTTTCATTTAGCGTTGCGGAGAACATACTGCCATCGACTTCCGGTCCGAAGATCCTTTGGCAAAGACTGTTTGCCCAGGCTTCATCCTGATTACTGATGGCCGCGTGCCAGCGGTATATCATGTTGAACTCGACACTGACTTGATTTCCAACTCCTCGGGGAACGCCTCCTTTGTCAAACACTTCCAGACTCTTTCTAGGGTCGAGTGTCCAGTCCGACTGGGTCAGATTCTCATTGAGGTTGAGGATTGTGCGGAGGTAGTCGTTCAGTATGATGTTGACGTATAAACCGCATGTTATCCTTACTCTATCAGCGTTGGCTGGTATAACCGCAAGGGTTCAGCATACAGTCTCCCCGTCTGAAACAAATCATTATCTCTCTGAGCCACCGCGCTGCTGTATCGGGGATCATCTTGATTCACCCCAGCAGGCAGACTGAATCTCCCAGCTTCGTTAATGTAGGCCAGTTCCCCTACGACCCAGTTATGAAATCGATTGAAGGCAACTAGCAATGCGCCAACCCCCGGCGGCTGCGTGAGGAGACGCTTTTCCGCAAATGTGTCGGGTTCGAGAAGACCGTCTGTGAAGGTTCTCACCTTGTTTTGCTGGTCCTGGTTATGGCCATACAATGGCCCGAGATCGAGATAGGAAGAGTTCTTTACTTTTGTGCCGTCGCATTCATCCGTGTGGAAAAGGTCTATTACCGCATTAGAGTGGATATGAATGGGTTATGATTGCCATACCGTGGATGATCACTGTCGCTAGATAGAAGAGAGTACTGGATATCTTGCTCGGGTGTTCCTTTGCAGGGCCGTCACGTGCGAGTAGGGCTAACTGCGTCAGTAAAGATCTGAAGGTTTATATGCGAGCATACTGTCAAATATAAGAGACGGATCAGGAAGCACCGCAGGCCTCGGATGCTGAGGGGTGACAGTCCGGGCATAATGGCTACCGGAAGCACCGAGATGGGGGTACATAATATTCTAGATTGATCAGTTCATCCGTCGGATATCAAGGTGCAGTTGCGTACGTTATAGCTCCCATCCGCGGTCCGATACTTGAATTGATCCCCGAGATAAGACAGAGGAGGATGCTGGAGGTTGTCCCATAGAGTGCTGACGAACGCATCCGTGATCTTCCCTCGTAATGCAGATGTATTGGGCAAGGATGCCGTGACTTGGATGATATTCTCGATCTGTTTTGTGAGTGACTCTTCTTCAGTGGCTAGAACGGCAGCATACCAGATATTTTCGGTCATCAACTAGCCCTCCATTGAATGCTGTTTGTCCAAGCTCGTGGATGGTCCGCAAATCGGGAAGGATTCGCCCTGCCTGGCTGAGAAGGTCCTGACGAGCGTCAATGAGGAACATGCGCTGCTTGCCATTTTGTCCGGCGGAGTGAGAACTGCTTTCAGTTGGGGGCGCCATAGGGAGATGTTGGCTTTGTATTCTCGAAGCAGCAACTATCACATCTGTCTCTCATGACATTGATCCTACTTAACTTGTACTAAGTAGGTTCTAGGTAGCTGCTATCTGACACAACTGTTTTCTAACTGATATTTATTAAAGTTACTGCTTTGCTACACATCACTATCTACCGGCCACTCTGTATGACCGCTCCGCAATTGAGTTCCAGTATGACGCGCACTTGCGCAATGCTGAATGTTTCTGTCCACCTTTCCCATCGCAACAGAGGAGAACAGCGTTGTCAGTAGTTTTAACACATAATATTAAGTAGGATAAATAGAGATTAGTTCGTATAGTCAGCCTAGTGGTCCCTTATGCCTCCATTGCTATCTGGCATTGTCTTATCGAAATACGCGGTCGCTCCTATTTCAGCCTTGTCGCTGCAAGATGCACATCACGTCATGGACGGAGGCAATTCAAAGTGTTACTGGCCAAGTCCTTTTTGACGGGGAGGACTGTGGAACAAGGAAAGCAAGTTAACGTATGATGTCTGTTGCGTCAAGTCAACCCCTTTCAGAAGCGGCCTACTTCTCCACCGATTGCACGAAAGTATACAGCCAAATGCACTCCGGCCGGCCATGTAAACGTAAAAGCTACCCATTGCTGAGCCATCACGAATTCTTTTAAATCTCGGCAGGGACGGTATCGCGTCAATTCATAATCCTGTTGAGAAAGCATTTAAAACCTAGTAAGGGGCTTACAAGTTTGAGATCAATTCTCGTTTATGGCGACAAGGGTATCCATCCCAGTCCAGATATTAAAGAAGTCCGTCAAGGCGTCGCTTTTGCCTTGTACAGGCAAGTACAACTGTGACTTAGTTACTGATCCTCCCAACTTCAATTCGTAGTTAAATGTCAGTGGCAGTTAGTCCACGTCCACCTCGTCGTACAGACTATCGCTAAAGTCCAGCAGGCCCACAGTTTCTCACTAATGGCTAGACCTTTCATTGTGGTGGGATCGCTCATGCGGCCTCCTAGCGTCCAGAACGCGCGAAGGTTGTTGAGGCATAGGTGTGTATTACAAACGTATAGCCTGAGAGGTGACTTTCAGGAGCCACACAGTCGAAGCCGATTAAAACCACTTCCAAGTTAGGAGAGTCAGCGTCCCAGCCGTGAACAGACGGCGACAGATACTCTTTGAGGAGAGACGAGGTGGTTCCAAAATTCGCATTCAGACCCTCTATTGCTTTGAAGGCCACGATGCCGCTAGGGATGCCGGTCACAATCGATTTGGGCTTGACGAAGAAGTATGATATGGTCAAATGCGACCGTCTGTCGTGCCAGCACTATTCCCTCAACGATACACTGCGGCATTCATTCATTTTTCATCATGGCTTGTTTAACTCGTGCATCTCTCTCGAACAACAATTGTCGAGCTCACGGGTGGACGGCATCTGTCTTACAGAGATAGACACCCATGAGCCAACAGAGGTAGGGACACAGCTACAATGTTCCTTGTTCATATTGTCTGACAGGCTCACTGACTTTGCATTTGGTATATTCTTCTCTCTGTGATTGACATGCAGTTACTTTGGAAGCAAGACCTGTGTATTTCTCTTCTGTCATGTCCGATCAATAAGCTGCTAAAGTGGTTAGCAGATTCGAGGAATACATTTCAACGTTATATCTATATTCTATATCTTTACGATAGGATTCAGCGGGTTGAATTCAAGCCAACCCTGTACTGAGCCATGTTTTTATTAAAGCATTGCCTTTAATTCATCATCGGATACACTCAGATGCAGGGTCCATAGGGAGTGCAGGATGCATCATTGTAGTAGACTTCCCACATGCTTACGCCTATTAAAATGATCACTATTTGTTTATCGCAGTGTCCTCGAGATATATTGGCTGGCAACATATACCCCCATTAAAAGGCACAATAATCACCAATAGAATCATAGTATTCCTTGAGATAGAGAATGAGAAACTCCACCCCCGGACAGTCGGACTTAACAGCATCGAAATCCGTGCCAGTCAATTTGTCAGCTGGAAATGTCGATCTCCGAACGGTATTAAGCATTTCGACGGTCAATCTTACATCGATGAATGCTGCAGCTTTAATAATCAGACTAGAAGTGTTAGGGTGGTGGGTATATATCTAGTCAAGCAAGCTTCGTTCTGTTTCAACTTCCGCATTTCCTCCACTAGCATCTTTGCAGATCATCGACCTTAGATGCCTATCAATCACTTGACATCAGCTACGCGACACTTACCAAACATGGTCCGTGTGCTCATCACCGGCTCCGCTGACGGCCTGGGTCTCGAGGCCGCACGCCAACTGGTGAAACGCGGCCACACCGTCTACCTGCACGCGCGCAACGAGAAACGCGCAGCTGATGCGAAAGCCGCCTGTCCCGGCGCTGCTGGAGTGCTCATCGCCGATTTATCTAATCAGGCTGAAAACCGCAGGCTTGCCGATGAAGCCAACGCGATCGGCCAGTTTGATGCCGTCATTCTCAACGCCGGCATGATGTCCGGGCCGTTCCGCAAGACTCCGGACACTGGTATCCCCGCCATGGTGTTTGTCAATGTTGTTGCACCATATATCCAGACCTGCTTGTTGCGTCGTCCTAAGCGACTAGTATACATCTCGTCGCAGTTGCACCGCCAGGGTGACGCTAGTCTGGAGGATATCTTCTGGCTCAAGCGCGGCGAAGCAAGATTCCGTGACTTCCCGGCGTACTGTGACTCGAAATTGCATGTCCTTCTGCTTGCAAATGCCGTGGCCAGAAGATATAAAGATGCCTCCGTGGTCAGCGTACACCCAGGCTGGGTAGCCACCAAGCTCGGGGGCCAAGGGGCAACTGATAAACTGGAAGATGGGGTAGATACTTATGTGATGTTGGCAGAGGGGGATTACGACCAAAGCCTGACCGGAAAGTACTTTGAGCCAAAGAGAATACTTGGACGTCCGTTGCCAGTTTCAGAGGACATCAACTTGCAGGAGAAGGTGGTCAAGGCTTGCGAAGAGGTGACTGGTCTGAAGCTTCCCGCTTAACGACAGCTGATTTGACATCTCTCGACTGTACAAGAGCTCATTAGCCAGAAATCACCAAGTTCAGCTCTTTGCTAGCAAACATCGCATTGAATTTTGTTGTTCAATTAGTGTTTGGCCATAGGGATATTGTCACACTCAGTTCGAAGGAGGGGAAAAGAAATGAATCGAGAGAATAGAGCTCTGGCCTATCAGATTGTAGATATTTCCTGTCCCAGTGCGGTCTAGGGTGACGATGCAACGAACAATACTAACGCTGCTATCAGCGTTGCGATAGTTGAGGTCCAGTATATACACTTCTGACTGGACAGTTAAACGTGCTGAGTGCTCCAGCACTTGATTCCGACACCCTTCTGGGACCTCCGTAATTGGCCATGAGACTGGCCCACGCGTTTTCGTCCCCGTTCCTTTCGATAGAGCCCGTGTGTGCTGCGTTTACCTGGGAGGTTTAAGATGACCCATGCCGTCCAGCCCAAGCTGTGGTGATGGCCAGCTGTCACACTGACCTCGTAATAGAGTTTAGTGCCCTTCGGATTAACCCAATAGTGAGAACATATGTAGGCTGCCAGGGAAACTATTCCCGCGGCGGGATGATCAATTGCCTGATCTGCGTCCCCTTGGAAGTCAGCTTACGCAGCCCTGGGATCTGCAATCATTTCCGTGGCTCCAATGATTGTACTATGCCAACGATAGAAAAATGTCGTATTCGCTTGAAAACTACAGGGCAGTGCAAATCGGTCTGAGAGCGGATCTTGCAGCTTACTTGCTTGGCCAAGAACCCAAGCTCTGCGGCTGTGGCTGAGAGCCTATGGTTCAAGGCAAAGGCGAAGGATAATCTTATCCAAATAGAGTCATTTTAACGTATGACCCACTATATCAGCCTCGTCCACCAAACCCTCTGTGACAGCGCAGTCGAATACGAGCGAACGGACGGTGACGCCGATCATCCTGCTTATTATTCCTTCCAGCTGAATGATCGTCAGACAGACTACTGTGTTTGGTGTTTTACTTCCTGATCGACCTCCCGAACGTTAGCGAGTACGAGGGCCAGGCGGTGCGCATGTTAGGGGTCGTACTCGCTACATTGATGGCAACTCTATCAGTAGTATATATATGAAGCGAGCTTTCTGTCATGCCTGTCAACCTTCCCATCATTCTTCAACATAGCCGAAGCATATCTATAAGATAGCAGCTGCTATGAAAGCGTTACTGAGTCTCACTTTTGCTGCACTGGCTCTTGCCAGTTCTAATTCCTCATGTCGTTGCAGACCCCATGAGCCCTGTTGGCCCTCTCCACAAGAGTGGAATGCCCTTAACAGCTCTGTTAATGGTAATCTGTTCGCCGTTCGGCCGGTGGCCGCCCCCTGCCATGAAGGAGACTCCGAAGCCTGCGACTTTGTCAGCAAGCAATGGTATAATTCCACCTGGCGAGCCGCGCAGCCTGGCGCAGTCCAGTGGGAAAACTGGGACTCGTGGTTGGAGCATAACCAGACCTGCTCTATCATAAATCCTCGGGGCCCTTGCGGTCAGGGGAGGGTCTCTTTATACTCTGTTGTGGCCGAGAAAGCATCTCATATCCAAGAAGCTGTTCGGTTCGCCAAAAGACACAATCTTCGCCTTGCGATCAAGAACTCTGGGCATGACTTCCTTGGTCGCTCGACGGCGCCGGAGTCACTCCAGATCCTTACCAACGGAATGAAGGATATTCACTTCAGTGAGAACTTCAGACCGAGTGGTGCTCCAAGGAATATTTCAGAGGGTTCTGCCATCACCATTGGGGCTGGTGTCAGTTTACAGGAGCTATATCCTGCTGCTGGAAAGAAAGGCAAGACAGTGGTTGCTGGTCTTTCACACACTGTTGGTGCTGCCGGTGGGTATATCCAGGGAGGAGGGCACTCTTTCTTGGGGCCCTGGAAGGGCATGTCCACTGATAATGTACTCGAATACACTGTCGTGACTGCTGATGTACGTGCACATCCTGATAATAGGAATGCGGGCTAACATTCTCATAGGGCCACCTGGTTTTCGCGAACAACTATCGGAACACTGACCTCTTCTGGGCTCTTCGCGGCGGAGGAGGGGGCACCTTTGGTGTAGTGGTGACAGTGACCCTGCGCACGTTTGACGAGGTCCCAGTTGTCTTTGGCAATCTCAATGTCAGTACCGTGGCCGGTGATCCCAATTTCTGGCAGGTGATGACGGATTTCCATGCCGCTTTACCAGCCATGAATGACCACGCGGGGGGCTACTATTGGATGACTCCCAACATGCCAGTGGACAAGACACTGAATGTCTCGTCGTTGTCAATCATACTCATGGCTGCGAATCAAACCAGCACAGCAATGATGGATCGTCTCTATGCGCCTTTCAGATCAAAGCTGAATGCAACGTCCGGTGTCTTTACGCAATACAAGTCGCTGGCCTTTCCCAACATCCATACTCTTCTCTCAGACCTCCTCCTTCCCGGAGGGGAAGACCCAACTGGTCATAACACTATCCTAGGATCAAGGCTATTCTCTCGCGATCTGCTTGTTTCGCGCGACGGCCCAAAGAAACTTATCTCCGCTCTACAGAAGATCAAGTTCGATCCCGGACAAGGTATCACCGGCCACATCGTCGCAGGAGGCCTCGTCGCCAAGAACGGACGGACTATCGACAGCGCTTTGAATCCGGCCTGGAGAAAAGCAGCTACCCATATCGATTTTGCTCGCGCCTGGCCGCCGTCTGCCACCCTCACACAACGGGATGCTATTATTCGTCGTCTGACTGATGTTGAAATGCCAATTCTCAAGGCTGTTGAGGGAAAGAAGATGGGGTCCTATATGAACGAGGCAAATGCCTATGAGCCAGATTTCCAGACTGAGTTCTGGGGAAGCAACTATCCGCGTCTGTACCGCATCAAGCAGAAATGGGATCCCGCTGGTCTTTTCATTGCTCGGAAGGGAGTGGGAAGTGAGGATTGGGATGATGCTGGACTTTGCCGGGTTCACAGGAATTAGATATTATGTTAGAAAGTCCGTGGTCAGGGTCGGTGGTATCTAGACGGACCGGCCATAGTTGTTAGATTGGATGTGCTTGGTTTCTCCCTTTTGGTCATCCTTTTACACTTGTCCTTTTTACCTTCTCTACTTCTGCGATTATATATGCATTAGTTACGAAGAGGCTCCACACAATATCACTTGTAATTGTTGCTTGTGTATAACCATTCTTACCTCAAAGTCCTAACCTAGTTGCGACGAAGAAGCAATATGAACAACATGAACATCACAAAGGCAAATATTTGCTTTGTCCGACCCAAAGAGACTGAACGGTTTGGAAACATGGCGCCCGTACGCCTTTCCCGAAAACCGTGAACCACTTGGGATGACGATACTCGTGTGTTCTCAATTTTCGGGGGTTCTTCATCCCCATCTTCCACTTCAATCACTTGTTCCAGTGAGGAGATAGATATCTGCAGGCCATCAACTCTCTCCACTCCTTCTATCTCTTCGAAGACGATAAGAAAGTTAGGAAAAGCCGATCTTGGAGTCTCCTGTCTCTTCCTCTCGAGGGTACATTCCGTCAAGCAATAGGCCTCGACGTCGTGTCCCGCCTCCGAAAGCAGATTGAGCCATGCAGCTATAACCTCCTGATTCAGCTCCGGCCTTTTGTTACAGAAGTGGATCATCTCGCCGATAGTCGTTAAAGCGGTGTAACCTCGGCTGCTTATTCGATGTATATCCTCTCCTCTAGTCAAAAGGCTCCGCAGAACCAGCTCACTTTGCTGCGCTGTGTGCTCGTCCTGTCTTAGTTTCGCAGTAGCCCAGACATGAGCAGCGCAATGCAGCGCGGAATAGCCGTCATAGGTCGGGTCTCCATCAATGTGACCTCCGGGAAGATGGTGACCAGCAGCGAAAAGGACCTGGATCCGCTCGAATGAATCCCCGTAATAGAGTCGATGGAAGATCTGATGTTGCAAAATTGTTCTTCCACCGTGGTTTCGCTCTTCCAGATCGACAAAAAACTCATCTTGGTGGATGAGATAACTGAAGGCCTCCACTGGACCAGCATATGAGTGTATGACGCCAGTTTCTTGTACTGATCCCATTGGATCAACTTGCCCTTTTTCCACTAGCAATCGGGCCAGTTCAATATGTTCTTCTTCCCGCGGACTAATCATTGCGAGATGAAGAGCGTTCCTAACATCTCGTTGGTCATTGACGGCGCAATGGATATGGACCTGCTTACTTTCCTGATGTATTTTCGACATTTGCGTCTGCTCCATTGTACAGAAGAAATGCCACCAAGTCCGGGTTTCCCGACAAGGCCGCAAACTGCCAGAATAGTTAGCATCCAATCGGTGCCAACCGTGACTGCGAAATACAAACATGCAATGCCGTGTCACCGTCAGATGTTATATCAAAAGGGGAGGCCAGGCCTTTACTAAAGAGTCGTTGGACGTTGCGCAAATCTCCCTCCCGGCAAAAGTCAAACAGCATAGAATCAGGACTGACTACTTGCCATGGTCGTAGGTTGAAAGTCCAGTGACTCGCTTGTCGGATAGCTTGCAGCTCGATGATGCGAGAAGACCACCATCCTGTTGATCTCAGAGTGAATGTCTTTTTCTCTGATCGATACTCTGTCTGCGTAGTATCTGATTTACGAGTTCCTGGTCTTAGTGTGACGGTTTGAGACTTGACGGACAAGCTGCCGAGCCAAAGTGTGTATATTACTTCAGACGTGTTGCTGTACGATTGACTGAACTTTACCATCTGTGTGCTGAGCTTTTCTTGCTCCATCTGTGGTGCATTGCCTGTCGAACGGCAGGACAATTGGCCAATACCTAGAGGGCCTAATTTCCTATTCGGGCGGTGTCAGTAAGACCAACAGGCATATATTCTGGTGGCCTCAACTGACTGGATATGATGTTGATACACTAGCATCAAAGTCATCTTCGCACTGTCCAACTCTTTCGCAAACTCAGAAACCCTCGTCTTCTTCACGGTTGCCTTAATCAATTTGATAGTTCGATTCTTCTGACTCGAGGTATCGAGTGATTGGATGATTGTCAACAGTCGGTTAACGCGACACAGGCACAGCTCAAAGGAGGACTTGAGAATATTAATGTCAAGATCCTCTGGGAGGTCGGTACAGTCTTCAGCCATACGGCGTACGACCCTCTCAATAAGTAGGATGTCATTTTTGATGTTCTGAAAGTCAGACGGAGCTTGTTTGACAGAGTCCACAAAGGCGTAGAGATGTTGGACCCCACTGCAGATCTGCCCCGCGAGCGAAGCAATCCCTACAATCGACGCTGCAGCCCCAAGACTCTCAGCCATAAATTTTTATCTTAAACAAGCTCTGTCGTGGTTTCAAAAGGATAGATAATATGGGACAAGAAGTCAACGACACATATTGTCAGGAAATAGAAATGGTGATCTGGAAGAGTTGCAAGTTTGTACATAGCCGCCCGCCCTCTTAACGCGCATGCTGACGAGGCTGAGTTGTAAACTACTGATTGGTTGCTCTGGATCATGCATCTGTCAGTAAGTATATCTGAAGAGAAGCGATTTGCTGAGTCGACGCCCTTTTCGACATAGACGAATCCATTCCAGGGGGCGAGACGCTTGGAAAGCTCGTTCTGCTTGATCAGACCCGCTACGACATCTCACCCACGCTCACCATTCTTGGATGCACGCTATTCTCACATGTCAGCCACACACAGACAGATAGCATTAGTTTTGGGCTCAATAATTTCTACAACACTTGCGATTGGTCAATAGAAGCCCATCAAGAAGCACATTTTGCCGATCTTAACTGGCTGAACGAGGAGATTGAGTTGATTTCGCGCCTGGAGCCTGACCAGAAAGTAATTATTCTAACACATTATTGTCCTTCGACACACGAGAAAGTAGTCGACCCCAAACATGGCAGCAGCAAAATTTCCTCCGGCTTCATGACTGATCTATCGAATGAGCCATGCTGGCAACGTGAAATCGTGACGCTTTGGGCTTTTGGACACACACACTTCAACTGTGATTTCCGAGACGTATAGACAGGAAAAAGAGTGGTATCAAACCAGAGAGGCTATCTCAGTCTATGAAATTCGATGCTGAGAAGGCTGTCGAACTCCAGGATAGGTAAAAGTGGCTAGTTAATCTTGAGGCAAGCTCAACTCAAAGAGATTATTAAGAGAAAGCGGAACACCTGGACTGAGATGATTGAGTCGAGTCTGTCAACCCTGCTTGACTGGGAGAAGTTGCTTCTTTATCAATTCACGGCGCAGCCCCTCTAGAATTGGATACATCGTTGGATCGCCCAATTTTAGTGCATGATAAAATTGCTTGTATCCTTCTCTTAGACCTTCTTCATTGAGAATCACCGTTCCATCAACGAACTCCACCATGTAAGTTAGGATTGCCATCCAATAAGTCTCACAGGCACTGCCGTGGTCTCGACAAAGCAAAAGAATAAGGGCTTCACAGTACCTCAAGGCACTTGGAATTCGGACAGGGCTCGGTTGTAGAAAGCGTCCTGAACCGCGACCTAAAGTAGCTGGCGGAAGTCTGACGTCAGACGCGAACATAATGTCCGAACCTGCGTTGTGGAAAGCAGCCTCAAAGTTTGGAAATTCCCAAAGAGTATCCGACTTGCGATACAACGATATTGCAAGCTCATCGTCGATATGTAGACGTTTGTAGGGCGGCTGGCATTGTGCCGAACTTGAATGCGGGCAATCTAAATATCGCGTGCAGGGAAGAAAGCCAGCTTCGGAAAGGGTAGAGAAGGAGATTTCGGTGAGTGAATCAGGCACAACAAAGGACACGCCCTATCGCAACGTCAGTGGTGTTCCAGTAAAAGAAAATCTCATTTGGAGAGGCGACTAACGTCAACAATCGTGGGGACTCCATAGATGGTCAATAGATAGTTGCCCCACAGAAGATTCGGAACATTAGCCGCATCAAGCAGACAAGAAATTAATATAACCAGGTCGTTATCTAGCTGTTGGCCACTGAAGCGAAATTTAGTAACCATGGTTCTCATGTAGGCAACAGGATACTGACAGTGAAGCAGAGGGCGGACACTGCCAGCTTTAAGTGTTTTTGATTTGTTTGTCGGCGTGAAAGGGGCATCCGTTCACATGACCAGGGAGGGCAATGGATGTGGACACTGTTGGACGTGACACATATTGTCTGAGGCCTTCCCTTAGATTCTTCCTGGGAAAATGAGTCACCAGGGGCAATTCCCACATCAACCGTTCTGAGCACAATGATCTGTCGATGTCTAAAAGATGCCAGGGTTGAGCAACCGACACCACAAAACATCATTGGTGTTGGGCAGTTTGCTATTGTCTATAAGCTAAACAATAAAATCATTTGAAAAGTCCGGTCTGACAGGTCCTACATCTGCAGTGTCCAGGCCATTGAGATTGAGGCCAAGATATATGGCCATCTGGGAAGATATAAACGGATTGCTAAGTGCATCCGCTGCGGAAATGACTATACCAATTTGTGCTATGAGCCTAACGGGAACTTGGAGGCCTACCTCAGAGACAATCCTTTATGTGACCAGTTAAGGCGTTGACTAGTCCGACAGGCTATCAAGGCGGTGGTTTTCATCCATGAAAAGCGCGTTATTCATTCCGACCTGTTTGCTCAGCAGTTCCTTTTGGACAAGAATTTCAATTTTAGGTTGTCTGATTTTGGAGGATCTTCATTAAATGGCTCAGATGCCATTATTATGGAAAACGCGACGCAATTTCTCCCCTAAGATGAAGAATCTCTAAACACTATACAAAGTAATATATTCGCCTTGGGTTCAACCATATACGAAATACTTGTCGGCCGAAACCTTATAATGAAATGGAAGAGGAGGAAGTGCAACAATTATACTCAAATAAGGAGTTTCCAAGACTTGAAGGCATACAAGATATTCAATGGAGGAACGTTGTTGAGAAGTGTTGAACTGATTACAGAACCACATCAGATATCCTAGAAGATATTCCACCCTTGCCCCTAGCCACGCGTATCTTCACTAAAATCCACCTCATTTTTCATGGTACAAAGTGATCAATCGCCAGTCATTAAGGTCAAGAAGAACAGATGCAAAATCTTGATAACAGCGCGCGAGGGCTCCGTGATTCAGCATCCCAATGAGCTTTAGAACTGTTTTAAAATGAAAATAACCACAGGCAATATCTCCTTACCTAACAGTGCTTGGGGCATTTCCCCTTCACTCTATTAGACGCTCCGTGTCACACTTCATATTTGGGGCAGGTATTCCTCAGTCCATTTATTAGCTTCTCAGGACAGTCTGGCCCGGGGATCATCTCAATCTTATTACAGTCCGGATTTTGCATCCTTAGCTAAAGATAGTGGCTGTTTTGTAATCAACGCACATATTTCAGTTGCAGTGCTTGAGTGGGGAGACTAGATCATAAGAAGCCTAGATATCTCACCCTTTTTATAGAACAGCAGATGATTAAGGATTCTCTCTCCCTCCCTCTCCCCCTCCCCCTGGAAACACTTGCGCGAATATTGCCAACAGCTCCTTCACTGTGGTAAGGCCGACAGAGAAGGTTACATGCAGGTCTGACTGGGTGGATTTTCTGTTGCCAGGAGGTACGCGAAAGACTGCAGGTTCATGCGCATGACCAGAACACCTTCATCAATCTTCCTACATCCTACCACCCTCCATTTCTCCGCCATCCCACCGTATTAGTCCTTGGCCTCGATACATTGGATCGAAATTTGGATGGATTATGACATTCTAACTCTGCTTGGTCAATACAGCACGTTAGGCGAGGACCCTCATGTTTTCAATGACTCAGTTCCAGACCTCACGATAGATCTCTGACGCGGAATGTCTGGCTCCACGGAGGAATCCGAGGCTTAATTACGGTACATATATCCGGACTATTGTACTAGGTCTATCAGCACACAGTTGTTCTTGCAGATTGGGGTTCTTCGGACTCCCTTATCCCTTCATCAATCATCTGTATAACAACGTTAACGAGGGACGACAAAGCAAGTATTCAGCACATATGACAGTTATATACTGTTCTAGGAAGTTGGAATCTTCATATACATTGCATCAAGACGGGTTCATTCCGTGATATCCTTCGTTTTCACACCATACAAGGGTCTCAACCAGACTGCAAGGCACGATATCAGAAACTAATTTACCCAAGATAAGGGCCTTCCCTTCCAGGCCACACTGCCTTCAGAAATTAGTGCTGCCTGGAATAACCTGCATATCACTAAAGCAGGAATACCTGAACTGCGCTCCAGCCTCTCAACCAGCAAGCACTAGTGACAAAAAAAGAACCAACCCCTGTCAATTCGAAACACACGAGGCAGTGTACATGCAGTAGCGCCAACACACTAACCATGAACTCTCATGTCTACGAACTCCCGTGTGGCGCATGACCGTATATATACTTGACCTACTGCAGCTTGCGACAAGGGTTTTCGTCCTAAAACTGTCCCCAAGGCTGATAGCGACATGATGGCCTGAAATGGCGTCCCCGGGCTGGTTTAGACCGGTGTGAAAGCCACACTTGGGCGGTGCTATGCATCGAGGCTGCCCTGCTCTACGGGCGGTTCATAGCCCTGTCAGGGGTCGTGGTACTTTTGAAAGATATGGATTGTGTGGCACAATTGCACGCATATATTCCTCCCCTCTCTCGAGCCCTGGTTCGCAAAGCTTGATTTCTTTCATTTTCAAGCAAAGGACAATCGCCATCCATCATGTCCGACGAAACACCAGTGACCCCACCCTCGACTGCTTTGTATCCAATTCTGGTCACACCGCCAGAATCGGGTAGTTCTATCGAGAACCCCATACTTATATCTGATTCTGATGGGCCGGATGCCTCGGATACGGAGACGCTTTGTGGATCTGTTCGCCAGCTATCCGACAATAGTCCTTCTCCCTCCCCTCGGAGGGCTGACAGATTGCAACCACAGAAGCTCCGACGTCATAGTCGATATGTAACTCCTTCTCGAGGAGACTCCAACGTGAAACAGCTGGATGAAGTCGAGAATACCAGAGAATCGGACATATACCTTAGCGGCCTGGGTGGGGATCCTCCTTTGAGCCAAGTCATCATCTGACAGTGCACTAATAAGATCTCAATGCTACAGCGGACGACACAACTCATAGGCATCCCAAATTGCCAATGGACGGTCCAAATGGCGGTACTTCTCCGGAGAGCTGTGACACCGGACGATCTCTCGAAAGTACCCCCTCGGCCTCTGCGGGACCAATGCCGATTTGGATGCTGGAAACCAAAATCAAGGAGGTTATCCTGAAGACTGCCACAGATGCAGAAGGACAAAGGCAAGGGTATGCCTATCTATTCGCTGATCCGAGCGATGAGGCGGGATATTTCAAACTGGGGAAATCTGAAACTCCATTGAAGCGTGGAAAAATGCACCAAAATAAATGCAAGCATCCCGCCTTCAGAGTGATCGATGAGCTGCCCCGAGGGATGTCAGTTCCTTGGTACGGTCGTTTGGAGTCGCTGGCGCACGCTGAACTCGCCAATATGAAGTACTCATTCGACTGCTCTTGCAGTACGCGCCACCGAGAATACTTTACTGGAAGAGTGAAGGAGGCCTTAGAGATCCTGAACTGCTGGTCCGGCTGGCTGCAGCTCAATCCGTATGACGAGGACCTCCAACTTTCTTCTTTCTGGAGGGATAGACTTCGTCTTCTGGGAGGGAAAGCATTTAGCCACCCCAGGTGCCCTAGCACTGAATGTCGCTCCGCCAGGGACATTGGTTCCAGCTCATGTCAAAAATGCCTCAGGCTACGCTTGAAAGCATGGACTGTCGTGACAGATTTCGATTATTTTGAGTACGAATGTCGCAAGAGGATTGGCTGGGGGTTTCTCCGTCAAGTCATGTCCTTGATGTGGCTGCTCTTCGGGAATAGTACTTTGACTCTCATCGACGGCTGCGAGAGAATGAAACGCCTAACCGCCTTCTTGTGGGCCCCGGTGACTCATCTGCATTTGCTTTTGCTGTTAATGTTCCGGCTCTGGGTCTCGAGCAATGTTCCTCTCGAATCCAGTCTGTGCTATGCCATACTTTGCGTTTCTGCCTATTGCAGGATCGCGAGCGGATTGAGCTACACTCTAAAAGCCCAAACCATTCCCCAGTCACCGCGCAAGAAGGCCACTAGAAGAGTTTCGAATTCGCCAGGATCCAGGATCCTTCCTGAAGCAGTCAGTGAAAAAGAGATGCCAGATGAACAAGAACCGCCCTCCAAGAAGCGAACGGTCAGCATTCACGGAGCGCCCGATATCTCAAATTCTCCCCGTGGCCAAAGCGCCCCCGCATCCCCTGAAATGTCTGAAATATCAAAGCACAACAGCCCCAACCCGTTCTTGACTCCGGACCGAGCAAAATTGATAGTTGGTAAAAGCAGCCCGAAAGCCGGCACGAAGCGACGAAAGAGCGATGTTCGTTGAACCTACAGGCCAGATCCTTCTCTAACCTTATACTCTGCGGTCCAAATAGATGCATCGCAGACAATACGCCATTGCAGCTCGAGAAAAGCGAGCCTATCCTTACGAGAATCTCTATACACTCAATGTAAAATCGAATCCTGTGCTCTTATAGAGAATAGCTCTTCTAGAGAACATTCTACTTTTGGAATGTATCCTCTTCTACTGTTCCTTGGAAGCTTGCTTGGATTGACCTTGAGCAGTCGCCAAGCTTGAGGTCACTTATTAAATAGTTGCCTAACCACTGGACAATCATCGTTCCAGAAGGCTGTAGAAGGTAAGACGAACTATCATCGCCTGATTAATTATCCGTCTTCTTCCCAAGGACCCATAAAAAGGGAATTTCCCTTCCTTCTCCTTTCTCTTCCTCGATCTCAGCGACAACCTCCCTGAGAATCAGCTCAAACCCAATTGAAGAGACTATCTCACAGGTCCTTTCCTCTCCCCAGCCACTCCAGAACATCTCTCCATCCGTCCCATCCAACCAATGCTTATCAAACAAGTCCTCATCCTTAAGGCCTGCCACAAAACTCCCCAGAAACAATGCCCCAGGCTTCAGCCACTTGTATATCCTTTTTAGTAGAGTCACTTGCTCCTCCTTCGGCAGGTGGAGGATCGAATACATGGCAATCACGGCGTCGAAACTGTTGTCTTCAAACGACAGCTCCATCATATCTCCCTCAATAAGAGACACATTTGCAGAAGGGAGGTGCTCCTTGGCAAGCGCAAGCTGCACAGAAGAGATATCGTTCGCCGTAACTTTCATGCCAGGATTTGAAGCAAGGATCGCAGTGCAAGGCTGGCCCGAACCGCAGCCTAACTCGAGAACCGACTTTTCAACTGGTGCGGGCGGAAGGTATGCGAGCAGCTTCTGCAGATATTCGACGCGGGTAGGATAGCTTGATTTCGTCCATTCTGCGTACTTGACTGCTACGTTGTCGTAGGCCTTCTTGATATTTTCTTTCAGGGTTGGTGATGATGATGCCATTGTGATCTGCAGTATACGTGAATCGATTTCTGGGTGAATGGTTGAGAGCTTCATTCTGTGTTCCGAGCAGGAAGAGTCATAAATATAAATGCGGGGTCCCCATTAGGCTAGACCCCAATCATTCATTCTTTTGGTGGGGAATTTCCCCCAGATTCCTTTTTCTTTGGTATAGCGTAGTAATGGCATATTTGGACACTCAAGCACAGGGGAGGGATATAGCAGCTACTAGAAAGAGAGCAATAGATAGTATGTAGCAGTCTATGGTAGTATAGGCAATATAAACGGCACCGAAGCAGCTATATTGTAGAGTGAACAAGAGAGTCCACTAACCCCAGAAGGGGGATTATGAATATTTACTAATTGCAAACTAATTATTCAGTAATTCTGCAGCAGCTCCATAATGACTCCCTTCTGTCTCTGTGTACGACATAATAAATTCAGTTACTCATGAAAATCAATGGACCAGATCTATGCTCGGAAGGACGCGCCTCGCTCAACCGTGGATGTTTGGCCCCCAAGTGCCTGATGTAACAATGGCACTCGCTTGACCTGATCAGGATTCGGTCATTCAACTGACTACCATTTAAACTACCATGGTTACATGAGTCTCAGCCTATCACAAGCCACAGTGAGATCTTCAATGCAAGGACCGTGTGATCTGCAGAATCAACGGTGAAACCGGAGATCTTCGACATCTCCGCCGGCAGCTTGCAGACTGATGCTCGATGGTATATATCTCTCCTCTTCCCCTCTCAGAAGCTTTGATTGTAGTGACAATTCAATCACGTTCAAAATGGATTGGATCATCTTGTTGTATGGTTTATATGTGGCGGTATTTGGCGTGACCGTCGTCTACGGGATAGGCGAGACGGCAGGGGATACGACCAAGCTCAGTCAATGGCGACTGCAGTCTTCCCTTGCGGTGTCCAATGCCTCTGCATGGTCGCTCCCAGGGAATGATGACTCTTCCTGGTATCAGATTGGCACGCGGGCGACCGTCATGGCTGGTTTACTTGAGAACGGCGTCTACGACGACACGACCCTGTTCTACTCCGACAACATGGAAACCAAAATCGGTGACACTGCCATGTTCGAAGCGCCTTGGCTATACAGGCATGAACTGTGGATCAAGAACAAGATACGCCAAGGAGAGCACTATTTGCTTCACACGCATGGCATCACTTCCAAGGCGGATATTTACGTCAACGGGGTGCTGGTTGCACCGAGCTCCGTTCAGCAGGGGTCGTACGGCGGTCACACGTATGACATTACGAAATACCTGCGTGTTGAGTCAAACGCGCTGCTCATCCAGGCGTATCCAACAAACTACCTCCGAGATTTCGCGCAGGGGTTCGTGGATTGGAATCCTTATCCAGCGGATAATGGCACCGGTCTATGGCGGGATGTCATGCTCACAAAGACGGGGCCTGTGTCGATCTCGTCGCCGCGTGTGCTCACCAACTTCAGAAAGCCTGATGGGAAGCCCGTTACGGTGAATGTTATCGTGGATGTAACGAACCATGAGGATGAGACGGTCAACGGTACTGTACAGGGGTCCATCCAGTCTGACACTGAGAGCTTTGTGCTTTCCCAGCGATTCTCTATCCGACCGCATGAAACAAAGACCATACCTATGAATGTCAAAATCGAAAAGCCTAAGGTGTGGTGGCCGGCGCAATGGGGGTCCCAGCCCTTGTACACGGTCAATGTCAATGCGACAGTGGGCAAGGGTAAGGTCTCGGATGTTGCGCTTCAAAGGCGGTTCGGCATTCGCCAGGTGGACTCTCATGTCAACTCTCATAACGACACGGCGTTTACCGTGAACGGATCGCCATTCCTGGTTCTCGGTGGAGGGTACTCGCCTGATCTGTTTCTCCGGTTCGATGTCAATCGTGTGCGAAATGTCTTCCAGTATATGCTCGACATGGGACTGAACACTGTCCGACTGGAGGGCAAGCAGGAGCATCCAGAGTTATACGATCTGGCAGATGAAATGGGATTGATGGTCATAGCCGGATGGGAATGTTGCGACAAATGGGAGGGATGGGATGTAAGTCACTTGTCTTGCATAAACAACGCAGAATGCTGACGAGCACAGTACAATAATGAAGCCAGTGGAGAGAAATGGACCGAGAAGGACTACCCTATTGTCAATGCATCCATGCTCCATGAAGCAGCCATGATGCAGACCCATCCGTCCATGCTAGCTTTTCTAATTGGATCTGATTTTTGGCCCAACGACCGTGCAACCAAGATCTACCTCGATGCTTTGCATCGCATGGACTGGCCGGTGCCGATCATTGCGTCCGCCAGCAGACGGGGATACCCTAAAGTTCTCGGGCCGTCTGGTATGAAGATGGATGGCCCGTATGACTGGGTACCACCGAATTATTTCTATGGCGATCAGCTGGGTGCCGCATTTGGATTCGGGTCAGAAGAGGGTGCTGGTGTGGGAACGCCCGAGTTAACCAGTCTGCGAAAGTTCCTGTCGCCAGAGGACTTGGATTCCTTGTGGAAGAACCCCGATCAGAACCAGTACCATATGTCGCGGTATGACTCGTCCTTCTATAATCGCGCTCTGTATAACAAAGCTCTCTTTGCGCGGTACGGCGCCCCTGTCAGCCTGGAGGATTATCTCCTGAAGGTGCAGATGATGGACTATGAGGCCACGCGTGCAGAATTCGAAGCGTTCTCTGTGCGCCAGAATGCCTCTCGTCCGTCCACTGGAGTCATATACTGGATGTTGAATAGCGCATGGCCGAATCTGCACTGGCAGCTGTTTGACTATTATTTGAGTCCTGCAGGGGCATATTTCGGAACCAAGGTCGGTGGAAGAATTGAACACGTGGCGTATGACTATGAGGAGCGTGCAGTCTACCTGATCAATCGCTCCCTTGAGAAGAAAGGGCCACGCGTTGTCTCTGTTGACCTTGTTGATCTGCATGGCAAATCGATCTTCAACAAGGAGGTCACGATTAATGCCACACCCAATGCCTCCAAGAAGGTCATCCCAGTCAAGGCAGTTACTCAGATCAAGGATGTCGCATTTCTCCGTCTGGTGCTCAAAAACCCCAATACAGGAGCCATCCTCAGCCGCAATGTATACTGGTTGTCCGCTCAGAACGACGTCCTCGACTGGGAGAATTCAGACTGGTATTATACTCCCGTTACAAAGTACGTCGACTACAAGGCACTGATATCGATGCCGACTGCTGCTGTGACTGCATCGCTGAAGCGGTTGCCTGCCAAGGACGGCCTGTCCCAGGTGCAGGTCGTCTTGAGCAATCCTTCAGCCACCCCTGCCGTTTTCATGCACCTGTCCGCCATCAACAAGGAGACGCAGGAGGAGATCACCCCAGTATTTTGGTCTGATAATTATGTGACTATCTTCAAGGGGGAGAGCGTGACCCTGACAGCGGCATTTCCGGGAGGTGGGAGTAACAGGGAGATTATACTGTCGGGTGTAAATGTGAAGAGAACTATCTTGTCGTAACTGACCTTGTTATGGTCTGAGGTCTGAGAGGGGACTGGTTCTATATAAGCGTATTTGCTATTGAACAATGAACAATGCCTATTTAATAAAGCCAAGTGTACAGTGAAGAAAGTGGTGACAACCAAAAAGGGGATCTCCAAGTGCACGTGCCGAAGATAAACCGCACGTCTACTGTGGTATTAAAGTGAATGCGCATGATTATTATAGATGAAATAGGGTTTATTAATACTAGACATGACTTTGGAATCATTCACACTCTCTATGACAATATGCAGATAAAGACGCTATTTCTGCATTTCTTGATGATATACTAGACTAGATCATTTCCCCGGCATTTGTATTGTCCTGCTGTAATTTCCTGTGGTCATCAACTCATGAGTCCTATGGTGTGACTACTACTTCTGGGATCGAGCATTGGCAGCCTAAATTCATCTGACGAGCTTTTGATCTCTCGGAAAAGCAATGTTTGGAAACACATCTACTTCTTAGTGGCCAGCTGTACAACCACAATAGCCTATATCAACTATGACACTCAAAGATTACTTGCATTGCGCCCATCTCAACCTAAGAGCAATTGGTCCCACCATAAACAAAAGTCCCGTCCGAGTTCTCGCAGCCGCAGGTACCGTCATCAGGGCTCTTAATGCAACCGGTGCCGACGCCAGACGACTCTCCATTATCACTGCATGGATTAGTATTTACTGCTCTGTATATCGCTATTGCCTGTGGGTGTAACTCACTTCCAGAAGAAGGTCCAGCAATCCTCATTGACCTCGGTCATCTGCGAGTCAGTAGGCGCGGTGCAGGTGTACGCCTTGCAGGTTCCGTAGGGAGCTCCATGGGAGGAGTCGTATTGGTGGTCAGTGACGAAGACGGCAAAGGTTTGAGTTTCTGCTTCGGTATTAGAGGGTGCGTGCCTGTAAACGTAGGAGAAGAGGGCGCAGTAGGTACGTACTGGATGTCCGCGTGTTGTGGGAACATTCCGCGGCTTGAATTGCATTGGAGGTCTTTGCGGCTGTGGGCTGTCAATTAATCTGACTTGGTGGATGGCAGAGTAGTACTAACGAGAGCAGTTGTAAGTACCAGGGCATTTGCCCTTGGTGTTGGAGGTTGCTGGGTCGAGGGTAGCCAGTGCAAGTGTGGCGCCGAGAAGCACGGTGATCAGAGACTTGGACAACATGATTACGGTGATGAGAATGCTATTGATGTATTTGGACGATGGTCGTTGGAGAGCTTTATATCTTCTTAGATCCCGAGTCTCCTTTTCTCGAAACAACAGGGAGATGTCATACGGAGACCTGCCGCGTCGTTCGTTTCAAGAGAGTGGGTCAACGATATCAGCCAGAATTGAAGAAGAATCTCTGTGTCTGTCGGTGTACGATATCACCAGTGATATCCAACAAAGCTGTAATTAAGGAGAAACTCTGCAGGTTAACACAGCCTGCCGGGCTAAGCATCACATCTACATATAGACTCGATGGTCTTGACCTTAAAGTAGCCTGATGACGAATCTCCGGAAGTCTTCCGTGGGGATTGTGTCAGATATATAGAGGATGCTTCTTCACCACCGGTTCTAGATTCTCGTGGACCATATCATTGTAATACTATTGCTGAGCAGTCAATTGTTATGTGCGCTTGTTATGCACTACAGATGCGCTCCTTCCTCACCCGTTCACGGCATGCCTTTCCGAGGCCGATCGACTACTCCGTACAAGTATATCAGATTCAGGCAGGCAACATTTCATTATCTTTTGAAACAAACAGCGACTCTACTATGACCCCTACTTCAATAATATACTTTCAATAACCTTGGTGTGCTGTATCAAGGCCTCATCCTTCAGCTTTCTGCCGATGATCTGCACGTGGCATGGTGCACCTTCGACTTCTTTGGGCTTGTCTGGATTTCCCATTAGTTACAGTTCTCTGGGAGAAGATAGAGTACTTACACGCTGGGGAGTACTGGACATCTCTCACAAACTCGGCGTCGGCAGCCTCCTCAGCCTTGCAAAAGGGAAGAACGCAAGATGGATACTAACAAGTCAGCGACGTTCCTACATCAGGTTGATTAAACTTACGTCGAGCAAGTTACAGAAGACAGTATATGGTGGCTTCCCGTATTCATCGTGAGGAGCGGCACAGCTCTGGTAACCCGGACCGATGATAACATCCAGCTGATGCTCGAGGAACGTCTTTCGCCCCTCCGCCATCACTTCGCCCCACGTCACGTTCATATCGAACAGTTCTCGCAGCGTCGGCTCCGGTCCGGGCTCATCGACATTATATGTTACGCGTAGGGAGGGGATGGGGGGCTCGCCGCTGTCGGAGATTTTCTTCAAAGCCGTCCGGTCGGGATCCATGTTGAAGTATCGGAAAGATAATTCACAGGCATCGGAAATGCTAGGCAATTTCCCGGTCAGATCGACAATACGATGACCGGCCGCGGCGAGTTTCTGCGCGGCGAGCGCCAGAGTTCGCTGCATGGGCGGATGAATCGGGTACTTGGGGTCCTCTGCCATGACGCCGATGGTGAGCACATCCTTTGCGGGCGCATCACACCACGGGAAACCCACCACGCCGTCGTCGAGATCCTCAGGCTGTGAGTCAAACACGGTCCGGAGGAGGAGTTCGGCGTCCCTGAGGGAATGGCACAACGGCCCTGCTACGGCCGTAAGTCCTACCATCCCGACTCGGCCGGCGAAAGTTTGGCCCCCGCATGGCACGCGGCCAACAGAAGGCTTGAAGCCGGTTGTCCCGCAGCACAGCGCCGGGATGCGGATGGATCCTGCAATGTCGGTGCCGATGCCCAGCACCGAGCCGCGAAGGGCAATCAGAGCACCCTCACCCCCTGTGCTTCCACCCGCTGTGAGGTTGCGGCGGTACGGGTTCAGGACACGGCCAAAGACGTTGTTATGCGAGTCTGCCGTCATCATGGTCTGCGGAATATTGGTCTTGACATAGAGAACAGCACCGGCGGCGAGGAGGACATCCACCAGCGCCGAATTTGTGGTTGGAGCCGGACGGTCCAGGTAGGATACAAACCCAAGAGAGGTCGGCACGCCAGCAACGTTGAAGCAATCCTTTAGGCTGATGGGAAGGCCATGAAGGGGTCCGATGGTCTGTCCTGTGGCCGTCAAATGATCATCCAATTGCCGAGCTCGGGCGAGTGCTTGGTCGAAGAACGTTTCGGTAAGGCAAAAGGTAAGTTGCTGGGCTATAGCAGCACGTTTGCAAAAAGCTGTTGTGACTTCCACAGCACTGAGCTCTTTTGACGCCAGCTTCTGCAGGAGATCAGTGGCGTCGTAGTTTTCGGTGATGTCGAGCTCGCGAGCAGAAAGAATACCGCACTCTGTGGGAATGCCAAGAACATTGGACTCGTTGGAAATGGCATTCAGGGTATCTGAAGAGAGTCTCCATTCTTGAGGGATTTTGCTGGCAGCTTCAGACTGCTTAAGCTGGGCTTTTTGTTGCCAGTCGACGATGGTCATTGTGAGATGCTGTGGTAGAATGGTAGAGATCGACAAGCAAGGAACCCAGAACTCACCGAGGTTTATATATCTTTGTCTCCATTGTCCTGTGCCGCAATACAATCGCAGGCGTGAGGGGTAAATGAATCCATCAAATCGGACTCGGTAATCAGCCAGAAGATAACCCAATCTGGCCAATCAAGCACTGTTGCGCAACAGACTTGGGGTTGCTATATAAGAGCTGAATAACAGCATGTGACTGACATTCTAAAATGCTAAAGTACTGCTTATTCTTTCACGAGAAGCATGAGGTGCATGTGACAGGCGTTGACGGCCTCTACAAATCAGGGCAACATCTCTCAGCTCCTCCCGGTACTTTATGGACTCGTTCAAATTTTGGTCTCCGATGGGAACATAAATCTTTGCCCAGCGGTTCCCAGTCCGCATGATCGTGAGGGCGGGAAGCCATGGCCATGACAGGCTAGAGATTTTTAGTAGTTGACAACTTCTCCGGTAGAGTGGTTCGAGATTACAACATGATATCTGCCTGTTGATTATAGCTGTTCATTGAATATAGCATCTATGAAACTGCGATAGTCTAATATCACTGGCCTTCAGCTTGGGGCAACTTTGCCTGTCGGGACTTGATGGCGGACAACTGCCTGATAAAGAGTACCACTAGACGAAGCAGACCACTTGACAGCAAGGTACTAGTACAAATGATCTAGCGATAGACTACCAGCTTGGGAGCAAACTCCTTCTCTGATATCTGTCGCTGTCGCGTGTATACACCTCGTTCTAGAAATATGGTCCGGCCTGGTGCTGCGGCTGATCAGCGATATTTGCGCGCTGCTTCTCCGCATTCCCCGGATTCTGGGCTTAGTACTGATATCGCTTCTCCATAGTCATCCATTTGCATCAATGTGTATCGTGTAATAATGAAAAAGCGACATGTACATTACGTCAGTAAATTCATAAATATGGCCCCAAATGTAGTGAAAGGCATGTGTGGGTAGTAGTAAGATGTGATGTAGCAGTAGTAGTAGTATTCAAACCCATGCAGCAACCCTCTCCGAGGGAGCAGTTATGCCGACAGAGTCGCCTCATTGAACTGACGTCCTAAGCCAGGATACACCCTTTCCAAAACAATCAAAATGCTCAAAAAACCAGACTGGGTATCTTATACATGTGCTTCCCTAACGCCAAAACCAGCAAAGAGGAAAAAATCACAAATTCTGGAGCTGCTAATGGCCCTCTGATTGGTTGCTTGATGTGGTCATCTTCTCGGTCGGCGACAGACTGCCCTTGGACTGATGTGAGCGGACCTCCAAATCCTTCTGTTGGCGACTTCCCCGGCTGTCTTTGGCGCTGGCTGGGCGGGGCGAGACCTCGGTGTCACGAAGGCGAAGATGAGCCGTTTCCCGTTTGAACTTCTCTGAGTCGACCTCCCATTCCAGTTTGGTATGTTTCCCTTCAGAGTCATCATCAAGAAGCGGCTCTGCTCTCGTGAACGAACCAGGCTGCAGCGCGCCTGTAACCAAGTCGCGTATCATCTTCCGAACACTTCCCGCGTCTTCGGCGGGGCGTTTGGCGACCGTGCCTTTCTTCTGTTGAAACTCGAGCTGCGTGATCCGATCATGGAGAGCGTCTGTATCCACGCCAAGATGACGGCCCAGCGAACACATGGCGGCAAACGGATTAGACTCAATAGCCCGGTCAAGTTCCCCGTCAATAGAGTGAAAACGGGACGAAGTGTCGGAATCACTATCCGAATCGGAGGAGTCGTAAAGCTCTCCACGGTCGACGAGCCGAATGGTCGCTTTCTCGAGATTGTAATGCTTGAGCAGTGTCTTCAATTGGTTCCCTTTCTTATGTTAGCAAGGTGAAGACTCCAATAGAGTGTGACAATCACGTACAGTTCTTCCGATCTTGCAGTCGATAGAGTCTAAGAGCCGTTTTGGGAAAACACTTTGGAACTGGGACTGGTTGATGAAAGGAGTCGTACACAGGGATGGCTTGTATCCTTTGGTTAAGGTGGGCCACCTTGAAATTCGCAAATGTTGCTTCGAAGATCGCAAATGATGTTTCCAAGGTGTCAATCTTGTCAAGCTTCTGCGATATTTGGTCCATCTTCTCATAAACATTGCGGAACTCCCTCTTGATGCCCTTGTCCCGAGCCTCATTGTCCTTTATTAGATCGCCAATCCTTTCGTGGACCCTGCCGAATTCTTGCCTAAGGGCTCGGTCGCGAATCTCGAACTGCTCGTCAAGTCGCTCCTGTAGTCTCGGAGACTGTTGCTGAAGTGTTTCTTCCCTTTGTTGGACCATTTTGATGATGAAATGATAATTCTCACCTCATCATTGCATGCTCGAGTTTGGTGTAGATAGAGAAGGCTGATGATGAAAGCGGCAGGTGGACGAATGAGTCAGGTGCCATCCCTCCGTCTGACTATGGTCACGTGGTGCTTATCGTGTGGCTGAGCATCCACTCTTATCACTCAGCACCGCCGCATTTCAGCGTCTTCAGCCTCGCGTCAACAAACACAAACCACTTGTATTGCGCAGCGACATGCCATATCAATTTCTACCAGAAACATATCATATTGTTCTCTCAAGAGACTATGGAGTGTGCGTCTTATCATACTCATCCCCTCTGTATAATGCACCGTCTGTGCTTTGTCTTGTAAGACCTTGATCAGCTCCTTGGGTGATATATATACCCGTGTGATTGTTGAGTCTAGGAAAGCCTTCGTCTTCTGAGCTTTCGTCCTACTAGATCTCCTGGCATATCTGAGAAGATTTCGAAAAATGTCTTCGGAACAAACATGCTCCCATTCTTCCATACGTTCCGACTCCTCCCCTCATGCTGCCGAAGTAGGTTATAAACAACGAAGTCTGAAGCAAAGGACTGCGGCCGTGAGACTACCAGGATCCCCAGCCCCATATGGCAGTATTGATCCAACCATATTTCCGGCTCCGTTGGTTTTGCCTGGTGATGACCTGGCACTGGACCCCGGGTACCCACCGCAGTCTTTTCTGGAGTGGTTGGACGAGGAGGATCGCAACAAAGTCACTTCGGACAGAAAGACAGTCTATGTTGTTGCGCCACCTGAATATGACGAAGTTGCCTATTTCGCGCAGGCATGGACCTCTCCTAGAGTGGGCAAGACCCAGCATCAGCTAGTAGCGCCTAATCCAGAAGATATCGTCGGTTACCTGGCGGCATTCTACCATGGGGTGCCCGTTAAGCTTCTTCGAGTATCGGACTTTCGATTTCTTCCTTGGGATGCTCAAAAATCCACAACCTCACCCCGCTTCATTGGTTTAGCCGTTTCGGACGAGTGCATTGGTATCCGGACGCGTGCATGCCCAGACAAACTTTACCCTCGTCAATTGAACCTCGATGATCTCCTAGATGTTGCGATAAGCATACTTCCCAAGGATGCGTATGCCTTGTGTCTTCTGGTGAACCATGATCTCTATGAGGACGCTGATGATACGTTCGTCTGCGGACGAGCATACGGTGGAAGCCGCGTCGCAGTGGTCTCCAGCGCCAGGTATTGTCCGACCCTGGACGAAGTTCAGTCAGTAGAGCGAGAGCATTCGTGGCCAGCATCACATTGTGACGACTACATCCGACAATCCAGCTCCTCCTACGTGGCGAGTACCAAAAGGCGGAAGACCGCCAGCGAATCGTCATCCTTGGCTACTGCACCATTAACAGCCGCGTTATCTGCATTGTCTTCCCTCCCAAATATCGATTCATCACCACGGTTATTATCATCGCTCTGGCTTTCTCGAATGTGCCGCACTGCAAGCCATGAACTAGGTCATTGTTTTGGTATTGACCATTGTGTATATTACGCATGCATCATGCAAGGAAGCGCGTCTCTGTCAGAAGACACGAGGCAGCCGCCCTACCTCTGCCCAGTTGATTGTGCAAAGCTTGTACATGCAACGGGAAGCACAGCTCAGGAACCATACCTCGCACTGCTGGAGTACTGCAATAAAGCGACGAATCGTGAAACGCATTTCTTCACCGCGTTTGCTGCTTGGTTGACTACGGCTCTCAGTACAGTCACAAGATAGCCTTTCTCCCCCGGGATTCCATAGCCCGGCGAATCTCCCAACGGGTTTGTTGACTGACATCACAGGAGTTACTAACATTGGTTCACATGTACCGGAATATGCTGCCGTCGACGCATACTCACGGGAATTTCGAGTTGATTGGCTGCTGGCCTTAAGTAGGAAGTGCCATGCGTCACATCTAACATCGATTCACAACACTGCGACTCAAAATCCGACGCTCGATACCTACGAGGACTATAACGTGCTCTTTTGGTGGGGTATAATTCTGACGTATTCTGGCGGATCGTTGGGTCTTCGCGAGAGGAGCTGCTGGATAGTGGTGGCTCTGATCGCAAGCTGCTGTTCGGGCGATTGACTGATTGTTGCTTGCGCTCACTTGCGCTCTACATAGTACAATCAAAACACAATGTTCATCTCGAATGCGATTTTCTTGGTCCTTTGATTGCCAAGCATAGACCAACCTCAAACATAGCATCATTGCGGGATGGTCGAAATGTTACCCGATTCGGAAATGGTTGCGAACGCTAAATTGGTGGACCCTTGTTAGACCTCCCCAAATTATCGGTCTTCTGGGTCATTCAGTCGATGTGAGATGGGTTAGTTCGAGCACTCCCCTCTTATTTCAACAATCTGGTTATGGGATTGTGAGCCCTGGCCGGGATTCTGCTGCCTCGCAGGGTATCCCAAGCAGTTCCAGTTGATGCCTGGTTATTTGCCTACTTCGTACGCAAACATATCATTCTCAACGAGGGTAATTCATCAGAATCGACGTGTTGATAAGCTTGACCTCCGAGGTATGTTCATACCTCAAGCGGGGTGGTTCGTTGTGGAGAGTGACATACTCTCATCAAGCCTCACATGCTGATCGTCCACAGTAGCTCGCTACGGATTAGTCTCCAGATCGAGGGGCTTGATCTTCCATTCATATGTGCAAGAGATTTTGTTGGGAATAAAGATCCACATATACTGACGTTGTGGGATGTTGCTAGTCTCTTCACATGTTCTAGTATCTCTCGATTGCCGATGACCTGTAATCGAAGCCGACAAACCTATTTAAAGGTGCAGGTCCTCGCTCAGGCTTCCTACGGATTTTCAAAGCCCTCGCAACCATCGCAGCAATGGAGACCAAAGGTAACCCTAAAGATTCGATGAAGTCCACCTGGCGTACTGCCAGCAAGGATACCTGGAGCCTCGGACACTGGCTCATTCATATACTCAACGCCTACCCTCTAGAACTCGACAAAGAGGTACCGGTGCACTCCAAGAATGAACCAATCCCATTCATGCCACAGTGGTCGCTCAATCTATGGGTTATTTTCTACTCGTCCCTACCACTGTTGTTTCACCAGGCCTATGCATGGTACACAGGGCGCAACCTGGGTCCTTTAGCCACCTTTAATCTGTATATGTTTGCCTTCAATGCGATCGTCATCTACCAGGTACACATACTCCGGCGACTCGGTCACATATACGGCTTCCTGGATGGCGACAAACATGAACGAGACGGTGTTCCCGACGTCGGGGTTGGCAAGGTTGTGGCCTCGGTGTACAAAACGACCGGTTCTCGCTTGGCGCTATCGGTGTACTTCTCCTATCAGACAAGTCAACTTCCTTCACAGATGAACTGGTACTGGTTACCTGTTGAGGTTGGACTGTACGGGATCGTGCTCGACTTCTGGTTTTACTGGTACCATCGTCTCATGCACGACGTCAGCTTCCTCTGGAAGTATCACCGCACTCATCACCTCACCAAGCACCCCAACCCTTTGCTCACGGCATACGCGGATCACGAGCAGGAGTTCGGCGACATGGTGGGTGTACCGATGATGACCTACTTTACTCTGCGGCTGCTGGGTCTCCCGATGGGCTTCTACGAGTGGTGGATCTGCCATGAGTACGTTGTTTTTGCAGAGGTGTTCGGACACAGCGGTCTGCGCTTGCATCTGACCGTCCCGTCGCCCCTCAGCTGGCTAATGCAGTGGCTCGATGCGGAAATTGTCATTGAAGATCATGACTTGCATCATCGGAAGGGCTGGAGGAAGAGTCACAACTATGGCAAGCAGACTCGTCTTTGGGATCGGATCTTTGGAACCTGTCATGAACGTATTGAGTCTGCGGCTGAGAATGTGGATTATGTGAATACCGCCAGGATGCCATTGTTTTGACTTGGATCAGGACTACTCAGAGAGTCTGAGTTAGGCAAACGGGAACAGACCTGTGAAGCTGAATTAGAAATTCCCTGTATATAGTTACTGCTATTCTGGCAGAGGACAAAGCATGACCCGAGCTTGATGAATATATGTCAATGAAACCTTTTGAACCAGATCTTCCTCAGCCTTGTCTTTTGTACTAAAGATTGACAAAGCTTCAGATCGTAAGATTATGTGGAGGCATTATACGGATGTTCTCAGCACTACCTTATAACTCAAAACATTATTGTTAGAAATAGAGGTGCTACCAATACTCCAACAAATACCCGAACTCTTAGTCCCTTGCTTCAACTCAACATCTATCGCACAATGTCTTGTATCAATATCTACAGAGTACTTCGTAGAGTGTCAGATTCAGGTGCGGAAACATTTCAAAGTGCGGGCAGTAAGAGGATCCGCATTCCAACTGCACGTTACAAATCGCCATTGGTCGAAGAATCGGTTTTCGTCCTGTTCTCCCTTGTACGGAGTAATCCAATCCCCATATGTCTGTGGCAGCGTCACTGTCAGCTCTAGCGGCCGAGTGGCGTCAGCCCCCAGCCTAGTCTAGTATGAGTAGATACCATGGTAACCTGATACGCAGGACAATTGAATATATATATCCATTTCACTATCGAGATATGTGATATCCTTCCTCGATTGTGAAATTCACAGCGTATCACTATCATGTCCGCCGGAGCCGAAACGCTACAGCAATTCTTTCCCGCGACATCCCGGCCGCTGATATGCAATGCACCGATGGCGGGAGCGACAAATGCCAGAATGGCAGTAGCAGTAACCAAGGCTGGGGGATTAGGTACGAGATAAGCAGACAATATAGAGAAGACGACTCATTAATCATCCAGGTCTCATTGGCGGCGGAGCTGACTTCACTTCGTCATCCCCGGAGCTGGCAAATCTCCGGCAACAATTGGTCTACGCTAGGGAGCTCTTGGGTATCGTCGACTCGAATACACTACTACCCATTGGGATCGGCTGTCTCACAATGAAATCCGACACGTGGAAGGATAACTTTGTCCAACTTGTCAATGAATATCGACCTGTAGCGGTCTGGCTGTTTGCGTACACCCACCGATCGCAGCACGCGGAGCTTATTCAGGCACTGCAGAACACAGGCAAGGATTGGGGACTCAAAGTGATTGTTCAGGTTGGCACGGTGGAGAGTGCTAGAGAAGCCATCGACGATGGGGCCGATATTCTATCTGTTCAAGGATCCGATGCCGGAGGCCATCAATTCAAGCAGGGGGCTAGTCTGATGACCTTGCTTCCGGAGGTAGCGGATATGGTAAGGAGCGAGTATCCAGAGAAGAACATTCCACTGCTGGCAGCTGGAGGAATCATGGATGGCAGGGGAGTCGCAGCTGCCTTGATGCTAGGTGAGGCCGAGGCATTCAACTTGATCGCTGCGGATCCGAGATAATAGCACCACGTCCGTCCAGGCGCAAGTGGAATTGTGATGGGGACAGGAGTGAGTTGGTTCACAGCTGGATGTAAACAATACTGACTGTTCTTAGTTTTTATGCACAACGGAATGTCCTGTCTCGGACCAGATCAAGGCCACTTTGATTGCCACTCAAGATGGCGCTTCGTCCACTTTGAAGTACAATTGCCCTCATCCTAGAGGTGAATAGTCACGATGACTGATTGCTGCTAGATCCCGCGTACATGATGAGATTCAAGGCAAGGCTGAATTCTGGCCGAGCCAATATTCCGGGCGCGCGATTGTGTCTGAGGTCCATTGGAAATGGGATGATGAGTTGAACAAGAACAAGGAACTGGACATGGTCAGAACACCTTCGTCTATCATTTGGGCGTAAGATCTTCCCTTGTTGTCTCGAATTCTGTACAGCTCTTACAAGCTTTATAGTGGCGCTGGAGTTGGACAGATTGGATCTGTCATCGATGCCGGCACTTTGGTGACCAAAACACAGGCACAGGCCAGGCAGTTGATTCAAGCATTCAAAACTTGAGCCAAGGTCTCCATTCTTAGTTATTTTTATTACAAGCGTTTAATATAGTGTTTCAGTTTGCTGTGCCAAGATGACTGCGGATAAACAACAGGGTAGAAAGCCCAGTCTAAGATCTGCATAGTCTGCCGAAAATGGTCCGTTGCATTAATGGGGCCGCTAGCACGCTGCTATGTTCTGGCGAATGATCTTAACTGGCGCGATCCGCCGTTGTATCCTTGAATCAGCTATAATCTACGGTCTACCTTAGTGCTGATCCAATGATGCCTGGGTATGATATGATAGGATGCAGAGCCAAGCCTAGACGCTCAGCCTTGACGCTGATGTGAGCTCGCCTATTAGCCCGATTTTTGTCGCCTGACAAATTCCGCGATTCCCTCTGAATATCAATATATTATCTCTCTCGCGGACATCCCATCTATGGACCGACAGCTGTCAACTATCATCCCTGGCCATGGCGCAAACCGGTCCAAATCTCGTGTCTGAAAGTGACTCTACTTTGCTGCGGCACAAACCAAAGTCTACACGCCCACAAGGAATTACCTCTCACCGAGCTGGAATCGCATGGAGCTGGTTCCTCATCACCGTCCCCATTTCCGCACTGACTGCTGTCTTCCTGGCGCTGGTGTTCCATTACCGGCTCTACCATGGCGATCCCCCGTTTCCAAATCTCCGCTTACCCTCTGCGGAGGATGAGAGGAATGTGTTCTACGTTAACCTGAGCTCGAGCGTGATCCTATTCAGTACGTCCTGGGCCAGTTCCGTGGCTCCCATGTTGTCCGGCTTTGTGATCGTCCTCGCTTCGTTTCCAATCGCGCGTCGATTATCCCGGGACATCCAGCGGGGTCGTGCAGATGGCTTGCCCACACCGTATCAGCTGTCTTTGACTTTGAAGTTCATTGATGGAAGTCTTCTTGGTGCAATGTGGGATTGGGTCTGTTATCTTCTGTCCCCGAATAACGGGGGTGAACGGCAGACGCCGCCTCTCAGAGCAGCGTCGACGGTTGCTGTACTTGCAACCCTCCTAGGGTATGTCCATCTCTCCAGTTCTACTTGACATTTCTGATTGACTCTGGCCAGACTGCTTGTAACCGCTGCGGACACCTGGCTCCATTTTACAACGACCACCGTGCCCTTTACTCGGGTATCCTCAATCACTAGTCGTACAGATTACAGCTTCGGCCTTTTGCCCCAGTGTCTCAAAGGTAACAACTCTGTGGCAGCACAGCGGGTCGACGCGACCGGCCCGGTTTGTAGCGTCTCATTAGCCGTCACAGGCTCCTTTCTTGCAAATGCCACAACCTCCCTCCAAGTGATGAACAACGTCTCCGATCAGGCAACGGTATACACATACGTCGAGCAGCACAAGACGTCCTACACATACCTGGGGGTCCCCGAAACTGCATCCCTGCTCACTCGAGACTTCACAGCCAAGACGTACGGTGCTAGAACGCAGTGCCAGCTAATCTCGTCGAAATGCGTCTTGCAAAATGTAGCCTCGTCAGTCAAATTCAACTGCTCCGCTGATTTTGCGGGGTTCATCAACTCACCCACTCTGCAGGCGGCGTTCTTCGAGGATGAAAGCATGAGCAAAAACCTCAGGGGGAAGATGGTATCCAACTTCGGCACCGGCAATCCGTATTACTTCGCCCTAGCGTCCATGGTGAACCTATCCGGAGGAAAGACGCCGAATTCCACCGAGTTTGTGCAAAGTCTCCACGGCGTCCCGACCTATGTCCTCGGCTGCAACACGACCATCTACGATATCGAGTACGACCGCCTCAACAACACCGTGACCCGTTTCCAGCCCACGGCTAGCAACACCTCCGTCAGCAACATCTGGCAGACGAGCATTTCGCAGACCCAAGATTGGTTCCCCTTCTTCCAGCAGGCCGTTGGCACGGCCGTCTTCAGCGATACGGCCGAGGAGTTCGCGGAAAAAGTCGCCCTGGCTCTTAGCAAAGCGTCCATCGCCCTTGGGGCAGACGCACTAGGCGCACAGCCGGCGCTGGCCGCCCAGGAACGAGACACGTTGCTCGTGGCACGCATTCCTGCGGCCCCGCTTGTCACCATGGTTGTGGTCTGTCTTCTGTATGTTGTCTGCGGCTTGGTTCTTACGGGGATCGCGGCGTGGAGTGCCCGAAATGGAGTCCCGGATGTGCAGGCCCGGCTTTCCATCGCGGGTCTGGTTGCGGACCGGTTCGAGGAACCTGGTTTGCGGAGCGACACCAATTCTGTCGAGAAAATGTTCGCCGAGAATGCGGGGAAAGAGAGCAAAAGGATAGCCATCGAGTCGGTGGATGGAGTTGGGGTTTATAGATATACAACCTGGCAGAAGCCAGAAGGTTCGGCGTCTGAGTGGTGATAGCATATTCAAAGATTAGTTTCCTGGAGACTACTTCAAATAGACTATATTATTCCTAATTTTCATACTTCATAGTTCTCCTCTTGATGATTGGGGAGAAGTGCTAGTAGACGTTACTAGGAGCGCGCAAATGATTATAAATCCTAGTCCTATTTGTTTACCTAGAGCCCCAAGGTTGATGCTAACTTTGCCAGAAGATGACAGGAACGACCTGCCTGCTAGATACCTTTACTAGTGTGTCGTCCCTGCCTATAGAAGACAAACGCCCAACTCCGCCATCCTAATGCGTAATGGTGACCTTACTTAGTCTGAGATAAATTTCGTGCCAACATGAACCCTAAATCAATGCATGAGTTCGTCGATCTGTTTGACTAACTCCTGAAAGCGGATCGGCTTCGACAGGAAGAGGTCAATGCCGGAATTAAAGGCCTCCTGCCGCACCGGGGCGCTGCCCAACCCCGACAGCGCGATGACCGTCGTGGGTTTGAAGCACGAATGACCAGCATTGGTGCTTCCTTCGCGATGCATCTTCTCGAACAGGCGGATTTCCCGCGTCGCCTCGAGACCGTCCATGACCGGCATGGAGATGTCTAATTTGTTAGTTAGATAGCATCAGTAGTAATAGGACCACTCACCCATGAGAACAACAGGGATGTACCCGACATTCGTTTTGTATACTTCCAGAGCCTCGAGCCCATTGGAGGCCGTATGGTAAGGGAACTTGGCCTTCTTCATGAAAGCCACCAACAGCTTCAGATTCACGTCATTGTCGTCCACCAATAGGACGGAGGGAACTCTCTTGGTTGCCTCTATCGTTGATACTTCCATAGCAGGATCATCAACATTAGTGGTAGTCACTGAAACTATGGCCTTCTCCGGCGTCAAAGAGAAGTCGACCCGCGACACATTCTCACTGTGCCGCCTAGGTTTGCTCGCTTGAGCCGCGGTGAGAAACGCAGTGTCGAGCCCGCCAGCCGTCATACAAGACGGCCGTTCCCTTTGGCGCTTGAGGCAAGCCAGAAGTGAATTGGCCATCTTGGACGGTCCGCATGGCTGGCTGATAAACTCGTAGATCGACGTCGACGGTCGCTGACTCGCGGTGGTTGATAGCTTTTGCACCATCTGAGGCGTCGAGCAAATGACGATCATCGGCGGGCTGCGCGAGTCACTCTCAGCCATTGTGACCTGCCGACAAATCTGATCCACTTCGTCCAGGTTGGCTTGTCGCACCAAATATAGGTCGTACACCTGCTGATCCGACACGTTCGACGAGACAATGCCGACTTCCATCCCGAAATGCCCCTTGTACATTCGAAGGAGGGACGAGCGCAAGAGAACCAGTGCCTCATCCTCTTGTTGGGAGGAAGATCCAAATCCGATCAGTCCAATCGACTTGCCACGTACTCGGTCTTTTGCTTTGCGGATAATACTGGCGTCGCGTTCGTTATCCGCCACCTCTGCCTGAGGAGTGCGCGGTAGATCCATCGTGACCGTCACCTCAGTCCCAATACCCTTAGTGGAGGTTATATCAACTTTGCCACCAAGTGATACCACAGTCTGATGGACAATGCTGAGGCCCAAACCACTCCCCGGCGAGAGAGGGTCTTCCTGCGAGAATGGCTTGAACACATTGCTCTGTAAATATTGCTTGTCGATGCCCTGTCCGGTGTCTTTGACGGTCAAAGTTACACTCCCCATGCCCTCCCGTGTCCCATCTCCACGAGCCAGTCGTTTCATCTTAGGGTTGGACGGCGTCAAGCTGCACCTCAACGTCACAGAGATGTAACCCGACTGTGTGTACTTGAGGGCGTTACCGAAGAGGTTCATGAGGATCCGACGCCATGCACCGGCCTGTGTTTCAAACAGCCATTGCACACCGGGCTCAACATCGTAGATGATGGTGAGTGCTTCATTAAAAGCAGAAAGCGGTCGCTCTGTAGCACCTTTCATAATTAAATCTCCGTCGCTATCCCGCGCAGGAACCTGTGGAGCTGGCCGGGCAACGAGCCCCCCCTTGGCGGAAAAGCAATGACCAGCAAAGACACTGTCCACAACTTCTTCCAGCACGGCATCCAGCTGAACATCTGAGATCAGATTGACCACCCCAAAGCCGGGCTTATCTTTGGAAGCGATGCGTGCAGGCAACCCCGGCCGCCGGCGAGGGGTGTGCTTCGACTTGAACCGGGACGATCGGGATTTGCGAGTGAACTGGTTGATCTTCGCAAAGTCCAGCATATTGTTGATGATGTCCAGCAGCGACCGACCGCAGTGCTCGATGGTATTGACCAGAGCTACCTGAGCGGGTGTCATCGTGGAATCGGTCAGTAATTCCGTACTGCCCAGAATGCCATGAAGGGGACTGCGCAATTCATGAGAAATGCTTCCAACGAGAGTGGCGTGCGCCTTGTTCGCCAACTCGATATCCAGCCGATGGATCTCCGCCATAATGCTGTTGGAAAAGGCGTACAGATAAGCCAACTCGCCTGTCAGACTGAAGACGCGCGGCGCAGCCGTCCACACAAAGAGCCCTGAAAACCAGCGATTTCGCCGTGAGTCCCAGAGAGGGAACATGGTCACACTGCGGGCCGCAGGGAACACTTTGATCAGGGTCTTGTTTTCTTCCTTGAGACTCAATCGCTCCCGCTTTCTCTGTTTCCAGTGTCGCTGAACCTTGGAGCCCTCGTCACGACGATAAACGATCTCTCGAGAGACGTAGCTTGCGGAGGCACTGTCGCTTCCCTCGCTAGACGACACCCCACCGTTCTCATCGATATTGAAGATAGCACCGCGGGGATAATGGCGGAGGAGGGATCGAAGAAACGATTCTCGCATTGGCCCGGTCAATTTCTCGGAATCATCTTGCGCCGTGGAGTATCCCAACACTTCACACACGGCCGAGTCGTCCGTCTCGGTTGACGAGTGTCCGGTAGTCGGATTGTCACTGTCACTGCTGGAATTGGCGTCACCTGTGCTGCTACTGCTCTCCATGTCCGACTGGCGACCGTCCGAGTTCCGGACCAAAGTCGCGTAAGAATTGACACTGGCGTCGAAGAAAACAACGCCCTCCACCTCTAAAGAGTCGCGCAGAACACGAGCCGCGCGTGAAATGATCTCTCTGGTACCAGACGCCAGGGTGATCTCCGGTTGACGGTGGTGATTGGGCGTGGAGGAGATTCGAGGTCGTTTCTCAGACTCCTGTCCTTCGTGAGATCCTGTCAAAAGAGTTTAGAGATGCTTCTGTTCAACGCCGTCAGCAGGATAGATGGCGGTACCTGATGGAGATGCAGCGGCCTCCCCTTGATGGCTTCGTTCCTTGAGGGGGGAGCGACCGTCCGCCAGTGTTGGGTGATGCCGTCGCGTCTGTGGGATAATGTTCTGCGGGTTCTCTGACTCCTGTTCCTCATCCTCATCGTGCGTGTGTACGGGTCTTCGGAGACTGCTCGACGGGAACGTCGCTCCCTCGACAAAGGTTCCCAATCCTGCGATCATATTGGCCCCGCGGCGATTCTGTTCATGAGAGCGCATCATTTCCAGATGATTCATGATGGCGGCCGCGGTGTCCGTCATAAACCGAATCTCCAGCGGATCTAACCCTGCGCGAGGCTGACCGTCACTCACTGCGAATGCGCCGATGGCAATGCCCCGACGGCTCATGATAGGCACTCCAGCATAGAATCTCAGATGCGGGGCGTTCACCACATACTGTCGCTTGCTGCACCGGTCGTCCTTGGTCATATCCGGAATGACCAATGCGGTATATCCTCCATTCGGACCCTTTGGCCCGGCGTTGAGCTGATCCTCCTCGCAGCAATAGTGACAGATCCCATCTGGTTTGGGAATGACACTGCTGCCGAGCCACAAGCCATCACCATCGACATGGACCCTGTCATCTTGGAGACTTAATGTGCGAGTCGATTCAGCGAGGATATATTGCGTATGACGGTCGAAGAGGGAGATCATGCATCGTCGGGCATTCAATCGCAAAGCTCCGAGCTGCGCAAGCGCCGTCAAAGTGGTGTCTTGTGATGATTGCGGTAGCAGTTCCGCATCGATTTCGCTGCGAGGAGATGGTGGTGGCCGATGGAGGAGACCCGGACGCTGAGGCAGCTGGCAATATCTGGCACTGAATTAGATGACCCCAACTCTCCTGGGTAAGCGGATACGTGGCACGTACTTGTAGAATTCTCGCTCCTGTGCCATAGCGACCTCGGGGGAGGGTTTGCAGCCTGATGTGCTAAATTCCGAGATCTCTAACATCTCATGGCTTGTTCTTCATCTCTCTCACTAGCACATGGCTCAAGAATTCTAAGGGACGCTGTACAGGTATGAACAATTTTTTGGGGGGGGGGGGGCTAGATCTCAACAGATCGCCACTGGAAAAGGAAAACCGAAATGTTTGGTGAGAGACAATTTGATTGTTGATCAGAGGACAGGACCACCGGGGCTTGCTGGGGAATGAGAAATTGGGAAACAACTTCGAAACATGGAAGAGACAACCTGAGGCCTAAGGAACCAAGGCCACAACGTCATCATGGTACTTTGTCATTTCGATGGTGGGGTCTGATTGGCTGTCCGTTGTCGCACTAGCCGGTATCGGGAAAAATCCCTTCAACCCCACTTCACTGTCTGTGGTACAGCCAGCCAACCAGGCACAACTGAACTGCGAACCCAACAAATAAGGAGAGATACAAATGATCTCTGGTCTGGATATCAGCCATACTCAGCCATACTGGATGAATTCAATAATGGATATATCCTTGAGGTGGGTGGTAGAATAATGCACTCTGTAACGGCATTATTGGTGGGTTGGTCGCAGACCCAGCGAGTGTGGCCCCTTACCCCACCCTGTATGCCTCGGTCGAAGATGCTAAAGTCCACAACGGGAGACAACGCGAAACAACCGGGGCAGCAGTGTCAAAGAGACGAGGCCAAAAATGACAATGTCGATTGTTTCTGAGTCAGTGTATGAATGAGGGTAGGAATTGCAAATTAAAATGGTCTGCTGATCCCTAGTCTGGAGGTAGACCGGTCACAACACGTGACCATCATGCTGACAATATATTTTGCGACGAACAGGCACTCAGCAGTGAAAGACTGGATTTACTGAGGAGAGCACAGGATATCTAAAATCATTGTATTGATTTGGTATGCCCTCTCAGTAACGGTAAGATGAATCAATCTCAGACCAGAGTAGTCTGGAACAGGATCATCACTGTCAGACCCTCGCTAGTGCAGTCGATCAAATGATCCACATGTCACAGATATTCGATATTATCAATGCAACCAATACATACTGCTATCTGTCAATATAATACAAATTATCTGTTCGGTTTATCGGTAGGATCCCTTTTCAAGCACCAAAGAAAGACTGCTCAAATCCTACCACCAGTTTAGCTCCATGTAAGCCCAATTATTCTTTTAGCTGCCTTCTCAAGGTCGGTATCCGTGCTGATGTCCAATTCCGATGTTGAGAGCTACAATCCATAGGTGAGCTTCACTCCTCCTTGGGAAAAGCTATGTTGGCTTACCATTTTCATGGCCGCATCACAGTTAGTGCCTTGCAGTCGGACTACTACAGGAACCCTGAACCCTCCTAGTGCGTGTGCTGCTTGTATAATGGATTCGGCAATCATGTCACAACGAACAATGCCTTGATTCATTAGCAGTGCTTTCCATTATGCAGGAGTACACGTACCTCCAAAGATGTTGACGAAAATCCCCCGGACTTGTTGATCCCGGCTCAAAATCTCAAAGGCCTTCAGCAGTGTCTCCGTGGTTGCTTTGCCTCCAATGTCGAGGAAGTTGGCACATTTTCCGCCATGTAGATTGATCAGATCGTTAGTTGCCATTGCCAGTCCGGCGCCATTGACAATATTCCCAATGTGGCCGTGAAGCCGGATATATACTAGACCATGCTTTTGAGCCTCGTATTCATCTTCAAAGCCCGGCATGCGTTCTTCTTTACTGAAGATCTCTGGTTGACGGAACTGGGCGGCGTTATCAAAATCAAACTTGGCGTCAAGACAGACAAAGCATCCCTCAGGAGTCCGCACAAGCGGGTTCAATTCCAGGAGAATGGCATCCCTTTCCTCGAAAAGCTTGATCATCTGTCTGATTATCGATTCGATAGTTGGCATTTCCTTGTTTGTGAAGCACAACTGCTTCTGGATCCCGGCCATGGTTTCGGCAGTGATGCCCCGGGAAAGATTAAACCAGAACTTGTGCAGCTTGTCCTGGTTGGACTCGATGTTCACACCACCCTGATCAGAGATGAGGATAACCGGGCTGTATCGTTCGCGATCGAACGTCAACGAAAGATAGAACTCCTGCTCGACGTCGACTGCTTTATAGATATACAATTTCCTGACAAGAAGACCACTTGGTGGCGTCTGCTGTGTAGTCAGGTAATGACCAAGCATTCTGGACGCATTCTGAAACGCCTGTTCTGGTCTGATTTTCATGTCAACCCCCCCCGGGATCAAACGAGTTGGTCCCACTGCACTCACGTTTCTACGATGCGAATGCCTCCTTTGCCGTCACTGCTCATCTTTCCCTTGCCGCGTCCTCCAGCTAGAATTTGCGACTTGAGAACCGACGGTGCACCTGGCGAAGATCATCAACATTGTTCAATAGTTCACCGAGGGCTTACCAATCGATGACACAACTGCCTCTGCATCCCCAGGATTTGTGACCACATATCCGTGTGGTACTGGGATTGAATACTCATAATAGCACACTGAGCATCAGACCTCGATAACATTGAATAACCGAATCTTACCTGCTCGAGAAGTTTGTGGGAGTGATGCTCTAGGAGGCTCAGCTGCCGTACTTGCTGCCTGGAGGCTGTGCCGCCCTATGTGTAACAGTCAAACGAGGATTCATGACTTGAGGTTTCCGAATCCACGCACATAACGAATAAGCTGTGTGACCCGGCGGCGAAACATTTCCAATAATCAAATTTCATATATCAACAGTAGTATGGGACGGAGAGATCAGAATTTCAGAAACCCAGAGGATCAAAGCTATCCAATGAGACGAGCCTCCAGTATGGCTGTTTCAGAATCCGATTACCATCGGACCCTCTGAGACATAGTCCAAAGGTATGGTCATAGCCGTAGGCAGAATCAATCCCTGAAATAGTAAATTCCGATTCCAATTCACCTAAAAGGATTGTCGCAGAAAGTCAAGTCAGTGCCAGGTGACATAGCCAAAACAGTCACATGGGATGCGTTCTTATAGCCACACACGCAGTCTTTTTTCACTCTTTTGGTTGGACACAAGTGAGTCTGGCACTCCCATCTGTTGCAGTCCATCTATTGTGGAGATGTCAATAGAGTGTGGCAATAGTGCAACCCTCACTGGTTAAGCTTTCCGTGACGTCGATGATTATCCCATACATCCGTGGATATTAGTACACCCATTATTTTTTACAGTCGATGAATTAGAAATTGGGACTTTGCTTTCCAAGGTCGCCATAAAAAGCATCCTCGTGTATATGCCAACTCGGTGCTGCTTTTGGACCCGTCTGGTTCCTACCTAGGCTATTTCCCGGGAGGACTAGAAACAGATACATAAAACTATGCTAAATACAATGATAGTATCCTAGAGGGTTTTTACTTCCCATGGACATCAAACATTAAGAACATTGCACTTAAAAACCCAATTAGCAAATAGCTATCACTATTTTCGTTCAGCGGACCGCGTGGCTGCCGTCACTCCAGTCTTATCATTCATTGCAGCAGTAAGACGAATCTCTAGGATGCCTTGCACACAGGCCCGCTGACATGGAGAATCGCAGGAGCACCAGAATCCTTTGACCAGATCTCAATACTGTCGGACTGAGTGCCCACGTAGATCGAAAACTCCCCGTTGGCCTGCGCACCCTTACATGCCGCAGTGATATCCATTGCCTGCATGTTTTGATACGGCTCGAGCAACATGCTAGTGAAGATTTCGCCAGATTCAGGAGCATTCTCGCCATCCACTGTGTCTTCGTCCCAGTCGGAGGATAGCGCGCGGGCGACGGTTACATTCACGGCGAACGGATTAGGCCGAACGAAGGCAGGGAACTGCACAGTGCACTTTGTTGCATCGGTAACTGGGACCGGGAGCCGGAACCCAACCAGGAAGCGCACCCAGGCTAGGCCGCCTGTGCTTGCGCGGAGGGTTTTCTCGTGTCCGAGTGTGCACTTGTAGCAGTTTCTCTCTGGGCAGTCGGGGCAGCTAACAGTCGAGCGCAGGATAGTAGAGTCCTTTATGGCAGGCGCATCTTGAGCCCATGATGTCGTGATACAACTGGCAAGGGCAGTAAGCGCAGTGCAGATGGCGAGAGGAGTTGGTGTATGCATTGTATGAGGTTGTGATCCCTGTTTGATTGATTCAAGAATGAGTGGAGTTCTTGGGGACTAAGAGAGTATCGAGGCTCTTTATATGCACAACAAACTATCGAAGGGTAAGGACTGGTTGCATGAGACATATTAGAGTCACCTTCGGCATTGACTGAGTTGGTCTCAGCCAACTGGTCGGCATATGGCACAGCTTCTGAGACAAATACGAAGCATTTCTTGATTGGAGGTTATCGGCTTTGAAAATTGTCATAATTGGATGGGTTTCTCCAATTCTACGAGCACACGAAATAGAGTTACACAAGTCTTGTTCATCTGTAGAAAGTGAAGTGCAAATAGACATCATTAGTTCACAGCTAGCGGGTTGCTATTTTCGTCTATGGTATCAGCCCTATATTTCGAACTTCCAGGTTATGCTGACGCCTAAAGAGGCGTCATAATTCTCTATGGGTGTCAGTCATATGAGCCAGGTCGTTGATATACAAGTGTCGCACTGCGTCATAGGCATCTCTACGGTCAGCTGTTTGGAGGAGAGTTCCCCGACAGGGTCTTCTTTCTTTCCATATTCTTGTGGTAAGGCGTTTCTGTCAAGATACCCTACGTGATGGCGGTCAAATTCCTTCTGTCTTGTTCTTAAAACTCCCAGACTATCGCCAGTTTTGGTATGATTAATTTGTCACTGGTTGATATTGCTGGAATTTCCTGCCATGTTACTTTGCTCATATATACTGTACGATCGTCAGCATTATTTTAAAAAGGTTGCTAATCAAACTAAGCATGGTATACTAGCATTTATTCCGAGCCGTGACTGCTCCACGGCTAAAAACATAGTGATACACGTTATTTCGATGGGGGAAGGTCGACGGCTGTCAGTTTATGTCTGACAGTGAGGTTCAATACCTCAGCATAAGCTGATAAGTTGGAAATATATAACCGGTTACCCATTGTACAATAATTATGTAAGCCCATCAGTTAACTATGATAAACTGTTCGTGCTGCTTTGTGATTAGTTAAGTAGAAGTGATTCTTCCATGGCTGAATTCATTTGAGGCCGCGTGCGCTGTTATTAAGAATGCTGTTAACTACAACTTCTGTGGAGGATTTATATTGCCTTGGCCTTTTTGAGTAGTTAGATGCGTGTGGAGTGCTGGAGGGCCAGGATCTCGGCCACTGCTAGTCTCTTTGAATCCCCACTGCTACTGCTGAAGCCGCATACTGAAAGTAGAGGATTAGAGCGTCTTCTGTATGCCAATGAACCGGTCGAGTACGTGTTCAGATGGAGCATATAACGCAAATATATTGTGCTTGGTCTCTCTTATTCTCTCAGCAATCAGGAACTGCAGCTTCTGCAGTTGTCAGACAGACAACTCTGTGGAGAATTAAGCCAAAGAGCCCAAGCTTCTCATCTGACGAGCGAATTTATTGATCTACCACGTGGTCAATGTCCATCCGACAACCGGAAATCCGTCGATATCGGAGCATGTACTCCCTGGTTTGATCCTGCGAAACCGGTTTAGGTAACATGATCCACTAGGAGCTTCGGAAGGTCGCCGAATCTTATCAATCAATACTCAATTTAGAACTCTGGCCAATGAGCAGCTCGTTCCGCACGGTTGACGAGCCAAATCTGCTCATAGTTCGTCTTGGTTTCCCCCGTCCGAACCAATACAAGTGATCGGCCAAGAACAGCCCAGCTTCTAGCAACGATACTGAATGCTGGGAGTCTGGGAGTGTCCCACAACCCATTCCGTGTCCGTCAGAATCTTATCTGATCGAATTTTCATCTTGTGCTTCCTGGAGTTATTTAACATGCTCGTAAGTCTATGTCATTGTTGTCGACACTTTGACTCTTGGTCTGTTTCACATTCTTTCCCTTTGTCAATGCCTTCCGGCCGCTTCTAGCTTTTATCTCCCTTTCCATTCAAGAGGAGTTCTACTGCCTTGCTTCTACCTCGTTATGGAGCCGGTCAAGTCAACCATGGAGACAAAAGAGTCAGCCGTGTCGTCCCCTACCCAGGCAGAGCACGATACTGCTGTTGATGGCAAACGTCCACCCCCCTTACTGGCTAAGATCTTTGCTGTATTTCTCATCTCATGCATCAGCTTTGGCTCTCATTGGAGCTCTGGAGTGACAGGGGCCATGAAGAGCACCATCAAAAAGGTAGGTCTCGGATGACTAGTCACATCCCTACAGGCAATCACTGACCGCGCCAAAGCAAATGCATGTCTCCAACACTCAATTTTCTCTGTTGGAGGCCAGTGAGGATTTTATGGCGACCGTGCTGTTGTTGATCAGTGGAGTCATTACGGATCGAATCGGCGGTGCAGGTCTGTCAACATATTTGCTGATCCCACGCCTCGTTATTGGCGACTGACATCTTTCTAGAAATGATCATTTATGGCAATGCCATCTATACAATCGGATCGATCCTCGTTGCTGCAGCTACTACCGTGCGCTCATTCAACTTCATGATCGGCGGTCGAGTCATCCTAGCCCTTGGAGATATCGCAACACAGATCGCCCAGTATAAGATGTTCTCTTCATGGTTTCCCCCAAGCAATGGATTTGCTTCCACTCTTGGCTTTGAGTTAGCGGTTGGAAAGGTGCGACCCTACTTGGCCCTTGTTAAGATATGTTACGCTAACACAAGCTTCTAGATCGGGGGGTTTGTCGGCAAATCCACTGCCAATGTCATTGCCAAGGTAGGAAGTCCTGTCGCAACCTCAGGAGGCATCCCTAACCTGGATAGAAAACTGGAAACTTTGCTTGGGTCTTTTGGACCTCTGTCTTCATGAACCTTTTCACCAATGCTGCAACAGTCATATTCTGGTTCTTCAACCGCTACTGCAATGTCCATTACCGAGGAAGGCAGGATACGGCTACCAAGGAAGTTCTGACTGAGAAGAACAAGAAGTTCGAACTTCAAAAAATGTTCCAGCTCCCTTGGATGTTCTGGACTGTCATGGCATTCTCGTTGTTCCAGACATCCACTGCCTCGGTCTTTAGCCAGAATGCAACCGAGCTGGCAGAGAAGCGCTTCAATGTGGACTCAATTACAGCAGGGTGGTACAGCTCTCTGTCACAATATGCAGGTATGATGGTCCAGCACCACTCGTTCAGTCTTTTCCGTATTGACTCTGGCAGGTTTCTTTTTGGTCCCATGTTTGGGTGTCTTTATCGATGTCCTAGGGAATCGCGCCAGTGTTTGTAAGTTTCCCCTAGTCGACCATGTGTTTACCCTGTCTGACATATCCCAGTATGCGTCTGTGGAATCGGAATGTTCCTCAGCATGGTTCTGGTCAACTTCGCCGAGACCAGGTCTGGCACGGCCGCATCGTTTGGAATATATGCCATTGCCGTTTCGTTTGGCCCAACTTCCATCATTGACAGCATTCGCACAACCCTATGGCATCAATCAGTCTTTGGATCTGCTTATGCCCTCAAGGTTACAATGAACAATGCGTTAGTGAATTCCATTTTGCATTCGATCAAGACAGAGAGACTAACCTTGCCATAGGATGAACATCATCATCCGAATCATTACCGGAGCGCTGCAAGACGCTGACGACGACTCGTATCGACGAGTAGTCCGCGTTTACCTTTTTCTCGCTGCAGCGTCTGTTGTTGTCGGCCTAGCGATATTGCTCGCGGCTGTGATGACTGACAGCCTGGCGCCGCTCCAATGGACGAGGAAACAACGGCTGACGTTAGGTCCAGAGCATATTAACATGATTCGTGAGCGGCACACAGTGACATGCTATGCTCGCAGCAAATTGATTTCTATCTACTGCTTCTCGGCGCTCCTGTTACTGACGGTTGGGGGCTGGGTGGCTTACATTTGGGGAGCGGTGACGGGGAATAACTCATAGGATGATACCATCGAACGTTTATGTATATATTTCTTTTCCTCTTCCAACGACAAAGAGAGAGATAAGACGATAGAATAGAATTAGTTTGGCTAGATGCCAAAAACATTCATATAGGCCCGGTTCTGTAGGATATAGTTCATAACATATGCTTTGATCCGCTTCGACTGGTGGTGGGTTTCTCATTTCAATGGATAGTTTCATTTTCGTGCTTCCTGCCTTGATAAGGGTGGAGATCATTAACATGCCAGGTTCTGTAAATGTTCACAACAATTCGTAATTTGAGCTCGTACTCCTGTGGGATACCTATCGTGTCAGATCATGCCTACACGGAGAGCACCAGAGTTGTCACCTGCGGTCGAGACGATAGTATGCACCGAAAATCGCCTCATTGTAACTGGAGGATATAAGTACACCACTTTCACCATGTGCAGCTGGGTTGAATGGATTGTCGCTCTGCGAGAAATAGGAGTCGATTCCGCAACTGAGTCTTACGAGGACACATATATTCCGCGTATCAGTGTCCTCCATGATCCGGGTCCTTTCCCCGGCCCTGAGTAGCCTCATCTCCACAGTCGGTAGCCAGAACACCAATCCTAGAGGCACTCTATTTCCTGCCGTGCAACGATCCGAAAAGACCCATTCTCGAAGGTCGTTGGACGGGCGGAGGGCTAATCTCCGAAGCCTCGAGCTCTACCGGGGGCTTGACTAGAATCTGGCGTTTCTCAGGAGCCTTGTCCTCTGGTGGCTCAAATTCGGGAAGTTCTGGTTGGCTCGGATGAACAGTGACATTGACAATGTTTGACTTTTGAGAGTGCTGGATCTCCCCCTAAGCGACAGAGAATGGATTAGTATAAATCAAGCGGCGAGTCTTCTGACAGCACGTACTGTGGTTATGATTGGGATTTTCTTCACATAACCGACCCCTTTTGATGAATCGGACCAAGAGAGCAGAATCAGGTCTTCGTCCGTCTGGTGCACGTATGTCAATGCAAAGGATTCCGTCTTGGTAGTAAACTCCTTGGACGTAGCAACCCTTCGAACCTCAATCGGGACAGAGCCCAAGTTGGATACCCGGTATACGTGGCCCTTATCGTTAGCCAGTACGAGCTCACTTCCCGATGGCGAAAAGGCAGCAGCCTGGATGCGATTGCCGAGTTTGCCCTTGTGGTTTGACGAGGCAGAACTCTGCACACGGATCTCCGTTCGGTGGCCTCCGTTAGGATGGACCAGAATGGGAACGCCAGATTGCGTCCATGTTGTGATGCAGATGATGTCCTCCTTACCGCCTATCCCCGGCTGAAAAAGCACAGATGATATGCCGTTATCTTCTGACTCGTGGAGAGGGACGCGGTATCGGCAGGGTAAAACCTCCTGAAAGTCGGAGAATGGGAAATGAGACAAGAACACTTGGATCATTCCGTTTCGTTCGCTTCGGGTGCTGCACACCAGGACGAGCCCATCATGGGAGAAGCAGACGGTGGCAATTGGAGGACAATCCTTACAGTCCTGGTGATAGCGAGCGTGCACGCGATGGAGCCGCGGTTGCTGCCATTCAGAAGGGGCGAACAAGCCGACGGTCGATTTGTCGAATCCGACAGCTACGAAGCTTCCGCTGGGGGAGACAGTCATGCTTGTGCACCAGGGCGTGGGCCCTACACGATACTCCACCGGACGTGTGGACATCCGCACCAGACTTTGGATCCACAGCTGCCGCATACAGATGAATCAAAAGCGATCATCACATCGGGGTACAGGGAACTCACCGTCTGCTTCCGATCTCGGTCTCCTGTCATATAGGCCACGTGTGTTCCTGTCACAGCCGCAAGAATGCAGAATCCATCCGTTGAGATGGTATCCTTGAAGGTAGGGGGACAGGTACTGACATCCCAGATCTGGATCGAGGACTGCGACCAGAACAGGGAGTATGTCGAGTCTTGTGATAGATTTACTTTAATATTCTGGGCAAACTTTCCTCCAGCTGAATGCTTTCCCCGCCGGCAGAGGTTTTTTAGGTCTATCTCTTCCAGCTTCTGAGTCTCCAGAGTCGCTGAGGACAGGGAGCTGGTTTCTGCATGGTCCCTTGTTTCCTTTTTCGAAGAGGTGAATCTTGACTTCCATTTGGACCGTGACTTATCTAACGTAGCAGGGGGCGAGAGAGCTCGGATGCCCGCACTCGATGATGAGCTGGTGTGAGTGAAGGTGGTCGTTTTGCTGAGTGGTTCAAAACCTCCCACGGAATCTGCAGAGAATGGAGGTTCACCGGCCGCCGGCCGAAGGGTTCTCGGAGGAGGAGTTTCGCTCATCCTTCGGTTACCCAGTGGGGGTCCACTATCGACCCAAGGTTCCGCGCGCGGCGCGTTTGTTCGCCCCTGAGGAAAGCCAGACAAGCCAAAAGGGGGCGGGGATGACGGGCCTGATGCCGTTCCGGAATCACGGCGAAGCTGGTCGAACCGCGATGGCGCCAACAGAAACTGCGTGGGGAGATGCCTTTCCGCATTGATGGCCTCGACGTTTGGGCTGAGCGGCTTGAGATGCTCCCAAGTATACCTCGCTAGCGATACTTCACGTACCATGGTGACTGCTGAGCCACAGAACGGACACTTGGACTCAGGGGGGAGGGCAACTCCTGACGCGCCGCCGGCATCATCCTATTTAGAATCGGTTCAGCCTGGGTCATGACTTGCAAGAACAAGGGTTACATACAAGGTGAGTCAGGTTTGCGATTTCTCGGACCTGTGACGAGCCTAGGAAATGGCACTCTTGGCAGTTAACGACGTACAACGCCGGGCTGGCTGATCTCAACTGGTCGCCGGGGTCGTCCAAGAGCTCAATATATTTAGTTATCTGGGACACACTGTGCATCATGGCTCCATCACTGACGCGGTGAACCATCAATCGATGACCCAGTCGCTCTCGCAACACCTCCAGCGCGTCAACCATGTTTCCATCGTGTCGATGCTGCACGAGGCTAGGGGTATCAGGCAGGATGATTCGAAAATCTTCGCTGATCATCGGGATGAGATGGCCCGCGGAGACGTAGGGAGGTAGCCGGATGCGATTGAGAGCATGCAGCACGGCATCGCGACTGCTCTTCGATGCCCGTTCCAGTTCCGGATCACAGAACTTTCTGGTATTAACTGTGAACTGAATATTCGCGCCGATAACAAATTGCGACACGTCGTACAGACCCAGAAGTTGCGATAACCAGCTCTGCGAAGAACCATGCTGGGGGACGATGGTCGCGACGGAGGACGAGGAGAGGCAGTCCGGCAGAGGATACTAGTTGTTCACCAGCAATTATATCAGCATGCCTGTTGAGAGCCAAAGTAACCTGGCAGCAACGGAAAATCCTCTCACGTACTAGATCTCCTGTCAAGGATGGCAATTCCTGTTTCAAGCGCGGGGAAAGCGACAGAGCATCCGGTTCGGCGCGAAGAGCGTCTGCGATTGCCCGACAGACTGCTAGGAAAGATGAACTGGTATCTGGATAATTGTCGCACACTCTTTCCAGAGCCCTGTGGACTCGCGCAAATCGGTCTCGACGATCTCTGAGCCGAGAGTTCAGCGGGGGCTTCGGGTGCAGCAGAAGAATTTGGACGGTCGACAGCACCAGTCGCGAGAGATATTCGTCGCGCAATGGGGAGTCCCAAAGAACCTCGCGCGCTTCCAAGACGATCTGGAGGATGAATTCTACCGTCCGCACCGTCACCTCCCAGCTTACCAGAAAGCCGAGTGACCAATCCACAGGGATGCGTCCAACCGAGGGGAGCGTGAGGCGCTGGATGAAGAATATCACTCGGAGCTGAACTAGTAAGGTTAAAATCAAGTCCGCATACGACTCTTTGTCTGCGTCTGCGTAGATCTTCTCGAGGCTGAAGCGACCTAGGAGCTCAACGATGATATCGTCGATGTCGCTGCGCAGAGCCAACAGACTCCAGATTCCGGTCAGACTCGAAAATATCGGCGAGGGCGAAGCCGTCGCCATTTCCTTTTGAAGAGCAATAAACACGAGGGAGTGCTTTTTCCCGGCTCTGTGGGAGATCACAATTAAGCCTCAGTGTGGATTCTTGTGGGGAACTATTCAACTTATGGCACGGATCGCTTGGGCCAGGCCAGACACTCCATTTTCCTTCATCGTCGATGGTCAACGCCTCGTGAACCCCGCATGAGGCTTAATCACAGGCTGGGCAATGAACTGCAATGTGATGGCCGAGATGAGATGGTTGGTGGGACAGACAGGAGCACGTCCAGGATCCTTATCATCCATACAGATGCGGTGGTTGGCCATTCTCAGCCTACTAACACGCCAATCTGCATTAGAGGATCCCGCGTCTAACATGATTGGACATCTCATGCAGTGTTCAATCTATCTTCCCCATGATTATTGGTGTTGATCACAAGCTGAGTTGTCGAGCTCGTATTCCTGATGTTTATGGGTGGTATCGGGGTCTATCTTTATCCTAAGTAAGCTGAGGAGATCGGATGCGCATGAGGCAGCCCAAGCAGCGCCGAAGTATTTCCATCCTGCCTCATCCCACCCTTTTCCTCTGCTGCAGAAAAAGGGACAAAACTATCTACCAGTTCTCCGACTCGATCGCTCCTTTGTCCTCAAAATGGCGGCCGATTGGCAGCACACCGAGCACGACATGAAGGACGAGGGCTCTACTATACAGAGTCCTGGGTTTGATCTTGATTACACCGACACTGCGGGTGATGTGCCACAAGAGGAAGATGTTCGCGACCAGAAAGGTCACAATCTTTGGTGAGAGATCATTGCTTGGCCAGCCTGAGGAAGTCCTTGACTTATGACAGTCTGTAGGCGGGTCTTGAACGAGAGACAGATCAATGTATGTCAAATGCAACATAAATTACCGCTATAACTTCACTTCAGTCTAACCTTGTATGCCTTCGCGGGATAGATGATTGCATTTACTGGGTATGTCGCCTATACTCGACAGTTTTCTAGGTTGTCCATTGTTGACAGAATCATTCTTACTCGTGTAGAACTATCGGCAATGGTATTTCTCCCGCTCTCTACACCTTGAATTGATCAAATAACCATATCTCTCTAGGACTCTTCTTGACCAGCGGAAAATGTCTTGCTGCTGCTGGTCCTGGAGGCGCAGTGGTCGCCTACGTGATCATGGGCACTGTGATTTCGTCGGTGATCTCCTCCTTGGGCGAGATGACCGCTCTGATGCCAGTCAACGCCCCAATGATGGAATTTCCGCGGCGGTTTCTGGATCGAGGTGTCGGTCTTGCTGTTGGCTGGATATACTGGTGATGTCCCTCATTGGGTGTGCAAAGACTCTTTCCTAACTCTGTCAAGGTTTTCCTATGTCGTGATGGCAGCAGATCAAATCGTCACCGTAGCAGCCTCAATACGGTTTCAGTACGACGATGGCCGCACGTTCATCAACTGGGCCACTGGTATGGACACCAGTCCGGCACTCTGGATTTCGGTTTTCCTGGTGGTCGTTATCATTGTAAATATGATTCCAGTTAAGGTGAGTTGCAATGCCATACGCTGTGGTGCTGTCCTAACGCCGTATGGTAGTACTTTGGGGAGCTCGAGTACATTGTCGGATGCATCAAGATTACATTCATCTCGATGCTGACCGTCATGATGCTTATTTTGAACGTCATGAAACGTGGGTGTCTTTGAGCTACGATTTCCGCCTCGTCGCTAACAGGTATGGAATGATACAGCCCGATCCAATGCATATTACAGTCAGCCGCTTGGGACGAAGTGTAAGAATGCCCTCACATGGAGGGAGGATGGGGCTAATAGTCTTGATTCTAGACTGGGAATCCCCGTACTCCTTCTTCAACTCGGACTACCATGTGAAAGATGAGTATGGGAATCTCCACCAAACAATTAGTGGTGGGGCCGGACGACTTGTTGGTGTCTGGTAAGCACTATAGCCGATAATCAGCATCTATACCTAGAATGATCGACTCACCAAGTTTCACATAGGACGGCGTGCGTACGAGCCTTCTTCTCATACACAGGCATGGACATGGTCACCGTCACTGCGGCCGAGAGTAAAGCCCTTGCCGACTCCGAGGCCATGAAGATGGCGTCGCGGAAGATCTCACTGCGCATTATTACCCTGTACGCGCTGTCAATCCTGACCGCGTCGTTCCTTGTGCCCACGGACCACCCATTCATCAACGGTGAGGGGCAGTCTAGTGGCGCTCATTCGATCTTCATCATTGCTGTCGTCGAGGCTGGTCTGCCCGCCCTCGGCCAGTTTTTCAACGCAATGTTCCTCTTCTCTGCGGCGACCTGTGCGTCGGATAATCTCTATGTAGCGTCTCGAGTCCTCCACACGCTCGCACTTCGAGACCAGACGGGCCCGGAGTTCATCACACGGAGGCTCCGGCAATGTCGTGCAGGGGTCCCGATGCGAGCCGTCCTAGTCTCGGCTGCAGTAATGCTGGTGGCATACTTGGGGCCTACTGGAGCGCCTGGTGCAGTGAGTGGCGTGCATCGAATAGAGTAGATTTGGATTAGCTAACGTACTGAATCAGAGATTGACCGAACTGTCGTCCAATTGCACCGTCTCTTTTTTGATTGTTTATGCTACCATCTGCGCGACCTATCTATGCTTCTACCAGACGTATGTATCTTTCCGGATCTCCGCAAATATGGCGGCAACTCTAACGTTCCTATTCCAGACTGGATGAAGCGCAGAAGTACGGCAACAATCCCCAGACGCAGGCCGGGATTTACGACCGAAACCATCCTCGATACCCGTACAAATCGCATGCGCAATGGTTAAAGGCGGGCTTCGGCATGGTGGCATGTATCATCTTGCTCATATTCAACGGGGTCAATGCCTTTCTAACAGAGCCATTCGATGTCCGGACCTTCATTGCGTCCTATATCAGTGTACGTCCTTCCTTGAACTCCGGCAAGAATCTTGCGGGCCGCAACCAGAGTGCAGACTGGCTGATTGAATTTGACAGATCCCGGTTTTCGTCTTGCTTATTGTCTTCTACAAGATCCGGAGACACGGATTTAATTTCTCACAGTGGGGACCGGAGAGATCCAAAGATCTCCGGAACTGTGTCCAAGTCTCGAGTGACAGGAGAAAGGGCAGGCTGGAGTTCCCTTACCCTGGTTTGACCGTGGAGAACGGCAAGAGGTTCCTGGAGTGGATATGGGTATGGACCAAGTAGACTCGGTTCATGTTGGACGCTCTTTCGCTGGATGCATACATCTTTGCTTTGGACATTGGCAATTCCTAATAAATATCCCAGTCAGGTATAGGTAAGGATGGGTTTGAAGGTATCCTGAGACAATAATACATCCCTCCTTCAGGTAGTCCCATCTATGCAATCATCCAGGCCATATCGATCTTCATCATTCTGTCCTGTATAGAGCAGCAGGTAGGGACCCGTAAAACAGTCGTTGAATTTCCCAGCTACAACAGGCTTAAGTACCTCATGGGCTCTGTCTGCCTACTGATATACATATCATGTCTCTTATTTAATGCAAATAGTCTATTCATGCTACATCATCGCTATCACTTCCGCTTACAAACACAAGAAAAAGCGAACTCTCCCGACTTATAGGATACACATCTTCCCCATAAGTTCTAGAGTCATCAACCAAAGTGCAACGTCCCGTGCTCATTTCTTAGGGGCTTCTACAAAGCCAGGAAAACAATCCTGAAGCGTCTTGTTGTGCTTATTTGAGGCATGCTCAGTCAGAGCCGGAGCACGCGTAGTCTTGAGGAAGGTCTGCCTGCAAGTGATGCATATGATGTCCTTGGCAGCTTCGTTCTGTCTTTCTGTCAGCTTTACACGAGATCCGTTTGCTAAATTCAGAGATACATACCACTTTCAGCTGCGACTTTGCAGTACCTTTGGTGTCTTTGGCATTGCGGTCCCGCTTAGAGGCAGCTTTGGCTCCCTGATACCCTGTGGTAAGCCAGAGCAAAGGCCAAATATACAGGGAGAGCCTTACGTTACCCATGGTTGGCTAGAAGAAATGTGACTATAGAGCGTGGCCCTCCTTTTTTTTGATGTTGTTCTTGTTTTTTTCTTGAAGAAGATTAAAGGTCGAAGTTTTTTTTTTTTTCTCCTTTTGCCCCCTCCTTTTTTGATCTTTTTGAGTCTAGACCAGGAACTGTCAGAAACAGAAATACCGGCTCTGATTGGCTGAATTACTAGTTACTCGTACGGGGAAGCGGAGCACCTCAAAATTACCCTTTTCGGCAAATCCCCGTCCACTGTGGACATTCTCCGTGCATATATAGGTACAATATATTCATCTTCCACATGAACAGGTTTTTTGTTGCCTTTTGCTTGGAGCTGTGCACTGTGAACATTCCATTAGAGATGTAATATACAAATTAAAGGCTATCCTCGCATGTTACATAAATTCAGCACTTCCAAATGCTTTCGTGGCTATCAGGCAAGGGGCCATATCCAAGCCCTGTACAGGAGGATGTGCTGACTACTCCATAGAGTGCATGCGCTTACAAGCTAGCTTCACCGCATCTATACTCCTGTAACTTCCACCCCAATATCATACAAGAATCCAGTCAATGTGCTGTCACCGGATATTTGAACACTTGTATATAAGTTGACAGGCCTGCTGGTGTCAAGCAATATACTACTTCAGTATGACCAATCCGCAGCCACCTCCAATCCTCGACTTCTCCGTCTTCTATGGTAACGACAGCCAAGCCAAAGCCCAGCTCGTGCAGCGAGTGCGCGAGTGCTGTCTGAACAATGGCTTCTTTCAAATCACCGGCCACAAAGTCTCGCCAGAGTTGCAGCGCCGGACGTTCGACTGCGCCAAACAATTCTTCGACCTACCACTCGCTGAAAAGATGAAGATTGAGCGAAGTACGAATTGCCCTTTGTACCCCGCTGACAAGCAGCTGACATTGGCAGGCCCCAATGCCTTCAACCGTGGCTACGAAGCCTTCCAGTCGCACATGTCCCAGCCAGGCAGCGCTCCTGACCGGAAGGAGGGACTTTTCCTGGGGCCAGACCTCCCAGAGAGTCATCCGTACTGTGTTCAGAGGAAGCTCAATTGCGGACCAAACCGGTGGCCCCAGGGACTTGACGACCTAGAAGAGTTCAAGCACATCTCGATGGAATATTACGACGCTATGTTTCAGCTAGCAAAGGATATCTTTGCTGTGCTCGCCCTCACGATGGACTATGATGAGACATTCTTTGATCCCCTGACCGAGGGCGCCGTCGCCACGCTACGATATCTGCACTATCCACCTCAACCTGTGCGTGAAGCTGAGAAGGGGCTGGGAACTGGTGCTCATCGGGACTACAGTTGTATTACTCTGCTCCTGCAAGACGGAACAGGCGGCCTTCAGGTTTTGGATGAGCCCACCGGACAATGGCTGGATGTGTGTTGCTCTCTCTCGAATGGAAATATAGTCGAATGCCTTGCTTACTCGCGCGGCCTCTAGGTTGAACCGGTCCCCGGGGCATACATCGTCAATCTGGCTAATGTATTCTCGCGCATGACAAACGAAAACTACAAATCTGCTCTACATAGGGTGATCAATAAGTCCGGGTTGGAGCGCTATTCGATCCCGTTCTTCTTCACTGGCAACCCAGACTATGTCTGCGAGTGCTTGTCGCGATTCCGGAAAGAGGGAGAGCCGGTCAAATATCCTCCTGCCACGGTTCACGAGGTGGTTGGTGAAGCAGTGAGGGCCACCGTCGAGAGGGCAAAACGTTACAATGCGGAACGTCAGGGGATCCACGCGGAGCAGTAAGCTTCATTCCTAGAAGTTCCAGTGAGGTCTCTGGTATCGCTGCTCCAAGATCGTTTCTAGAAGGTTAGCTCGGATACCATGGTCCTTACGCTAAGTAGAATACCGGAGTGCGTCTTTGTGGTTGGAAAATATAACACATTTAATATGAAAACAATTCAGACTACTACCTCGGTGGTTATCGAGAGCTGGTCGCATATCCATGTATCACTCATCACAAGTAGTAAGCAAACAGTAATGTAGACATGCAGGCAAGTGTCCGACCATTCTTGACATAACTTCCAGTACAATAAACGAACTCCACGGTCTATAGAGCTCCCTCATTCGAATGTAATGATGCGAACAAGCCAAGTATCCCACCAGCTAGTGGCAACAAGCCCCGAATCCCGGCCAGAAACTTCCAGTGACTGAGCAGCTCCTCCGTAGTCACTTCACTAGGTGCATTCACCATATCATTCCCTCGAGTGGCACCTGTGACCTTTTCCTCCCCCTCTGCTGCCGCTCTTTTCAGCAGCTGACAATTGGTTGGGCCCATGAACAGAAGTGTATAGGGCACAATCCCCATGACTAAAGACGCAGCGGTGCCGTACAGCAGCCTCGGCGTGCGATCAGAAGCACACCATGCCAGGTAGGCAAAGGCTGTTGAGGTACACGCGGCAATCTGCGGGCTATGTGTGTGTCCGCACTCATAGATTCGTCGCCATACTAGGAGGATCGTGCAGGAGGAGAGACCATCTTCCGACTTGGATTGAAGAAGAGCAGGCACAGAGACCAGGCTGTGTGCTGTAATTTTTCCTGTAAGATTTCAAGTACAAGCCTCCTTGTCAGAAGAACTGGACTCTGTAGATGCAAGGGATCAGTCGACTACTTACCGGATAACCACACACCGCCGGTGATTGCGACGATTTTGACTATGCCCTGAGAGGATATCATTGTGCCGTCAAGGTTTGATGTTTGAGGCCGACTTGGCTTACCATGGCCGTTTAGAGAATATTTAATGGTCGGAGTCGCGTCACTGAAAAAGCACAACCAGACCGCTGTTTGTGGATGACGATCAGGTATCATGTAGGGGGACGACCCTTGCATATATGACGAACAACCTACGGCAAATACAGAGCTTGGAATAGAGCCATGTTACATAAGAAGAATGTAAATTTTGTTTCATCAAGCTGTTCAATGCCCTCCCTTCACTTGCGACAGAGTTTCCGCTGAACTCAGGCCTTAGACCCCGGAACATGGACCAATACGCTAACCTTTTTGCTTTCGAAGATTACCTCGGCGCACAGGCCAGGGCCATTCCGGACCTCCCTGAAGTCGATGTACTAAGCCCCCGAGTGATGCGTGTATTGGGCGGAAATCCGGGACAGGTGAGTCTGAATGATGTCTCTTGCTAATATGAAAGAAGGCTAATATTTCCCCGCTCAGATGCAACTTCAAGGGACCAACACATACATTCTGGGCACGGGAGCCGAACGGCTGCTGATCGATAGCGGACAGGGTCGAGCACGCTGGGAGCAGCTGATGACCTCCCTTGCAGCAGAGCACAACTTCAGAATATCCAAGGTGTTACTGACGCATTGGCATCTCGACCATACCGGAGGGGTACCGCATTTGTACGGTATCTTTCCCGAGCTGAGAGACGCAAAAGCAATCTACAAATGTCATCCGGACCCCAGCCAGCAGGCCATTGCTGATGGACAGGTCTTCTCCGTGGAAGGAGCTACTGTGCGCGCTGTATTCACGCCGGGACACTCGACAGATCACACGTGCTTTCTTCTGCAGGAGGAGGAGGCCATTTTTACCGGCGATACGGTTCTAGGTCATGGAACGACCGGTGTGGAGGATCTGGAAGAGTATATGCAGAGTCTACATAAGATCCAGGGTCTGGGATGCCGGATTGGATACCCAGGACATGGAGGCATGATCGAGGATCTGCAGCAGAAGGTGCAGCAGGAGATTGGCCAGAAGCAACGTCGCGAGCGGCAAGTGCTACTTGCGTTGCAGAATATCCAGCGCGAGAAGAGAACAGTCGGTGACGCCAATGGCGCCGCCACGCAGGCAGAACTAATCGAAGCCATTTTTGGTCGACTACCTGCGGATGTGGCCGATCGATTCTTTACGCCGTACATGAAAGACATCCTCATGAAGATGGCTCGTGATAAGCGAGTAGGGTTTCGCTTCAAGGGCGGCCAGAAGCACTGGTTCGCCAATGTGAGCCCAGAGAGTCCTGTTTGTAAGTAAAACTCTAGCCATCCATTATGCTTGCAATCCGTCCTTGCTTCTCGCTCTGTCCTTCCTGGAGTATACGTACTCACTCAGGGCACCCTGGCATGAGGAGGTGCGCTCGCATCCTTAATCTATGATTGGGCCTTACAGTATTCATGGACCCTTTGCTGTATAAGCGTCATGACGGGTAAGGTACCGAAAGTTGTAGCGATGAGGAATAGGGGTGCCATCATGAGATAGCCAAAGAGCTGCATCTCTTCCAGGCAGCAGCACTGTGTCTATAAAACTAGACAGGGTCTATAATTTCGCTCTTTACTGTAGATTTAGTATGCGCATTCACTGAGTTGACCTGACCTACATTCAACATGCAAGGCCCAAGCCGATTGGCCCTGTTCTACTTTGCCAATGGATTTCCCCCGGACGACATTCAGGATCTGTTCCGGCGACTTCGTAGCCAGAGTAAGACCGAAAGCGGTTGGACCTTACGGGCTTTTGTTGTACAAGCAACCAACGCGTTACGAGAAGAGATACGCGAGCTTCCGGACCACTTGCGGAATCCATTGACTCCGTTGGATAACGCACTAGATCTGGCCGCTTTGCCGGGTTGGAGACGAGGGCCGTTGGCTGGCGCTCTGGAAGGGGTGTTGCTATGTCTGATCGAGATTGGATCTCTCATTGCGTAAGTTCGATTGTCCCCGAACGTACCCGATCACACCTAGTGTTGTTGACCCTGGCGTAGTTACTACGAGAGGACACCAGACCAATTCAAGTTTTCTGGACGCACAGCATGTTTTACTGGTATTGGCACCGGCTTGTTGGCTGCTGCTGCCGCTGCTGCCTCACCAACGCTAGCAGACCTTCCCAGTCTGGGAGCTGCGGCCGTGCGAATAGCCCTGCGAATGGGAGTATTGGTGGCTGAGACCTCCCAGAGCGTCGAAGCGCGAGAACCAGATGCTCCGGCTGATAATTGGGCCGCGGTTGTGATGGGTCTGGATGAGGATACTGTACGAGAGGAACTTGGCCTCTTCAATGCATCCACGGTGGGCGTTTCCCATGGAGTATCGAACTATAGCTAACCCACAACCCCTTAGCATAACCCGGTCCCCAGCCGGCTTTTCATCAGTGCTGGCGGCACTGATAACATCACTATCAGTGGACCTCCGTCTAAGCTCCGTCAAGTGTTCAGAGTCTCGGAAAAGCTCCGCTCTGCACGCTATGCGCAGTTGCCCGTCTATGGGGGGCTCTGTCATGCTCCCCATCTCTACAACTCCTGTCATTGGACCTGGATCATGGAACCAATCAATGGTGCAGCGTTCAACCAGATTATGGTAGATGCTGCACCTCTCTTTTCGGCAGGGGACGACGTGCCGTTCGAAGCGTCTACTCCTCGCAAGTTGTTCGAGTTGGTCGTCTGCGACCTTCTCATGGGCATGATCCGTTGGAACCGAGCAGTAGATGGGGTTCTGGAATTACTGGGACATACATTACCAAGTGAATGCCACGTTTATGCGTTTCGTCCATGTGCTGTGGTCGCAGGCATGGTAACGTCGGGGCAGGACAAAGTACCCCATTGCCAGTTTCAAACGCATGATCTGCTCGACTGGACTTGTCAAAGCGGCCCTGAAAACGGGCCGACAGGTAGAGAGGATTCCAGCATCGCAATCGTGGGAATGGCCTGCCGGTTCCCCGGTGGCGCAAACGATCTGAACCTTTTCTGGGATCTTTTGGAACAAGGGATAGATGTGCATCAGAGAGTACCCGCGGACCGATATGATGTAGAGAGTCATACCGACATGAGTGGAAAGTCTCGGAATACCAGTCTCACTCCATTTGGCTGCTTCATCGGTCAGCCGGGACTGTTTGACGCTGGATTCTTTGACATGTCCCCAAGGGAAGCAATGCAGACAGATCCCATGCACCGCCTGGCGCTGATGACCGCGTACGAGGCTCTGGAGCAAGCTGGCTTTGTCCCAAACCGCACGGAATCGACGCACCTGAAACGCATCGGGACATTTTATGGCCAATCATGCGATGACTACCGGGAGGCCAATGCCGGCCAGGAGGTCGACACCTACTATATTCCTGGTGGCTGCCGTGCCTTTGCTCCTGGCCGGATCAATTACTTCTTCAAATTTAGCGGGCCCAGCTTCGACTGTGATACTGCCTGCTCTTCCAGTTTAGCCACTATCCAGATGGCATGTACGTCCTTGCTGCATGGAGATACCAATATGGCCGTGGCGGGAGGCCTGAACATCCTGACCAACAGCGACGGCTTTGCAGGTCTCAGCCGGGGCCATTTTCTGTCCAAAACAGGTGGCTGCAAGACGTTTGACTGCAACGCCGATGGATACTGCCGCGCAGACGGAATAGGCTCCATAGTCCTGAAACGATTGGATGATGCTCAACGGGATAACGATAATATCTTCGGAGTAATCCTCGCATCTGCAACGAATCATTCCGCGAGGGCTATTTCTATAACCCATCCGCATGCCCCGTCCCAGGCCGAGCTCTACCGGGATATCCTGAACCGGGCTGGAGTGAGCCCCCTGGATGTTGACTTTATCGAGATGCATGGCACTGGCACGCAGGCGGGCGATTCAACAGAGATGGAGTCCGTTACCTCCGTCTTTAGTCCTGGGGTCCCCAAACGCAGCCAGCCATTGTACATTGGATCTGTCAAGGCCAATGTAGGCCACGGAGAGGCGGCAGCCGGGGTCATGGCTTTGATTAAGGTTCTCTTGGTTCTACAGAGACAGGCCATCCCCAGACATGTGGGCATCAAGACAGCCCTGAATCCCCGATTCCCCGACCTTGATCGCCTCAATGTCCGAATTCCCTACGAACAGGTGCCATGGCCGCGTAGTCCCACCCGGAAGCGGTATGCACTCGTTAATAACTTCAGTGCTGCGGGTGGCAATACTTCCCTTCTCATTGAGGAGCCTCCGGTAAGACCTGAACCCAAAGCAGACCCTCGAACGGCATTTACCGTCGCGGTATCAGCGAAGAGCAAGGCATCCTTGAAGAATAATCTGCGGAGCTTCTTGACTTATCTTGAGTCCCGGCCGTCTATAAACCTCGCTCATCTCTCGTACACTACGACGGCCCGACGCATGCACCACAATCATCGCGTCGCCGTCCATGGCTCCACCCAGTCCAGTATTATGCAGGAGTTGGATAAGTACCTGCCTGCTGTGGACACACATCGACCCGTCCCTAACGTGCCGCCTTCCATTGCGTTTGTGTTCTCAGGCCAGGGCAGCTTCTACACAGGCATAGCTCGCCAGCTGTATGAGCATCATCCGGGCTTCCGACTCCAGATCACGCGCCTTCACGATATCTGTCTGAGCCATGGTTTCCCTTCATTCCGACGGGCCATCACCGGAGATCTCAGCGACAATGGATCCGAAGCAGAGCCTATAATCTCTCACCTGACAATTGTCTGTGTGAGTATTGCTCTGTGTCGGCTGTGGGAGACTTTGGGTGTCAAACCCTGCGTGGTTGCCGGGGCGAGCCTGGGTGAATTTGCTGCGCTCTATGCTGCTGGGGTTCTGTCTGCGAGCGATGCGATCTATCTCGTGGGTCGCCGTGCCCTGCTCTTGCAAGAGCTGTGTACTCCCAATACTCATGCCATGTTAGCGGTGCGCGCGACTGTGGAGCAGATCCGCGATGTGTTGGCTGGACAGCCTTATGAAGTGGCTTGCATAAACGGCTCCAGCGACATAACCCTCAGCTGCTCGGTCGCTGAAATCATCAATATACAGCTAGCCATCGAGCAACGTGGATATAAATGTACTCAGCTCGATGTCCCTTTTGCCTTCCATTCAATCCAGATGGATCCTCTCCTTGGGCCGTTTGAGCAGATCTCCCGCGGTGTCACCTTCAAAGCCCCTAATATACCCGTGATATCCCCGTCACTCGGCGATTGCGTTTTTGATGGCAAGACCATCAATGCATCCTATATGTGCAATGTTACTCGCAATCCGGTAAAGTTTGTCGATGCTCTTGAAGCGGCCCGTGGCATGGATCTGATAGATGCAAAGACCGTCTGGGTGGAAATCGGCCCGCATGCGTCGTACAGCCGCTTTGTGGGCAGCGCGATGCCGCCGGGGACCACGACTATTGCAAGTTTGAACCGTAATGAGAATAATTGGAGCACCTTTGCGCGCAGTATGGCTCAATTGCATAACCTTGGGGTGGATCTAAACTGGCATGAGTGGCATGCACCTTTCGAAAGCGAATTGCGGCTCTTGGTAGATCTTCCTGCATACCAGTGGAACACGAAGAACTACTGGATTCAGTACAATGGAGATTGGATGCTACGGAAGGATGGCAAATCATTAGCATCATCCGCAAATCGTCCGCATCAATCGATTCCACCTGCATTGCGCACCTCACTTGTGCATCGTCTCGTGCACGAATCAGTTCAGGACAATAGAGCAGAGGTCATTGTCGAGTCCGACATCCTACACCCAGACTTTTTCGAGGCGATGAATGGCCATAGGATGAATGGATGTGCAGTAGCTACCACGGTAATCCAACAGAAACCCCTTTCTTGATGCCGACTGACTTTTCTCCCTTTTTACAGGCGATCCATGCAGACATTGCTTTCACTTTGGCCAAGTACCTTTCCTCGAGCATCATGCCTAATTCCACCATCGCACCGGCCATCAATGTGAAGAATATGCAAGTGCAGCACGGCCTGGTCGCGCGAAAGGATCGCTCCCGGCCCCAGCTCATCCAGATCCGCGGCATAGCAGACGTCGCACGGGGCCTGGTCAGCTTGTCGTGGCACCTTGTAGACGAGCAAGGCCATCGCGTTGAGGAGAGCTTCGCTACCGCGGTGGCGGAATATGGAAACCACGAAGCTTGGCTAGAGGAATGGTCTCCCATGGCACACTTGGTCGTCAGCCGGATCGACGTTCTGCAGCGCCTCGCCGACGAGGGCACGGCCAACCGGTTGTCTCGGGACATGGTGTACATGCTCTTTAACAATCTGGTGGATTACGCGGAGAAGTATCGCGGGATGCAAATGGTCGTTCTGCACGGCTTGGAAGCCATGGCCAATGTGACTCTCGCTGCCCCCGAGCAATCGGGTGGTAAATGGACCGTGGCACCACATTATATCGACAGCGTGGCACATCTCGCCGGCTTCATCCTCAATGGCGGAAATGCTCTCGATCCCCGGCGGGACTTTTATGCCACCCCAGGCTGGAAATCGATGCGCTTCGCCCGCCCGCTGGTCCCTGGAGTGCGGTACCAGTCCTATGTGAAGATGATGCCCATTCGAGAACAGTCGGGCTTCTACGCCGGCGACGTTTATATCCTCCACGAAAACCAGATCGTCGGCCTTGTTGGAGGTATTACCTTCCGCACGTTCCCTCGGTCGCTGTTAAACACATTCTTTAGCCCTCCTGATACGACGACGAACGCTGTGATTCAAGCAGGAAGCGTCCACCACCCAGCATGTAGTGAAAATGCGCTCCCGGTGGGCCCAGCACGTCAAGAATCCGCAGTCCTCAGTGAGACACCATCACGCCAAGCTCGTAGTTTATCTCAAACAGTCATGGATAGCTCCGACAGTAGTCCTGTCACCACCTTCACTCCACCGACCCTCCGGTCCGTTGCTGCAAGCACGGAGAGTCCAATTGTCCACCGGGCGATGGCCTTGATCGCGGCGGAAACAGCAATTGAGCTGACTGAGCTGTCGGATGAGACAGCTTTCTCCTCGATTGGGGTTGATTCCCTTCTGTCACTCGTGCTGGCGGAGAAGTTCACGGCTGAATTTCGTCTGGATTTTCGGAGCTCTTTGTTCCTCGATTGTCCCACCATTGGTGATCTCAAAGCCTGGTTGATTGATTATTGTTGACACATTGTTCCTTCTTTGTTCCTTCTTGCTATGGTGTGGTGCTCATCCTGCTATACGTACAGCAGATCTACGGAGCGAATAATAGTGGTCTAGTAATGCCTGGCGTTTGACGCTTGAGTGTGGAAACAAGTAGATGGTAGAAGCAGCAGCCCTCAGAGGGTCCATTCAACATCCATGTAATTTCGTATCGCGTATCAAATTGATCTGTGTGCAGAGAGAATATTCCCGCAACTCAATTCGAGCCACATCCGACTTGGAATTCCTAGTCCTCGCTGATATAATCTTGGAATGAACTCAAGAATGGGATCTTGACGACTCTTTGTCCCGTTTTCTCAAAGAGCAGGCGTAAGGAGTCCCTATCTTCATCATCGCACTTGGGTGCTACCCTTTCCCACTCGAGGCGTCCATAGTCGTGGTGTTCCATATACGGGCTGGGTCCGTACCCATCATAGCAGGCCATGTACCTATTTTCCCGCAAGCAGATCTTGACTTCAGCCTCCTTTTCAAATGGGACGCCATCACCCCAGTCATTGCTTCCGATCAGGAACTGCCTCAAATGAGGTAGCTTTGTTCGGAAGGAGTCGAAGTAATCGTGCCACCGCTTATTGTAGGAGCGGTAGTACTTTACCCGCACCTGGCCATCCAGCTCTCGACGGGTTTCCATCTCGCTCTTCTGGAAGGGTCCCCAGTTGAGATGCTCCTCGGCAAGGCACACATCGTATAAAATTGCGCAGTCGTCGAAGGATAGATCAGTCAGAGTCGCTGCATGCGAGAGAATCCATTCCAGCTGAGAGTCCCGCACAAAGCAAAAATTACCAAAGGCGAGGGATTTGAGGTGCGGAAATTGTACCTCGCTTAGTTCCAGCTTTGGATAGAAGCCGAAGTAGTTGTCGCAGGAGAGCGTCAGATGCTCCAGAGATGACGCGGAGGGTTTCAGCCACACGGATGGAAGTTGCGCGAAGAAGTCATGGGGCTCAGGGAAGTCAAGGTCATCCTCTGGGGCGGCGTCATTGTGCTGTGTCACGATGCTTAATCGGAGAGTGCGTAAATTCTGCAGCACTTTCTCGATATTGGCAGATATTTTTTCATCGCCGACATTCACATCTTGCATGTTACGAATCCCGAGTTCACGCAGAGGTACTTCAAACGAGGCCAGCCATTCAAAAAAGACACGAAGAGTTTTTGTGCGAAAGGCGATGGTCTCTGGACTCTCTCTCATCCATTCCTCGCGGCCTGTGCTACAATGCTTGTCAAACCGCAAGACAGCGCTTTGCACATTTGGGCAGTCTCTGAACTTGGCGATTCTGTCCTTGAAATCCTTGGTCAATTCGACTTCCTCCTCGTCATAGTCGTCCTGAGCCTGTTAGCTTGCGGCGCTCCTCGATCCGCGGGGGATAGATATGGACTGACATAGTCATCTTCACACGTATTGACATACACCTTCTTGACCATTTTCTTCAGTGTTGCATGATCCGTAATGCGATCGACAGCCTCGTAACTCTCTTCGTCCGGAAACAGACGCAGAGTGTCGAATAGCCGTGGAGTAGCAAACTGTGAGAGAAGGCGACTCGTTTCCCGGATAGCCTTCAGGGACGACCGGTCAAGGAATGAGATGATGCGAGCGAGGAGCTCACTTGGGAGAACAGTGATAGAAGCCATGTTCCATGAGCAATTGACTACATCAAAGTCAGGATGTACCCGACTTTAAATGCTGGGTGAGTCCTGGATTGACAATTATCGGTCAGTCAATGTCGATAGGGGGTCAGAGCCAAAAAAGCTTATTGTTTAGACTGAATCGAGCATAGCTTTGCCGCAGCGGCCCTTGGCACCTTGTAGGCTTCCATCTGGATGGATTTCTGCCTAGACGGAATAGCCGCACGTGGATCAGAAGTGGCCTAGAATTCCAGTGGGGGTGCAAAAAGTATTCGACCACCTGTAGAAATCTTGTTCCTATCAACACCACTGATATGTCACGTGACTCACGGGTCGCCGTCAACCATTCCCTGCAAACTGGCCGATTTCCGCTGCATTACACTATAATTCGGAATTTCGGGAGAATACATGTGTTGAGGAAGAAACAGTAGCATCAGTAGGTCTTGTAGTATTTCCTCTTGCTGTGTTACGAGCAACGGATGGTGAATCCAAATGATGGAGGGTTGTCGGTAGCGAAGATATATATGTGCACGAGGTGCTGTCAGAAAGATTGGAGCAGGCAGAGACCAGACTCGACCTATACCACCTTACGGCGTAGCCATACTGTAGTCGGAAAATTATTTCCTCATGGATATACCATTACTTCCTAAGGTATTCTTGAGCGACGACAATATGTTTCCAATTTTGTCGCTGTTTCCCCCAATTGCTACGACGACGACGACAACAACAACAACACAACAACAAAACAAGTATCGACCATCAAACCACTAAGCTAAAAAGGTGTCTAGACTTCCGTTTCCAGTATGGTAGAAATGACAGTGCATATTCTGGTTAACAACAAGCCACACCAACGGGTCGTCTTCTTCCTCTACCTCTACCTCCACCCCAGTTCCTCCATGTTCTAAACGCAACCAGCTCGCACTGGCTCGCGTAAGTGTGACAGCAGCTTGTCCTGTCAAAATTGTCATAATCGAGGCGGTAATTACATCAAAAAGAGTGCGACCGAAATCCGCACTCTGCCACAGGCTGTAAGGTTGTGTGCCCACTCCCCGAGCGCGTTGGCTACCTGCAACTAACTGACAACGCAAATAGACAGATTGAGCGACGACGACAACGCGTTTGGAAACTTGAAGAACAACTAGAATATGCCACCAATACCAATACCGCCTCCAACGGTGACGACCGGACGATGCGAATGGAAAACCGACAGCCGGGGACAAGGAAAGGATGGGACGGAATCCATACACGCGCGCACTCCGCACAAACCTAATGGTATGGGCCATCGTCGGCCTTCTACTTTATCGGTCGCATGAGCGCATCTGGTTTACCTACAGTCGCGTCGTCACAACATTAGTGATACCGGCCCAGCCAGTTCATCTTGGATTTTACGATAGACGTGCTGAGATTCTGGCTGCCCATGATGCGAAGAGTCTGTACTCAGATTCATCGTCTCTGGAAACCTCGGTGGAATTCCTCACATCGCAGATGGACAAAATCCGGGAATGGTTACGGAGTGTTCCTGACGCCATGAAGACCAACAAACGCAAGGATGGTGGAGAGCCGTTCTCGACCGACCGATCCCGACTAGATCTGGAACGGTATGCACCCTCGTGGTGTAGCGCCAACGGCTTCTCCTCCAGCTTCTCTACTACAACCTCTCTGTGAAAATCAACACTCATGTTGAAGCACCTATAGAAGCGCGAATTGCTTCATGCATTTATTCAACGAATCAACGTACTAGTCTCAGTCTATGTTTGAAAACAGCTGATGGTCTCTCTGCCCAAAGTCCTGTAGCAACATCAATCTGTTGACATTCCATCCAAGTCGAAATGATCAATTTTTGAGACTTATACCATCGAGCAACGGCACTCAGTGTTTCCAGACCATCCCCAAGCGCTGGAAGAATGAAAATAGTGACCTCTTTGGCACATACCCAGCATATGTCCTCTGCCACGATGCCGCAAATGACCCCTCAATCGGACCCAATTCTCCAAATCCCAGGACCTCAATAACCCACGGCGTTAAAATGGCCCACCTAAAGCAAGGATAGTAACGAAGATAGGATGTTCACGGGAGAACTCGAAGGCCTCACTTGTAGCTCGAGCAAGTGCTTTGGATGCTGCTTCGGCCGCCTGTGCGCCGGTTTCGATGGCATTCTCAAGACCACGGAGAATGGCATGTGCTAGCGACTCGGTCCAGCTGGTTGTTCTGATAGACTCATCGAGACGTTTCTTGATCGCATACGGTGTATCGCTGGTTAGGATGATTGTGACGACGTTAGATGCGACTTCCTGTGTCTCGCGGCTGGGTGATGCTTGGGTGTAGGTACGTCGTGAAGGGAAGCACTGCGTGATTGAGTTGACAGTACCCATTTTCGGTTCTTTGAAGATTTGTTTAAGCTGTATTCCTTGAAGTTGGATCAGTGTAGTGAGAAGGAATAGGCTCTTGCGGTTTGCCAGATGGGCATGACTGAAGTAGGGTAAACAGCGGTCAGTATATGTATGATGATCGATCGATCAATTGTCTCGTACACCATCCCAGCTAATCACTAATTATCTATGGCTATGCGAGTGCCACGTCTACCATGCCATGTGCATGAAAAGAGAATTAGTCCGCCAGGTTGAACCCGGGGTCCATGATGCTTCAGTCAATCTGTACTCTGATTCGAAGTCATCTGGTGACACAAGGCATCCGTGCTCTGTCCATTGACGAGTGATACATTCATCTTTATACGCGCTTTCTTCTTCACTTGGTCTACAGCCAGGATGCGTCCATCAGCTTGTACCGCCGCTGCGAAACTCATGGCCATTCATCTATCCACGAGCAACTGATAAATACTTTCCAACCCCTTGTTTTGTAACTGAAATACCAGCTCTTTGTCCGTGGGGTCGCGCGATTTCCCTTGGGAGGATTCAAAATAATTGCCGGCATTTTGCAGTTGCAGTGGAATAATTAGATCCGCTGTAGGCTGGCTCATCTCTGCCCTAGTATGCAGACAGTCATGCTGACTGAATATGATATGAGGTAATTTATGACTGGTCAGCTGAAGGAAAGCGTTGCGTGCTTATCTAGGGATGTGTCGTCAAAGGAGGGGTCCATAGCTTCACTGTAAGTTGACCCCTTGGTGCCGATATGGTATACATGCCCTTCTGTATCTTGTACAACCTGAATTATGGACTCTACCCCTCTAGGCTGGCGCCACCAAGAGGATATCACTGGTTTTGGAAGTCCTTGCTCAAGCAGGGAGCAGATTAGTCAATCTCGCCGAACTTTAGGTGTGGCGAGAGGGATAAAGGTTCTACTTATTGTCCACTGAGACATGACTGCCACTACAGGGGCAAGTCGCTGGTACTACCTGTTTATCCCAAATGCCAAACTGCATCGTGACCTTATCTTTGAGCTGAAATCTACTCCACCACTGTTAAATGAGGAGTGCACTGATGCTTAGGATAGCGTAATTATAGTTGAAGATGGGACCTCGACCAAGAGTCTAGTGAAGATGGACTTCAAGATTTGGATTTCTGTTTTATTGAAATCCTAGCAGCAGGTGCCATTTCATCTAGCTCTGCTAATTATCGCAGTCAGGGTATAGGTAAAGTAAGCAGAGGCTCGCCTGTGAACGCTTTCTCTAGCCTTTTACCACCGACTCTTACAGCCCACATAAGCTCAAATCCACAAGAATCTCTCGCATTTGAAAACGAGGGCAACATATGAGAAAAGAAAGTGCATCTGTAGCCGCCACTTGGGCAAGCAGATATTGTTTATCAGGATTCTCAAGGGACTGTAGTATTAATTTAGAAATGAGTCAAACAGCAGTGCAAGAAGCTTCGACGCTGACAATCTAAGATACCTGCACAATATTTGAGCACCATTTAGCCAGCCTGTATGCGAGAGTTTGTAGGTAAGTTTGTCTCAGATAAAGCCGACTGGCTGTATGATATAGCTACTTCAAGGTCGGTGGAAGTTCCTGTCCTTGAATATCTTGAGGCAAGTTGAAGTCCAAGATTGTACAAGGGTCCTGCCCTGTCTGGATGATCCTCTGGTGTTGCTTTGACAGCTTCCTGTGCAACCTGAATAGCTTCTTCAGGGTCCACCGTTGCTCCTGTCCTTGGATATCTATCATCAAGGGAAAGGCCGACATTACTCAAAATCATTGCCCGAAATGCATGATTCTAGATTCTAGGGTGCTGCATTGCCTCAAATCTCTGTATGCTGTTACATAATTAGCTACATCTATCTTACACATCTCCCAGCTGCAACTGGTGCTAACGAGCAGTTTGATGCCTGACAGCCGTCCGCTTGCCATTAAGTGTGAATTATCTTCCCCGCCGAAGACGTGTACATGATAGGAACCAAACTCACAATTACTGTGTTGAGATGACACCCATTTCGTGATGGATAGCCTCGGCTATGTCGACCTCCTGCCCGGCGACGTCTACGTCACCAAATAAGTAACCGAGTCCCTCGTGGCCACCCTCCGCTCAGCATGGCACCGTTCACCTGCAATACCTGCTTACCATATGCACATTCTTGAACTGACTCTGGAAACAATAGCACAACTGAAGGGCTCCTGGCATCGGCTTTCCTGATGCAACGACTGGAAGATTACTCTATCATGCACCACACCGGCCGCCTAGACAGCTTTAACACTTTCATGACGGGCAAATTCGGGCGCTGTGACAAAATGCCTGACTGAGCTCGCGCCCTGTGCTACGAGTCAGACGGACTGATTTCCAGCAGGGAACACCCTATTTCGTTGACGCCGGCGGTGGCCGGCGTGAGTTACTCATAGAGCTGAAAGCAGCTCACCCAAATAGCCTGGGAAAGGATAGCCTTGTCTTGCAGGAATATAATGCGGAGATCCGTGCCATCCCAGACATCACAGTGATGACGTTGAATTACAAGGAAGACGGAAGTGAGCAGCCTGTGAGGGTGCGCTTATATACCCGCTGGCAAATGTGCTGCATAATTTGTCCGACTCGGAGACAATCCTCAGAAAAATGGCTAGGGCAATGGTATCATGATCGCGACTTGTCATACAAGAGTCCACGAAGAATGCAGGGTGTGCAACAACCCATGCGTCGATGATTATTATGCATGCTGGTAAAGAGAGGACGACTGCTAATGAAGGGATCTAGCGGCTTCCTCAGGCTTGAAGGTTACGTTCGAGGCGTACCCTCCGGTAGGGATGTGTTTGGTTGAGACGATGGTTTCAGAGTGATCCGAAACAATTTACGTAGGGGGGTTAATCAACACTATGGAAGGGAGAACTGTTTGTGACTTGCTGATTGTGATATATCTCACACCATCTCTATGCAGGTCGGAAACATATTCATTCCCATATAGCTCTCGCAGGGAAAACATTTTAGCAATAGTTATCATGTGCCTAAGTGGCCACTAGAATGTAGATTAGCTTGTGTCGTCTGACTAAATGTAGAACCATAACTATGTCTATGATGCAGATCAGGATTGGGACCAAGCTTTCCAGTCTCTCCAAGGATGTTGGAACCATGGCGACGGAATGGATTGTTGGACGCAGAGTACTTTTGCCACACAATTAACTCATGGCTATTGAGATAATGACTGCGGTGTTAAGTTCAGTGTCATTCAATCAGAGCTTATTTCGCGTTGTCGACGATTTCCGTTTTCGTCTAATGTGTAGAAATTAAACTCTGTTCTTGACGGCATTGCCACGGTTTGTATTGGGTTCAGGCCTAGAATGCTGAACCCTCAAAACATATCATTTCCTTACAGAGTACAGCTTGACTGATTGATTTTATTACTGTTTGCGGTTTGCGGCGGAAAGCTTGCTGTTAGGCGGTCATCTTGCAAAATTATAAGCTACTAGTATCAGGAGTATGCTCCAGACAAACTAATATAACTACTTCCTTTCCATATCTGTGTCTGGTTATTATAGTTCTCAAGATAATATACAAGATATGGAACCTACCGCGGGGCCAAAGGAGTTTGTCCTTTGCTTTGATGGGACTAATAACAAATTCCATGGCGACTCATCCGACAGCAATGTGCTCAAAATATTTAGAGTAAGCCCTGTATGCTCTGTGAATAGACCCGGACTTACCTAGAGAAAGATGCTCGATCGGACTACCTCCAACCAGTATCATTATTATCAACCTGGTATTGGCACTTATGTAACTTCCGCCTCGCTTTCACACAGCGGCATCACTAGAAAGATCAAGTCCGCGTATGTGAAAGCGAAAGACGCTGCGATCGGGTCGACATTGGCTGACCATGTCATGGGCGGCTATAAGTTTTTGATGCGATATTACTGCCCTGGGGATCAAATCTACTTCTTTGGCTTCAGTCGCGGAGCATATGTTGCCCGCTTCCTCGCTGAAATGCTGGACAAGATCGGTCTTCTCGAGGCGGGCAATGAAGAGTTGATACATTTTGTCTGGAAGACATTTGCAAAGTGGCAACAATGCAGCGGCGACACCACGGTAGACAAGGCCCAGAAGGACAAGCTAGAGGAGTACATGAGGGCATTCAAAGAGACATTCTGCCATCCTGTCCCTAACCTTCGATTCTTGGGACTGTTCGACACTGTCAATAGTGTACCCCGATTTGAACGGGCCTGGATGCGTCACAACCGATTTCCTTATACGGCCCGCACCTCAGCCAAAGTGATCCGCCATGCAGTGAGTATTGATGAACGTCGGGCCAAATTCCGCCAGGACCTCATATCAGAGGTCAAGCCGACGGGAAGGGAACACCGGTTTCGGTTGCGTGAGCACCTGAAGAAACACCATGTGCCTCTCCCTCACCATACTCACCACCAGCGCCATAACGGCGGCTTGTCGGGCTCTGCTCAGCAACCTAGTCCTGTTGCTTCTTCCGCTTCGTCCGAGAACGAGAAACCCGTCAACGTGCAGGACATCGAAGAGGTATGGTTTCCCGGATGCCACACAGATATCGGCGGAGGATGGCCATTGAGAACAGGCGAATATGCGCTCAGCCATGTGCCATTGGTGTGGATGGTCCACAATGCACAGAAGGCAGGACTGCGATTCGAGCCAGAGAAGTTGAGTCGCTACGTCTGCTCAAGCGATTCAGCTGGAGATTATGCCGAACACTCACAAGGCGAAAATTATCCTGGAAATCTGAATAACGGGGCAGCCAAGAACAAGCAAGAAGGACACGACGGAAAAGAGAGTCCCACGTCTGATTTCGAGTGTTTTCTTCAGAAGTCCAGCACACACTCACGAATACACGACTCTCTCCGATTCGGCAAGGGAGTTCCCTGGACCACTGTTCTTTCCTGGAAAGTCATGGAATATCTGCCCTTCCGTCGGATGGACTTGCAGGAAGATGGCTCTTGGAGACCCATTCGGTGGCCTCTACCTTGCGGAGAAGTGCGCGACATTCCTGATGACGCCAAGATCCACGTTTCTGCCATTCATCGTTTGAAGTCAGACCCGGAATATCGACCAGGGAACCTGATCATGGGCGGTGGAGGGAGAGGGAAGAAAAAAGCACCAGAAGAATGCGGAATCGGGGATTGGGAGATGGCTGGCTATCCTGGCTGTCCTATAAAGGAAACATATGTGCGCAAGCCACTATCAAAGGAGGAACGCCATATAGACCATTAACCTTTCCAATGTAACAGGAAGATTGTATTGGTAAGAAATCCGATGTTCAGTTATAGTACAATGATCCGACCTGCCTTCCTGCTGAGAACTAATAGGTTTGCGGGTTTGGATTGATGGATGTGCTGGCCAGATCACGCATGAAATAAGGGTGACGAGGACCCTACATTACACTTGATCCTCTTTAGAGGGATTCATGTAAGGTGGTAGAGAGCCCTGTATTTAATGACAGAAGAGTTCAGTAGCAAGTGGAATTAACACTGTACTATGTTCATTGTGTGTAATATAAGTACAGCTGGCTATATCAGACAGGAGGTCCTTTTCCTGCCTGTCCTTTTATGCGCTATAGATATAACCTTGCATTATGCACTTCTATCGCCATACTCCCGACGCTTGTTCGTCTCTTGCTTTGGGGAACTTGCATTTGTATTGCTAGTAGTTCTCATACGAAGAACCAGGCAAGCCGGAATCAGAAGCAGCAAGAGAGACAAGAACTCCGAAGGACATGGAATACAACGCTATCAGGCCTAGTTTTGCTTCGGAGATTTTCAGTAAATTCCCGGGGAGATATAGAGGTATTTAAGAATGAGTGAACCCTTCATTTGGAAACACTCAAGCCTTATTCCGTCGGAGAATATGAATGAACCGCGATGTATTCATGACTTTTATCCCAATCCCTTTCTGCCAGACTTCGTATACAGCAGTTAAGGAGTAGACCTGCCGTTTATTCCCTGGCTTCCGAAGTTCGTTGTAGTGCCTCTAGACTCTGCAGCTCAACAGGAGTAACAAGGGACAGCCACACCGTAGAACTCACTACGGAGTAGCCAAGCAACAGCTCTTGTATATAATGCACCCATACCACGATATGACCGCAACTATCAATTCTGCCAATGTCCCGGTACGTTGCATACAAAGTCTCCACGGACCGGCTGTTCCTTTCCTGGGATTTCTCCATCGTAATGGAGTTTCCAACCTGTCATCCTGTTAGGCCTGCAACTTGTAGAGAGGAAAACGCTTACTCATTGGGAACGGGTAAAAGGCGCTTTGATCCTCGCGCATATAAGTATAAAACCCATGTTCACGCGAGATCTTCTTCAACTCCCCCTGCGCTCCTGGAGCACGGCGAAGGTTGTCCAGACGGCCCACAACGCGCAGCATGGCCGTCAAAGCAACTTTACTAGCCTCGCCACCCAAGCATGTGTGCGGACCTACTCCATAATGGATATACGAGTCCATAGGACGGTTGAGGTCAACTTCCTTGGGCTTTGGAAATACGTTAGGATCGCGGTTTGCATCAACCTATTGTTAGTCAGCACCGAACGCCAGTGTTCAACCATTAGCCAATAGTAGTTATACACAAAAGAGGACATACAAAGCTCACGAATACTTTGTCACCCGCCTTGATGTGAACCTTACCACCCTTGTCGTCGAGGGTCAGGTTGGTTTGGGATTTCCGGTACGAGCCAAAGATGCCGTTCAGGCGGATCGCTTCCATGCAGTAGCGGAGAAGCACCTCGTCCGAAGCAGGAGAGTCTTCCTTGGCAAAGCGCTTGATGTCCGGCAGATGCTTCCGGCCATTATCGGATAGGTAATAATCGATGATTTGGGTGAATACCTGGGCCTGATTCGGCACCATGGCGATGGCAGTTGGAAGAATTTGAGACCATGTCACCTGTTCAGGATCCAGGCCACTCTGCAACAGCCGCTCCACCATGTGCACCCCATACTCAAAGAGTGCGTTCTTGTTGGCATGCATATTGCCAAGTAATGTGGTAATAAGACCGGACGACTTGATAGCTTTGACGTTAATCTCGACGAGCTTACCCAGTTTTTCTGCGGCTTCGCGAGCCTTGTGGCGTAGCTCGAAGGATTTGACAGGTTCCGCATCAAAGAAAATAGCTGTAAAGATCACTGCCATTGCCTCAAACATCTCGTGTTCTGTTAGAATCCCATGCGGATGTTCTCTACTCTTGAGAGGGAGAGAGAACACGCTGGAAGCAAAGTGAACATGGGCAAGATTCCCAACACTGTTCATAATTCGGAGAGATATTAGCATTAGCAGTGGACATCTTCTCATAAGTATAGAGTATAGGTAGGCTCACTCGCGCGAAATATCCACCTGGTTTACGTTTCCCACCCTGCATGACTTTTCTGTGAGAAGCTGTTGGGTAATGTCGAGGTAGAACTGCTTGACGGCGTCGTGCCACTGGCCACGATAGAGCGCGCGCGACATAATATTGCGCTGGTTTGCATGAGTGGGCGCGTCGCCCGAGAGCATAAAGTCCCAGCCCTTTGGCCCAAATACGTACGCGGTTGCTTCACCCCACATCACCCGGAAATTCGACGCATCCTGAAGGATATGACGAACGTTGGCATAGTCAAAGACACTTATCCGCTGCGGAATATACGCTGGACGATCCCATGAGAAGTCCTCTTCGCGGCCCAGCGCTTTCATAATGACCCGGTTCTCGCTGGGGATCGTCATGGGATAGTGAGCGTAGATTGAGTCGTACTTGAACCACTTGGGAAATGCTCGCAACGCAAGTCGGTAGAACGAGCAACCTTGGTTGATTTCCAGGTTATAGTTGGCCTCGCTGAAACCCCAGTTCGTCAGGTTCCGGGCATTAAATTCCTTCTGTTTCTCTGTTAGCTTTCTACTGAGCACAAATGCGAGTAAAGTCTCTCACTGTGTAGAATCGGTCACCCCGAACCAGTGCCACAGCGTCCGACAGAACAGCGCGGGAGACAGTGTATCCTGGGGCAATACCCACCCCCGGGACCATAGGTTCTTTGGGCTCCTCTGCAACGATCCCAGGGTACAGCTCCACATAATCTGGGTGCTCATACAAGTGCCGCAGCTGATCTGCCACATATGGGTCCGAGTTGATTTCCTCAAAGCTTTCATAGGGTTTCAAGTCAAAGAACTTGCGGAATTCATTCAATGACCCAACATTCCATTTGCGTGCCTGCTGGATACCAAGAATCTCAACTGATCTCAAGACCTTTGGGACGTTGTTGGGCCCGAACGAACCGGAGACCTCTTCAATGGCGCGAGTCAATATGTCCACCAGGTCTACGTCCTTGAAAGTGCCATCGCCCTGGCGCTGCAGACCTGCGAATGTACGTTTGGAAGGGTCTTTGTCCATTCTGGCATTAAATTTCCTCATGCCTTCCATAAGATCCTGCAAAGTGGCTTCCTGTGCTGGCTTCCCAACGATTTCTCGGTAAGTTTTCTCCGTCCACGCCTCATCTTGGCGGCCAATCGTTGAGTGCCATCGATACGCGAGATTAAACTCAACTGAGCACTGGTTGCCCTCTGCGGTGGGAATTTCATCCTGATCATCATGTGTACGGGGATCCAGATTCCAAGTACTGTTGTCGCGGTTGAGGTTGATGATTGTGCGCAGGTAGTCGTATAAGGTAATGTTGATATACATGCCGCAAGTGATGAGGCGTGCAGTTTGGAAGAGGTCGTTGTCATATTTAGCCCAGGCAGCTCGGGCTTCGACTGGGTCAATTATCTCATCTTTAGGCTTTGTGAATCGACCATTCTCATTAATACTGGCCAGCTGCTCGGCGACATGATTATGGAATCTGTTCAGCATGATCAAAATGACTCCCGAAGCCGCCGGCAGCATGTGGAGACGTGGCTCAGAGAAACAGTCGGGCTTGATCTTGCCATCCTCGAACGTACGCATCATGTTCTGCTCGTCTTGATTATCCCCGTACAGAGTGGACAAGTCAAGGTATGATGATGTCTTATTGATGCTTTGATCTGGGTAGCCGGTCTGGAAAACGTCTGTCGTCGTATTAGGTTCTTGACCGACATTAGGGCACTACTCAAGCACGTACCATGAATGATCAACGAGGCCCAGGTGAAGAAGATGCTCGAGACATTATTCGGATGCGGCTTGAAAGTTTCCCGCGCAAAAATACTATCAAAGATTAAGCCTGGGTCAGGCATACTCGCTGGCCTCATCTTTGATGCTTCGGTTGTTCGAGCATATTCCGTATTAGCTGCACCCAGCAGTGGTAAGGTGGGATTGTTGTAAGACCCGTCAGCCGAACGATAAGCGTATTTGTCACCGACATATCTACTTCATCTTAGTACTATTCCGGCAGCGTCATCGAGCTCGGTTGGGACAATCTTACGATAGGGGAGGATGAGGCAGCGAGTTCCATAGAATGCCTAGAAACTTATGAGTTCCCTTCTCCCGGATCTTGGATTTGTCGGGCAATTTGGCCACCATCTAGACATAACATGATCAGCATCCTTTGGGTATTCCCTCGAATCAGTCGGCTTTACCTGGATGATGCGTTCCATGAGCATTGTCTTATCGTCCATCGGTCGTCCGAGGGCCTCAGTCTTGACAAAATCCTTTACGGTTTTGGCATCTTCTATGCCCAGGGACAGAAGATCTTCCCAGAGGCTGCCACCCTTGGAACTATCTTTTATGTAGGTTCCGTTTCCTGTCTCAGTTGGCAGAGGGCGCGTAGCCTTGTGCACCACCTCGGAAAGGTCCTTAAAACGCCCAATCGCGCCGCCTTGTTCGGCGCCCACGTCGCCCTTTGGTGGCTCTCGCGACAGCTCATTGAAATGTTGCACCTCATGAATACGTTTGGGCCCAGTGTCAACAAATTTAGCATGCGAATCGTTACCAGGCTTACTACTCGCGCCCTCGGTTTGTGGTTCCGGTCTCATTGTGTTCAGTAACTCTTTGCAATCGATATGAGAATTCCAAATGACTGGAGCAACCCGAGAAGTATTCGTGACCGAGGCCTGTCACGCATCCTCCTTAAGTACGCTGTGGGAAGTATACAGTTACATCGCCTTCAGGTTTGAATGACGCGTTCGTTTTAGACAAGCTAAACTATCGAGAACCCGCTGTTGGAAGTCCCCTCCGCCCTCTCCGCCGCTTCACGTCATCCCCAGATCACGACCCTTTGTAATATTTAAGATTTATCTGTACCCTGGAATCGAAATTAAAGACAAAGGGCAATGTGGGTAGCACTTGACAATCGGTCGGAAAGGCTGTAGACAATGTCGATGGATGTTGGTGGCAATATTCCGCATTCAGCGGACCAGATTTACAACAGTATATGACACTTACTTGGGGTTCATGATGACATATTCTGGAGATTCGACTATCAAGTTTAAAACAACTATTATAATAAAAATATTATCTTCCAGCTATACTATACTCGGAACTCCTCTGGGTGAGTTACTATTTCCTCTAGCTCCTACAATAACCCCTTTAGGTATTGCGGTGGCTTAGGCTTTGATTCCCTACTACGCTCCTAGTATAAACCTAAGACACCAGCCCAACCCTGTCAGCAGCCGGATTAAGGGATCAGCACACCCCCATCTAGCAACGGCATCTGGTTGGGCCCATGCCCCCAGCTATCAAGTAGAGATGATTAGACATTATTCTATTTATATTATATACTCTATCTAACTATACTAGTTATGGAGTCCAGTTCTCCTCGTATAACTATAGAACCCTATACACCTTTTAGGACCAGCGATGCTAATAGGTTCTAGAAGGGGCCCTATTACATGTCTCTGATGGGCTGTCGAACAAGGATTTGACGCAACTACCGAGAGATTCCTCGCAGCGGGAGCCAATATTAACCATATCGGCGGAGTTGGACGAACACAGCTTTCTCTTGCTGCAGAGGGAGGTCATGGCCGGTCAGTTAGACAGCTTCTGGAAGCGAAGGATGAAGTTGAAATATCCGCCCGGATGGGCTGTACAGCACTCCCATTGGCTGCATTCAGGGGGAGGGGCACCATTGTGACGCAACTTATTGAAGCCGGGGCTGATGTACACAATGCAAATGTCTCTAACGCTTCTCCTCTCGTAGACGCAGTGCTGCTGGGGTATCACCACTGTTTGTGAACTGCTGCACGCAGGCGTCAAACCAACAGGTTGCGCAACTGATTGTGAATGAGTGCTCGCTTAGGCTGCGGAACACAGATATATTGATTTGGCCCAACTACGTATCCAAGCAGGTGCTAATGTTAAAGCTATATTTCTGAATGGTCACAATACTGTTTCTTCACTGCTGAAAGCAGGCACATTAAGAATAAAAAACAGTAGTCTAGGCTGGCGCAGGAATTAACTTAGTAGACTTACTTGGCCGCACAGTATTATCCTGAGCTACACAACATGGAGGCATTGACCAGTTTTATGCATGTATGCCAGGCCGACGGTCTGACCCTAATGACAAAATTTCTACATCCTCACAGACTCCTTAGGTTTTACCAGGAAGCACAGTCCATAGGGGAGATCGTTACCACCCTACAGAGTCCAGCCTACAACCCTCTTGAGATAGCTCTAGCACAAGGGCGCGGAGAACTTAAGGGTTTATGTACAAGATGAACATCAGATAGATCAGATATCAATATGCTTGGTATGCGGAACAAAGTCCATACATAGAGCTCCATTGTTTACTTGACCAAGCGGCGAGTCCCAATTCAAGGCACTGTCCACTAGCGTAGGCTATACTGTATGTTACTATACATTATGGGCTAGTCTACATTCTACATCACCCTATGCTGTGTATGAATTATTAGCTCTACTATTAACTAATGTCTTACTAACCTCAGCAGAACCTTTGACAAGGTCTTCTGCCAGCTTTTCCATGGAATAAACTTCATGTCTGTTGGGGAAGCTTTGCTAGCACATCCTTCTTCCTTAATTTTCAACTAAGCTCATAAATCTTAATTATGAGTTTTTCATATCCAACCACACAAGCTTTGCCATGCCAGGGTGAAATGCACAACTGGCGGACAACTCCTTGTACCCTCCTGGGTTGCACAGAAACGCAGCAATTGACTGTATTGGGATGTTTGCTCCCGTAATAATGACCAAGATGTCTTGTGAGTTATTAGGGGTAATACAGCCTCGCACCTGGCAGTTAATTCTGATCTCAGAAGAAAAGATCTGTGCATATCCGTGGAGTTTACGCAAGAGCCTTATATCGAATGGTTGGTAGACTTTTTGGAACCTCACAGCACCTCGCGGAATCGGTTCAATGGAGTACTTTGCCCCAGTTTCTGTCGCTACATATATATATTCATTCTTTAGTGTTGTGGTCCGGACGACCCCTGAGGATCGCGCGTCAGCACAGGAGACAAGTGTAAAGTACCGACAGATTGCAAATCAGGATTTGTCTACGACATTTTGTCAGCGAAGTTTCGAATGGTTGTCAATCGAAATAAGAGTATCGTCAATAAGATACGGGCAATAAAGAGTACCATATATCGTACGCAGTAGCCGACAAAGGTGAAACTTCTGACACGGGTTATGGGAAACATAATCCATGGCATAATTTATAGGCTTACACCTGAGAGCTCTACTCATATGTGTACAAACAACCTGGAGCCAAAACACTGGATGCATGAGACTCAAAATAACGATACGAAGTTATACTTGCTGTTGAATAGGATTGGTTCTAATCTTAATAGACTTTTAGAACTGTTCGGGCTGATCTGGATACTTGCAGCAATGCGTCTGCGCTGTTTCATAGGGCTCACAACATAACATGTCCGTGAAGTAACCACAGCATGGCTGAAAAGAAGTGTAATGTATTCCTGCCTCCTAGCAATGTGAGCTTGTTTCTATAGGTTATGATGAAATGCGCTCCACATTGGCCCATCTCATAAGAATACCTCCAGTTGGCCAGAAATGGCTGGCAGATTTGGGCACGGGACGTGCATTGTAAGCGAAACCTCTGGATCAAGCGTTGTCTTCATTACTACTGCAGATGTATGTTTGAGTGTGCGGATTATTGACAGGTTCGACAATATTAGAATCATAAAATTAATATGAGTCCCCAGGTCTCCGTTGCCAGAGCGACAGTTAAGGGCCAAGTAGTAGCACAAGCCGTGCTGCGAAGATTACGCAGACCAATTATTCATTAGACCAAGCAAATAGTGGTAGTTTGAGAAGATTTGAATCCCTCAGGCCATATCAGATAAAATTGTATGACGTCAGCACAGTTTGTTCCCAGCAGCAGCGTGACTAGCAGTCTCAATGCAGTGTTTATCAAATAAAATATCACAGAGAGGTAACTTATACTGAATCCTTAAAACTGAACCTTAAAAGAGCTTCTTTGTCCTACAGTTGGTTGTGATCATAATAAGCTTGCTGGTTGAGACTAGACCTCTTCTCATAGAATAATCAGAAAATAACCAGGATAAGAGGAGTGCCCCCCTAGAAAAATCTTGATGTGTGATTGCATGCTATGACTATAGATAATACACTGCCAAGTAGTCAAGGTTCCCCTACACTGTTACTGCCTGCAATCTATAAGCACAGTATCCAAATCCAACCAGTTGCTGGATGAACTGATTTATAGTATAATCTGAAATATGTAGCTCTCTTCGACAACCCACTAAGGCAAGAAAGCAAACCAAAGGGCGTGCCAATCCCTTATCTGTCATCGCTTTTGCTTAACTTTTTGCCACTTTCATCCTACATCGATCACTTTTGCAGGGGTTGATAAAGAAGCCTGGATCTAGTACTACTGTTAACCCTAGTGCGGGAAAGCTTAGGGACAGTTTAGGGGAAAGTTTCAGTTGTGGGAGTTGGGGGACTCACAATTACATCATAATTTTAAGACAATCTGTCAAAGTGCCATGATGTTTAAGGCAAATAATTACGGAGGGACTATATTCTAAGAAGGATCAAATATCCTCAATGGTACTGAAGTTGTGAAACTTGGGGTAGTTATTCTTTTCTCTTGAGATGTACAGTGCTGTGATCCTGGGATGTGTTTAGTATAACTAGTTCTCTAACTTTTGGGCATGCGTCCAAGGTCCATCATGTATGAGAAGTGAGCTTGTGACCACCTTGTGCCTAGGAAGACCTAGAATCCATTGATGCTTCGGCAAAAATTCTGTTGTCTCTTGAATTTCTGCCGCCTGAAGTCCAAAGATGCTGATTTCAGCCTTGTTGGTCCATATCATTGACTCCTTGCAAGCATAAATATCTACTCAACGGAATAAACAATCCTGAAAGAAGCTGTAACCAGATTAAACAGTGACTCCTCCCTCTCATGTTCTACAGGGAGGTCAATATATGTGCTCCATGTCCCCTCTTATGCGCTTGCAATCATGGATTGATACGCCCTGGCCGCAGAAATATAACAGCAAAGTAGCTGAATGATATCTGTGCGAAACCTTGACCAGATTGGCCACCTCATGCAATTGAGCATCATATTTCTTTCTCTGGAGAAATCACGCCCTACAGTGATTGTACTTAGCCAGATCCAGACCAGTTTAAAAAGTCAATTCTGTTTCTGCCAGATAAAGACTCACCATCTATGACTATGGTTAAATCTCGCAAGCAAGGACATTTTAATGAATTTAACACACCATCACTTGGTGTGGTTGGGGCGTTGGGCTTGTGATCCCACAAATGGTCAACAAGGTGTTTCTAGTGTATGCTGTGATATATCCATTTTGAGTACTATAATTTGTAGTAAGCCTTTCCTCTACCAGATTCTCTAATGCTGCAGGACTGTAAGATCCAGGATACTTAGGTCCCTGAATGTGGAAGATTTAAGGCAGCTTCAATTATGAGACATATTGTGGCCATAACTGCTAACACACGAAGTAAATTCTCTGAGGATGATTTTATATGAACACATTTGCTCAGAAGCCATGCCCCTCCTTAGTTAAAGGGAAACATAGAC